TAATGGCCGTGCTGAGCCATATCCTTGCTCCCTGTATTGCAAAGTTATATAGGTGGTCACCGTTTGAAATGGCTTACACAGATGGAGACTGTTGGACCAGGCAGGCATCCACGAATGGTTTCTTCTAATAAATAGGCAGCCCTTCTCTTACCTGGAGATTTTCAGGGCAGGGAAGCCAGTAGCAATCCTGAGTCTTACCAGCAGAATGGTAGCTGCCAGGATGCTCAGGGAGAGAAGGGGAGATGAACTTTCAATTTGAGTAAATTTTCTTTAACCATTGTGAGAGGTAAAAGGTGGTATCTAGGTAGTGGTTACTGAATCAAATTAAAGCAGGGACAGGTTATGAAGGGCACTGACCAGGGGCGTGTTGGAGATGTGTTGCTGGCCAGAGGAGATAGCTGGACCGATGCCTTGGGCAGAATCTGCCTGTGTCTACCTGTCCAGCCCTGTCCTTTGAGGAGGCTGTATTGTTAGGGTGGTGTGGGAGCGGGTGAGTAATTGCAAACCAGAAGGTCATGTGGGGTCAGATCCGCAGATCTGATAGACCTTTATTTATTATAAGGACTTTTACTTAGTGAAAGAGGGAGTTAGAGTTTCAAGCAGAGAGTAATGTGAGTGGAGTTATGCCTAAAAGCTAGGCCTATGTGCAGTTTAAGTCTGGGAAATCACAAGGTCTCCTGGTGCTTGACAGGACAGGCATGATCTTTCTTGCTGGATGCGTACACCCATCTCCCTGTATGGTATGGCCTACGAGTGAATTACAGTTACTGGGCCAGAGAGAGATGGTTACCCCACTGCCAGTACCACTGGCAGTGATCCCTGAGCACTTAGGAATAAGTCCTGAGCACAAGTGACACCAGCCTCTTCAGTTTTCCCACAGAAAGTACACATGACGCTGGACAGAAAAGACTCCCTTTCCCTGCATGAAAGGATAGTATAGAGCAGTTATGTGTAAGCCTTGAATTTGAGCACTGGCTCTGCATGGTTCCCTGAGCATCCCCGGGTGTTACCCTGGTGTCCTCTCCTTCCCCTTTTCCCTCCCCTCCCTCTGGGCCAGGGAGGTGATGGGGGTGCCATCAAACTCCCCAGCACTGCTGGGTGTGGTTCCTTAGCGTTCTTTTTCATTAAGGTTCATTGTGCCAACTTTGCTGAGACTAGCCATAGAGGGGCAACTAAGAGCCTGTCCAGGAGACTGGTGCAGTTTTCCACTCGTGAAGGCTGCTGTGCCTTGGCCAGCTGGTAGAATGGAGGTGGTGGGAAGTGATTCAAGTCTGGGGAGCTGCTGGTGTGGTTTGGATGTGGAATGTGAGGGCCAACAGTCACGGAGCAGGGATGACAGGGCCACAGGTTTGCCAGGGACAGGTTGGGGGTTCAGGCGTGGACATTGGAGATTCAACTGGAAATGTCCAGTCCGGTGCCATGTACGAATCTTGAGTTTGGAGAGGACGTGAGACTGAAAAGGGAGTTGGGGGGAAGTTATCAGCACACAGTAGTTTCTCAAAGCCAGGGCCCTGTTTTTTCTTTTCTTTTTTTTTTATTAGTGAAACACCATGAGGTACAGTTGTAGATTTACAAATTTTTGTGCTTGGGTTTTGATTATACAATGATCAAATACCCATCCCTCCACCAGTGCCCATTTTCCACCACCATGGATCCCAGTATCCCTCCCACCCCCATCCCCCCCATCCCACCCTGCCTCTGTGGCGGGGCATTCCCTTTTGTTCTCTCTTTCCTTTTGGGCGTTGTGGTCTGCAAAAGAGGCATTGAGTGGCAATCATGTTCAGTCCATAGTCTACTTTCAACATGCATCTCCCCTCCTGGGAGGATGCCAGGGCCCTCTTAGGTTCCTCTGGGCATGAATGTCCTTTAAACCGGTGGTGTATTATGGGGATGATTCAGCAACATTTACAAACATTGAATCACTGTGTTGTAGAGCTGGTACTGATATGGTGGTGCATATTACTCATAGCTCAAATATTGTTGCCAAGAGTGGAACCCTTGGAGAGAAACAGGAAGGCATGTGAGGATCGGTCTGTGTGGTATGTGTGCTTTCAGGGCTTTAATTGGGTTTGGGTTTAGGTGCTGAGAGGAGGACAGCGGAAAGATGAAGTATGTGAATTACTGCTGAAGGGAAAGCCAGGTACGTGCAACACCAAAGTGGCAGCGACTGAGAGATGAGGGGCCGAGAGATAAAATACTGTGATGGTATTTGGGATGATATGATGGTTGGGGCCTACATACTTCCTACATTCCAGAAGTAAGCCAGAGAGCTCTGCCCTGCGACTGCCAGAGATTAATGTCAGCCAGGGCCAAGCCTGTCATCCCTGGTGTGACTCCAGCAGGGAGGGTGCTCTTCTTGCACTTGACCAACCTAGCACCCTATAAGGCCCCCAAGCATCACCAGGAGTGATCCCTGAATGCAGAGCCAGTGATGAGCCTGAGCTCCGCCTGTGGACCTAAACCAAAATGGAAAACAGAAGATGAGTGTGCTGTGAACAGTGTGTACAGGTGGTGTATGTTTTGCCCTGAAGTCTTTCTCTTGTATTGCATTCTTGGCTGTCCACGTCAGCCCAGTGGAATGACCCTGAGAGGATGGTTGAACTCATGTCCGGGTCCTTTTATTTGCTGAGAGTTAGGCATTGTGCTAAGTGCTGAGGCTGATATTAAAGAGAAACCGAACCTGCCTTTAAAAATAATCCCTTAAGGGGTCAGAGAGCTAGTCCAAGGGTAAGGCCTTGCATACGGCTTCCCTAGGCTCAATCCTGGCCCCACAGGTGATCTCCCAAGCATGACACGAATGGTCTCTTGAGCACAGAGCCAGGGGTAAGCCCTGAGCACTGCCAGATGAAACCATACCCACAAAACAAGTGAGCAAGTATATGAAAATTGAAACTTCCTTGTATACTCTTTTTTTTCCCCGGGTTTTTGGGCCATACCCAGTGATGCTCAGGGGTTACTCCTGGCTTTGTGCTCAGGAATTACTCCTAGTGGTGCTTGGGGGATGATATGGGTTGCCGGGGATTGAACCCAGGTCAGTCGGGGATTGAACCTTGGTTGGTCACATGCAAGGCAGACACCCTCCCTCTTGTACTATTGCGCTGGCCCCTCCTTGTATAGTTTTGATGAGGAAGTTGACTAGACTATATGCGGAAGGATCAGTGTGGTCATTGAGGATTTTGTGTTGGAACCTGATTATAACCAAGCCATCAAGGCTACCGAGATTTACCTCCATCCCGAGGACAGCGCAGTGTTTCAGGGAGACCAGTCCTGTGATAGTATTTGGGATGATGTGATGGTGGGGTGGAGACTGGAGACTTGAGGCCTACATACTTCCTACATTCCGGAAGTAAGCCAGAGAGCTCAGCCCTTCCGCTGCCAGGGATCAGTGTGGGCTGGCATGGCCTACCATCCCTGGTGTGACTCCATTGTTTTTGTCTTATTGCTGGGTTAGACCCAGCAGTTCTCAGGGGGCATTTTTGGGCTGCTCCCTTTAGGGCTTACGTTGAAGGATCACTCCTGGTAGGGCTCAGGGGATCCTATGGGGTGCTAGGGATCAAACCTGGGTTGGCCACATACATGTAAAGGAAGCTCCTTGACTGCTATACTCAGTCCATGACTGCTCCCTGTGAATAACCACCCTCTTCTTTCACCTCTTTTCCTCGGGGCAACTGTAGGTTAAGCCTCACTTGTCCTCACTGGTCCCTAAGGGCTGGACTTCCTTCTTTTCTCCTAATTCAGAAGTTTTGCATTCTGAGGGAAATGTTCCTAGGCTGTGGCTTCACCCTGGGGGTGCTAGGAAGGTCTTTGCAATCTTCCTTGATTGTCTCATTCCTCCTTTACCCCTTCTGTTGCTTCTCTTGCTGCTGCTGTGGTTAGGCTCTTTCCTGGTCATCAGCATGCTAGTTTGGGAATAGCTGGAGTAATTAATGTATTAGTGGAGAGGGAAACTGGAAATTGCTAGGGCAGCTTACAGTGGATGTGCATAGTATGGTGGCACATAGGGAGGTAAAGTCTGCCCGAGGGCCAGGCTGCAGAGGAGGCTTGGTGGCCTGTGGCTTGGAGCTGGTGTGGCTGCTGAGCCTTTGATGTTATCGCCTGGGTTGTTGCTTCCAGCTCCCTGTGGTCTTCTAGTGAACATGTAAACACCTGCTCAAAGCACCCTCCTCCAAATTAAGGGAGTAAATAAAAGCCTCTTCCAAAGAGGTTCCATATTCCAGCCTCTACGTTCTTAAGTTCCATTTAATTCTCTGCCAGCTCACTAGTTTTTAGACCCAGGTCCTCCATCATGCAGGGAACATTCTCTTGCCACTGCCCTCTGGCCACGTGGTCTTCTTATATTGATTTTTAAGTGTTTCCTACTGTAGTGACCATTATTAGTCAGAATTCTGTAAGGAAGAACTGGGGCTTCTTTTATTCGTTCCTTTGGCTCTTTATCCAGTTGTGTCACTATGGGCAATTATTTGATTCTGTGGGCTATCATGGAATGCTATAGTTACCTTATTGCTCAAGTGATTTGAACTTTTCCTGCCCAATTGTTGTGTTTGTGACAGTCAAGACCAACCTGCTGGGCCTGAGCTCTTTGGACACATCTGCCTTCTGTCGAATGGAGAATGCCCTAATTAATGCCTTCTCTATCCCTGGATCATCCCTTTTCTCTTACTGGGATATCCTTGCCCATTGAGATCAAATGCGTGAGTCCCTTTAGGTAGTAAATTTAGATTCCTTTTGTTAAATGAAAAAGAATTTAGGGATTGGAGAGAGTAGAGGCATTAATATGCCTGCCCTGCACACATGGCTGTTCCTGGTTTGATCCCTGGCATTACATACAGTTTTCGGAGCCCCTCCAAGAGTGATCCCTGAGCACAGAGCCAGGAGTAAGCCCTGAGCACCACCAGGTGTAGTCTCAAAACAAAACAAATCTTAGAGTTAGCTACAGTTTAATCATTTCTCATCTCAAATGCATTGGTTACATTATTGTTTTCTATACATCTTATTTCCAGGAAAAGAAGAAATCTGAAACTCTTCAGAGAGAAGAGTCTGATAATGTGGCTCTTCCCTCAGCCCCCGGGGAGCAGCAGAGCCCAGCTCCGGCATGGGAATGCACGGGCGACCCTCTGCAGGCTGTGCCTGGTTCCCCGCTCCAGCCTGATGCCCGTGCACAGGGCGAGCTTGCCTTGGTCGATGTGCCACTCACCTCCCTGACCCTAAGTGATGAAGGGTCTCTGGTGTGTACGGGGGGCACCCCACAGAAAGAGGAGGAGGCCAGAGGCTGTGTTGGAGACGACGCAGCCCAGCCGCAGGTCAGTTCCGGACTTGCTGTTGGAACCCAAGGAGAGACCCTCAAGGACTTCAGTGCAATGGAGAAAGAGAATGTGGCGCAGAGTGGGCTTCCTGGCTTACTGTCTGGTATTCCATCTGCTCAGCAGGAGATGGAAAAGGTACAGGGCAGAGAAACTCTGCCCAGGGGAGAAGAGAAAGTGGGTCTGAGTCTTCCTTCAGAGGTGCCATGCCATGTGGGCCTGCAGAGTTCTTGCGAAGCCAAAGACGTTTTCCGGACCCCTAAGGTGAAAACTCTGTACCCGCCGTTGCCCGTCGGAGTAGCGGAGGTGCCATCCTTGGTGGTGGCGGCGAAGCCCTCGCTTCGCCACGAGCGACTCTACCCGGAGCTCCCGGACCAGCCGGACCTTGTCCCGTTTACCAAAGAGCAGCTGAAAATCTTTGAGCCCGGCTCGTGGCTGGAGAATGTGGAGGCCTACGTGGAGGAGTTTGACAGCCTGGCCCACCAGGACCGGCATGAGTTTTACGAGCTGCTGTTGAACTACTCGCGCTGCCGGAAGCAGCTCCTCCTGGCGGAAACGGAGCTGCTCACACTCACCGCCGACTGCCAGAGTGCCCGGAGCCGGCTGTGGCACTTTAAGGAGGAGCAAGTGTCTGTGCAGGTATGATGACTTGTGGCCCCAAATGCCCTCAGGATCCGTGTGTGTGTGTGTGTGTGTTGGTGGGGGGCAGGGGGTGTTTGACCATGCTGCTGCTGTTCCTGTAATGCTATCTGGGTCCTGAGGCCACATTCACCCTCTCGGGCCCCTTAGGGTCCCTTCAGGAGTCACTGAGTCCCATGTGTACGGGGCCACCTCAGTGCCGTGGGGAAGTGAAGTGGGGAAGGTCGAGTTGGAGGGTGGCTGCTGGGTACAGTCCTGCCTGGGCCAGTGGAGGGGCAGCTGCTCCTGAGTTCTCGAGAATGCTCTTCAGCATCTCCACGTCTCACAGGTTTCCAAGAGAAGGTAAAAGGGTCTCGTTCATCCATTTACTTTTTAGGCATGCTGCCCCAGTTTGTAATGTTGGCAGGTGAGCTCCGACACTCAGGTGTACTGGGTAGGGCCTGGAGCCCGTCTCTCCAGGTCTCATTTGGCCCATGGACGATGGTTTGTTTGGGACATAGGAGCGGCAACTGGGTAGGGGTGTCTGGAGAGGGCTGATGCAGATCTAGGGGAGGCCATTCGAGGGGACCCTGGGAGTGAAGAGGGAGGCCATTGGGAAGCCACTTCTTGACTTGGGGGAGTTTGTGGGGAGGGGAAGACCGGCTTTGACGAGTCGGATGTCAGAGAAACCCACATTGACTGGGAGGCCTGCCGCGTCTCTGTTGGTGGGAAGGAGTCTGTGGGATGGGCAACAGTTAGCAGTAATACAGGGTAGAAGATAAACAGAAAAGCACTGACAGAGGTGTCAGCATGGGAAAGGAGAGGGGTGTCATCAGGAATGCTGAAAATGGCTACAAAGATAATTCAGAGTCCTTGGAAGTTGGGGGTCTGGCTCATGGACTGCACCAGGGAGTGGAAGGTCAGGTCACGGGTCCGAGAGTCTTACGGAAAAGACCTTGCACTTCTCTTGCACCTTTCCTGAACTCCTCACGATGTCTCTTCACCTGTGCTGCATTTGCAAATGGCATTGGACTCCTCAGCTCCGGCTGGCTCACTCACTCACTTTATTGATCTCCTGGTGCTGTCTTTCCATCGTGGTTTATGAGTGCTTAGAAGATGGTACCTGTGGCCAGCCTAATTAGTTCGGGTTCAAAGAGGAAGTGATTTCTCCTTCCACCCCTCTGTCTCCCTCCAGGGCATCTGTGCGGATCAAGTGAAAGTTTCGGGTTACCACCGTTTCCAGAGAGTGGAGATGAGCGAGGGTGCCCTGGCGGAGCTGCGGAGGCTGTTTGATGCCAAGTCAGAGCACCTGCACCAGACGCTGGCCCTTCACTCCTACACGTCTGTGCTCTCGCGGCTGCAGGTGGAGTCCTATGTCTATGCGCTGCTCAGTAGTCCGCCTGTCCTTCGGGCTCTAGCCGTGCATAAGCAAGGCCAAGGTGTGTAAGTCACAGAGGCACCTGTCTCTCTGTGTCAGCAGGGGCGCGCAGTCCAGCTGGTGTGCTCATTGGTGTTACAGGGGGCTGCTTCTACTTGTTGTCTTACCCTGCTCCCAGTTCAGAGCTGGGTCTCCCCTCACCAGGGCTTCTGTCGAAAGCCCCAAAGAGAACTCTTATCAGTAACGTCCCTTACAGCCCTAATTTACATGCTTGACTCCAACGTCTTTTTTTTGTTTTTTTTTTTAAATCCCCAAACTTGTGACTAGAGGACTTTTTCTCTTGCACTTGACTTTAGCTTGTTCAGCTATTTAATTTTTTTTTTTTTCTTTTTGGGTCACACCCGGCAATGCAAAGGGGTGCATTGGCTCTGCACTCAGGAATTACCCCTGGTGGTGCTCAGGGGACCATATGGGATGCTGGGAATTGAACCCAGGTCGGCTGAGTGCAAGGCAAATGCCCTACCCGCTATGCTATTGCTCCAGCCCCCCCAGCTATTTAATTTTATTAGCTTTTTATCAGAGGTTCTGTGTGGTGTTTCAATTTATTTTATTTTGTGTTAGCCTTTATTGTTTGATGTATTAAAGATCATTTATGGTATTTAAGTCATGTGGTTTTTATTTCTGGGAGAGAGCATTATTATTATTATTACTACTATTTTAAAAAATTCTCCCTCCTGTTGTTTTTATAACTTGTTCAAGATTTGGGGCCAGGCTGAATGAGTTTTGAATTAAAAAAAATTAATTTTCTCTTGCTTTGAAATACTTTGCAAAGTTAAAAAGTACTTTCTTGATTTACATATTTAGTCAAAATTTGTATTTTAATTATTGACTTTTTGTTGGGTGGGGGCATGCCTGGCAGTGCTCAGGGCTTACTCCTGGCCCTGTGCTCAGACATTAAGCATTGTGGAGCTTGGAGCACCTTCTCTGATGCCAGGGACTCAGGTTGGGCATGTGAAAGAAAAGATCCCTCCCTACCGTACTCTCTCTCTTTGGCCTTGACATATAGATGTTTTGGTGCACCATTTTTCTTTAGAATTTTATCTGAACTAAATATATATATATTTAATCCTTTATTTATTTATTTTACTTTTTGGGTCACACCTGGTGATGCACAGGGGTTTACTCCTGGCTCTGCACTCAGGAATTACTCCTGGCGGTGCTCAGGGGACCATATGGGATGCTGGGAATCGAACCCGGGTTGGCCGCGTGCAAGGCAAACACGCCCTACCCGCTGTGCTCCAGTACCTGAACTAAATATTTTTTGAAGAGATTTTATTGTTGTTTGTTTTTAAGTGGAGACACTAAAATTTCTCCCCTAAAATGCCATTTCCATGTGACTTGCTTAATTCTCTTTCTCTCTAGCTTCCAAGCAGACGGAAAGCATTCCCTCTGATCTTTATCAGCTAAAGGAGTGCATTAGTGTCTTATTCATGTTCACCAGGAGAGTTAATGAAGATGCTCAGTTCCACGAGGATATTCTTCTCTGGCTGCAGAAACTGGTAAGGGAACAGGAGTGGATACTATAGTCTTCCTTGTGTCTCCCCGAACATGGGAGTCTTATCACTTGTTTTCTTTGAATTTTTCTCTGGCAGCTTCTTCATCTAATTCATTTAATTTGTTCTTTTGTCACATTTTCTTACATCATAACATGTGGAAGTAAGTTATACTGACCTGGTGCACAGTTATGCCCAGTCTTTTTCTCTTTGCTACACCATAGTTCTCAATGGTCTCAGCCCATCAGCTTAAGAAGCAATCGAAATATGAAAAGTATTCTAAATTTAAAACTAGCTGTGTATTCACAGCTATATATATTGAAACCTAGCTAAATATTCTCACGTTGTTTCTTGGTGGTTTTTATTCTCAGACCACACTTGATGGTTGCTCTGGGGTCATTCCTGGTGGGGGGGTGTGTTTGTCGGGGGGGTGTGTGTGATGACATAATAACATCTTTCTTTCTGACTCTTTAAGATTAGAAAGAAAGATGTTAGGATTTGGGTAACTTAGAAAAGATGTTAGGTATATACCAATGTGTGGGGAATAGTATTTGTTCATTGGTTATGTTTGCTTTTATTTTAGGGGGTCAGTATCAGGCTGAGTCCAGGTCTCACACATGCAGGGTGGGCATTGCACTACTGAGCCACGTCCCTGCCTACATTTCTCAGGGGACTGTGCTCCCAGGGGGCTGTGTTTTGGATTCATATTAGAGTTCTTGATTGAGACTCCACAGATACTTCTTTGGATCTGAGCAGCCTTTGCAAACTGAGAATAGATTAGATTTCAGTGGTCCAAATACGTGATGTCTGACTTGCCTGATAATATGTATATAATTATATATTATTATATATAATCTTCCACACTTACTTGACAGGAGACATTAGCAGGGTAAGGGACTGCATAAAATGAAACACTCCAGAGTTTCATTATTTAATATATATAATATATATAATTGGTTTGTAGAGAAATGGCTAAGTAGATGCAGGCCTCTGCAATGGATACTGTCTTTATTTACAGTAAATCTCACACCTGATTGCTTTTTGCGAAGATGTTTTGTATCTAAGCATCAGCTAAGTGACTTCTTTCCGTATGTTTTCTTTGTATATGGTGAAATGCTTGACCCTTGCCGTCAGGTGTCAGTGTTACAGAAAGTCGGCTCTCCTGGAGATCACCTCTTCCTTCTGAACCATATTCTTCGGTGCCCGGCTGGTGTCAGCAAATGGGCTGTCCCTTTCATCCAGGTATGACGAAGGAGGGTCCCACTGATATTGACGGGTATAGAGGGGCGATTTTGGTGAACGCTCTCTCCCGAAGAAACACCTTTTTTTGGGGGTGGGTGGGTGGGGGTAGCGGTAGGAAGAAGGCTGTTTTGAAAATGTTGATATTTAAAGTTTATCCAGGATATAGACTTTGGGGTTTTTAATGCCTGAACTTCATAGGCCCCTTACACTTGATGAAATTAAGATGCAGTTGGAAGAGTACAGTTGTTAATCTGGCTTTAGTGGAGTCAACAGAATTTAATTGTATATAATCTTTCTCCTGGAAGACTTGATTGGAGTTTTTCCTACGCCCCAACACAGCTCCCTAAACTGACCCACCACAATACTGTAATGGCACAGACAGTACGAATCCGTCAGAAGGCCACGTGTCTGATCATGGGATCATGTCATCTGCTGTAGGTTGTGTGGTTTAGAGGCTTGTTTGTTAAATATGGGATCATGATCCCATCAAGTGCATCATGAATCCTAAATAAGCTCCACATTGCCCTTGCCTTGGTATTTCCCGTGGGGAGAGTTTTGACTCTTTTTGGTAGGAGTTTTTTTTTTTTTCTTCTGTTTAGTTTATCTTTGGATTAAAAGAGCAGTATTTCTCCTTCTCCCCATATCATTACATTTAGCTAACTGCTCAGCTGCCTCTAATTCTGAGCACAGTGGAATCAGTCCATGGTGGCCCACACCTAAGCTGTGAGCCACTCTTGTGGATTAGGTGCCATCTCTTGCTCTGCTCTCAGAACAGCGCCCCTTGTCTGAGTGGCGGGGAACTGAGATGATGGCTTCCCAGTTGTTGGTTGGCTACAGCAAGCTTTTCCTTTTCTGATTTCAGATCAAAGTGTTGAATAGCCCATCTGGGGTGTTTCATTTTATGCAGTCCCTTGCCCTGCTAATGTCTCCTGTCAAGTAAGTGTGGAAGAGCTTTGCAAAGTAGACATGAAGATGCTTCTTTCTAATAAACGATTGGCTTCCTGAATGCCCCAGTCCAGTTCTGGAATTGTTTCAGGGAGTGTCAGCATTTCACTCTATTGCTTCTTTGTTTTGTTTTGGGTCCTACCTAACAGTGCTCAGGATTTACTCCTGGCTCTGCTCTCAGGGATTGCTTCTGGAGGGGTTCAGGGAACCATATGGGGTGCTGGGAACTGAACCTGGGTCTGCCTTATGTAAGGCAAGCGCCCTACCTGCTGTACTAGCTCTCTGACCCCAGCATTCCATAGTTTACCATGGTGTATTTTATTGAGCTTTCTTCCCTCTGTCCCCAGTGACGCTATGAAGTTCTGACACCTTAAGCTATTTATCCCCATTTTAGTGGGGTTGCCTCTTCTGTAGGTAGACACGATCCTCTGTTCCATAGAAGAAGAGATTTTCTTAGCAGTGGAGGGAGAAGCAACTTGAGCATTTAAGATTTAAGGACTCACTTGTGCAGCTCTGCCTGCTTCTATAGAGTGAAGAGACACTAGAGTAGAGTGGAATCACCAGGGTGGGTCCCAAGGCTGAGCTGGCCTTGAAGAATGGAACCGATTTAGTAGGAGATAAGGAAGGGTGTTCCCCCTATGGGAGAAAAGTGATGCTTCAAAGTAAAGGCCATGACAGTCAAGACGGAGAGGGTTTGGCCTTAGTGAGGCCGTAGTGTGATATAGACACTGAGACAGAAATCAGCAGTATAGTCTGGCTTTTTAACAACAGCGGGTTTTTTTTTTTTAATGAGGCTCAGAGTTGTAATTGAGGATGCTGAGGAAAATGAATGGCTTTGGCATTCATCTCTGGCTGTGGCCCTCATGCCATTTTAGGGGGGCATGTCTTAAACCCAGGAGAGAGGCAGAGGCTTGCATCTGGGTTACCTTGATGACGGTGTCCTAGCCCTGTGCTCTTGGGCCTGAAAGCCTTCGTGAGCCCAGAATGAGGGCATAGGATGGGAACAGGAAAGGGACCCCGGAAGGTTCCTTCCTGAGGAAGGGTAAAAAGGCTGGCCTGGACAGGCATTGTGGGGAAGTTTAGAGCTTGGGATCTTAAACTCTGGGTCCTCACCCCACTTGGGGTCATGGGACTGAGTATGGTTGCAAAAAGAAATGTGTCGTTTCTCAGTGAACGGTTTTATACCTATTTTGTATACCCAAGGTCCCGTAAAAATTTATCAGGCAAAATGGGGTCACAAGTGGAAAAAGTTTGAAAGGCTCTAGATTGGACATAACTTCTGATTCACAGTGACTGAGAGGATGTTGATAACCCCAAGAGATAGGATAAAATGAGAGCTGTCTAGTAAGAAGAAAACTTGGGGGTCATGTAGGGACACGGTGACTCCAGTCAGGTGACAAAGGCCAGTGGGAAGCGTGACCCTTAGGATTGGAACTTCTTGGGCTGGGCTGCCGGCACCAGAGCTGCAGAGCCCAAAGTGGTGGGAGAAAGTTCTGGTGGAAGGAAGGTATGGACCCATTTTCAGGATCAGACCGGAAAGGAAGGGCCAGAACACTGTGTATTAGATTGGGGTCTAACAGCAGAACCTCTTCAGACCCAGCCAGACCCAGACACAATGGGACCGCTCCTCTCTGTGGTAGACAGAATATGAGTTAAAAATGTTAAGCACTAAGATTTCCTCACTTTTTGCCTCTGTGTTCTCTGCCTGTTTTTTTTTGGGTTAGCATATGGACTGTGGTGGTTCAGCAGGTAGCGCTCCATGGCCTGCCTGGAGCTGAGCCTGCACAGCAGTCACTGCTTTTGAGTACCCACCGTGCGCCCAGAATTCTCGCCATCCTGCAGTGACTCATTATGTTCCTGCATGTGGCCCTGGGCTCGGTACCGGAACATGGGAGCTATGTGGTCTCTTTGAGTCCCAGAGCCCATATTTGTTCCTCATGGACAGACGTCAGGCCGGGGTTTGGCTTGGAGGTAGGCTGGGTGGAGGCCCCAGGGAACCCTGTTGCCTCTCTGTGCCCATGTGACTGGTTTCCCTTGTCCTTCAGAAACCGAGCGGAGTTCCTGTGCCACATGAGGCCCAGCGACGGGAAGGCATCGTCCTCGGGGCCTGCCTCTGGATCCTGGACGCTCGTCGATGAGGGAGGAGAAGAGGTAACGTGCTGTCAGTGATGTTTTCTTAAATTGTTTCTGAGCTCTTGGTTTGGGCCAGGTGTTATTCTGAGCACTTTTTATATCTGTGTGTGTAAGTAGGGGGGAGGGGTGCACAGCCAGCAGTGCTCAGGGGCTCAATGCTGGGGATTGTTCCTGGTGCTCCGTGCAGTGCTGGGGGCCAGCCCCAAGCCTCCCGTGTGCCAAGTGGGAATTCCAGTCCTTTGCGCTGTTTCTCCGGCCCACTTTTTACATCTTACCTTGTTGGGTTTCCCAACAGCACAAGGAGGCAGTTGCTTTTATGATCCTCATTTTAGAGTTAAACCCTGAGGTACAGGTGGGCGAAGTAATTTGTCCTGGTCCTGTAGTGATTTAGTGGTAGAGGGATTGGAGGGGGGTCGGGTACCCCCCAGGATGCTGTGCTGGGCTGGTAGCCAGGCAATTTGGGGGCACTTTCTGTTTGTGGGCTTGAAGATGTTAGATTTCCAGAGGGGCGCTGAGTAGCTTGTGTGTGCAAAGCAGGAGGGAGGCCAATACCTTTGGGCTCTTGGTTCTAGCACCAGAACTTGAGCCGCTGTGCTGTGCTTCCGGCTGCCTCTCAAAGACCTTCCTGTTCAGCTGGGCGAATTTGGAGCCTTCAGATCCTCACCTAACCACATTTTTCATATTTATTTACTTTCTGTTTTTCCCTCTTTGGGGCACGCCAGGTGGTATGAAGGGGCAGTGGCCTAGAGCAGTGCTCAGAGGAGCATGTGGTGCTGGGATCCATTGAGGGGCTCCAGCTGTGAGCCATCTCCCACACTGAGGATTTTCATTCAGTGGCACATTTCTGGGTTTGCGAGCTGACCTGTAGCCATCTTCGTTATTAAGAACTGGAACCTACCAAGGTTTTGCCTTAAGAATTTCTTACCCAGATTTTCTTTTTTAATCGAATCACTGTGAAATACATAGTTACGAAGTTATTCATGTTTGGGTTTCAGTCATACAGTGTTCCAGCACCCATCCCTTCACCAGTGTAAGTTTCCACCACCAATGTCCCCAGGGTCCCTCCCAGCACACACTCCCTCTCAGCCTGCCTCTTTGGCAGACACTTTTACTTTTTTTTCTCTGTTTCTCTCTCTGTACCCTTTTTTGCACTTGGTTTGCGGTGTTGTTACCGAAAGGTTATCGTGTATATCACTTTAGATTTTCTTTTTTGAAAGGTTGAAGGTGGTTCTCTTTGGCAAGAATACAATGATCAGAATTCAGTTTCTTAAGACACTTGATTCATTCTGTTGATCCTCGCTCCCCTGCACTCTCCTGCCCTCACTCCAACCCCAGTTAGTGTATTTGTAAGGAGTTTTACTACCAGTTTTGATCAGTCCTTGTATTTTTTTTTTTGATGGTCCCAATCCTGATTTGATGTGATTGTTCAGGATAGCTGGGGCCCAGTTTACTGAAATTCCTTCTTGTCACCAGAGTGACAGCACTGGCAGCTGTGGGACTCTGGCCAAGTGCTCATCACTCCTCCTGGGACTCAGGGGAAGAAATGTGCTGGGACAGATGTGGAGGAAAAACTGTGCCACAGTGCCTGGCTCCGGGCTGGTTCTGTGGGGAGGAGAGGGACCTTTGCGGCGGCGCTGATGATTCAGGAGAGGTGCTGGAGGGAGCGCTGTGGAGGGACCATCCTTGGCAGGTTGCTGGACACTTAAATGTCTGTTAGAGCCACCCTAAGCCACACCTGACTGACAAATAGTGAAGCACCTCCCTCGGGATTCTGTAGCCAGAGCTGAGAGCCCCTGGCCTACTGTTTCCTGAGTCTTTCGTGGGTTAGCCATTTACAACACGCAAAACTGGTGGAAATGAGTGGCCTATAGAAACGGAATGAACTCTGTCAGTCCTTGTTGAAATTGTGATCATGTATTCTTCCTTCAGCTTCTCTGGGTCTCAATGGAGCCTTCGCCCTTCGCCTGTGACCCTAACCTATCTTAGGGTATAGGGCAGCTGGGTTTCTAAGGTGACTTTAGTGCCCTGTATTCCCCCCACCCCCCCCCCCACCCCCCCACCCCCGCCGGTGATTTCCCTTCCTTATCCATGATGTTTTCATGCTCATTTCCACCCTTTTTCTTCATTGCTGATTGTTTGGGCTCAAGGACTTGATTTATTCAGTATCCTCAGTTGCTGTTGTCAAAACACTGAGCTGTATGCAAGGTCTTCCCCTTACTCTTCAGGGGTTTGAATCTTCTTTGGGATGAAAATGTAATGAGAACTTTTTAGCCACCGAAGAATGGTCTGACCTAGATGCAGACTTGGGCAGGGGCTTATCAGGCCATTGGTCTTGGTCCTGGAGGAGAAGCCCTTGGTGTGTGGTACCACAGAGGCACCAGTGAGGCCTGTGATGTTGTGAATCTAAAACCGTCATCTGACTGAATCTTTGCACATTTTCCCTTAGGACGAAGATCCTGAGGCCAGTTGGATCCTCCTAAATGAGGATGACCTCGTTACTCTCTTGTCCCAGTTCCCATTCCAAGAACTCTTTCAGCATCTTCTTGGGTTTGAAGCCAAAGGTAACTCATTTCTGTGGCAGAAGGTGCTAGTGCTCCACTTCCACAAGGTCTCGCAGCTCCGGCCATGTTCAGCTGCCCTCATGCCCAGTCACATGGCAGCCGCTGCCTCACCTCGCTGATGCTCCCTTCCTTTCTGCCTCACTGACCGACATTCCTGTGTGGTGTGTGAAGGCACTAAAAGACCAGCTCACTTGTATGACTGTGCTTGAGTAAATTGTAATTTTGTGCTGGCTCTCTTGAACATTGTCATAGGAACCAGAATTATGGGGGTGGTTGTTTCTCTGTTTCTCTGTCTAGGGTCGATTTCCTCCTCCCTGAAGTCTGTCTCCTGCTCTCACCCATCAGGATTCTTCCATAGTAATCTCATCTTTTTGTGGTTTCTTTCTTTTTTGGATTTACTTCTAGGTGATTATTTACCCGAGACGACAAGACCTCAGGAGATGATGAAAATGTTTGCCTTTGCCAACTCGTTAGTGGAACTTCTGGCTGTGGGCTTGGAAACCTTTAATAGAGCTCGCTACCGACAGTTTGTGAAGCGCATCGGTTATATGATCAGGTAATACTGCAGGTGGATGCCTCTTCCTCCATGCTGTGGTCAGATGCTGACATCACATAGTGGATGTGACAGGCATTTTGGTATTGACCTCAGGTCTTATTTTTCACAAAAATGAGACATTTCCCCCCCCCCCCCCCGCCATCTGCTAGATGGGGATTTTATGAGCCCTTCCAGCCAGAGTATTTAGATAATTATCTCACCACTCTTTAAGTGGGTTATTCGGCAACTGGACTTTGGGTCAGGCTCCTCAAAGCCACACCTACCTTGAACTTGACCTGAGAGAAGGGGGGGGGGGTCATAGAAATGTTGCTCTTCATCTTCCTTCTCTCTCCAAGCTTCTGCCTGAGATTTGTCACAGAAACTGGCAGTAACTCTTTTGCCTCCTCTCCTGCTTTTGCTCTCTTATTTATTCTTTATTTTCTGGTTTTGGGGCCATCCCTGGCAGTGCTCAGGAGTGACCCCTGGTGGTGTTCAAGGTACCTTATGTGCTACTGGAAACTCAGATAGGGTTACAGCTACTCTCGCCACATGCAAGGCTAGTGCCTCATCTGCTGGTCTTACCCGCTATACTCTTTTATACTCTTTACCCTGTCCCCAGCACCCCCCCCCCATGCCTCTCCCTCCCCCCCCCCCCCACACTCCTCTCTTCAGTTTTGCTGAGTATTTTTTTGTTTGTGTGTGTGATTTTTGATTTGTGACTTAGGTCTATTTTTTTGTGTGTGATTTTTGATTTGTAACTCAGGGTTTACTCCTGACTCTGAACTCAGGGATCACTCCAGGCCACTCAGAGAACCTCCTGTGGGGCCGGAGATTGAATCTGTCTCAGCTGCTTATAAGGCAGGTGCCTCAGCCCCAGACTCTTTCTGACTCTCATTCTTCTCTCTTTATAAACTAAACACGATCACACTTCTGAGAACTTAATTCTCTCAGATGCTTGTGTATCCAGCTGCCACTTCTGTACCTCCTCCGGGATGCTGGGGATTTAAAACTCTCTAACTGCCTCCCACCTGTGCCCTCCCACCATTTTCTGCATTTCCCTGCCTTGCCACTGTGTTCTCAGGCCATGGTTCCTTGTGTCCCCTTGACATGTCTCTTTGGCATCCCGCTTCTAGTCTGACCACCAGTTCTGTCATCCCTCCTTTCAGAACAGCCTCTTTCGTCCAACCAAAGAGGCCCTGGCTTCTGAAGACATTTGCTGTGTGTCACTAAGACAGGCGAGTCACTGCCGTGACGGTGTGTCCTCCGTTTGAGACTCACTGTGGGAGCTCGTCTTAGTCGCGTCTCACCTCCTGCCCCCTTGGTGGTGCTTATGCGCACCCGTGTCCTGTCTCTTTTCCTGCACACGTCTCACTCAGCCTCATCGCTCTCCACTAGGAGCTGGCTCTGGTCACTCCTCTTCCCAGGACGCTGTGTTCTGTCACCCTAGGTGAAAACAGGGGCCCTCCTGGAGGGGCCTCAGGGGCCCCTTCCCCTTCCTGAGGGGCTATCCTGCTGCCTCGCCCTTACTCACTGTGTTAAGGATTCTGCGCCCCCCCAACCCTCTCGTTTCTATTCATGGGTGCTCTTTCGGAGATATCCCGAGACTGCTTCCGGGCTGTACGCTCTGTGTCTCCTCTGGGAGGCCTCGCCTGCTCCTGACCAGTCCTCTGTTCCCTCTCCACCCACCTGGGACGCTCCTGTGAACTGCTCTCCTCTCCCTCTATTACTGTGTATTTCTCCAGGTCCCTTCACCCCCAGACAGACTGCATTGTAACGAAATTTGTGTCTTGTCCAGTATAACGGAGGTTCCAGGAAGGGAGAGTTCACTCCCAATCCTGCTGGATTCCCTTCCCACCCTGGGCCAGAGGAGGTGGTCCGTAAGCACGCGCTGAATCAGATGCACTGCAAAGGTGTCAGGATCCAGTGCAGTGATGAAAAGCACTGTCTTGCCTTTCCTTGTGCCCAGGATGACCCTCGGCTATGTGAGTGACCACTGGGCGCAGTATGCCAGCTGCAACCACAACCTGGGATCGGCCGTACAATCGCCCTTCTCCACGGCCAAACTGCAGCTGGAGTTTGATGAGCTGTTCCTGAGAGCTGTTCTGCATGTGCTGAAAGCCAAAAGGTAAGTGGGGTGGCACTCTCTGGGCAGGGGCATCCCAGCTGATGGGGACGGCCCGTGTGGGAAGGCACTGACCGCTGAGATGCTGGGGCTCATCTCCTTCCCGGCCTGGGCACATTCGTGGCCTTTCCTTCTCTGGGGACAGAAGTGACCTCCCTTTGGGTTTCTTTGAGTCTTCAATGACCCACTTCTGATGCCTCCTTTTTGCCGCCCCTGAACTTTCCATGTAGCCTTGAACTCTTTTTCACTCCCCCCTCTAGTGCTTCCAATGCCACGGAAATGATCAGGACCCAGTGCACGTGACTGTTGGTTGAAGCGGTCTCCCTGTGAGGCCGTGAGCCCTGGTCCTGGCTTCACAGTTGAAATGGCCTGTGCCGCTCACAGCCTGTGCTGCCGCCCACAGTCCAGGATGTGCTGAGTTGCGTGTCCATTCTGCCTTCCCTGGCTGGCCAGTGGAGCACAGCTGGCAGTGCCTGCAGGTCACTGGCGGTACTGGGGTGCCATGAGGTGCCGGGTTCAAACCTGAGCCGCCCATGTGTCTGCTCTGTCCTTAAACCTATTTCTCTGAGCCAATACTATTATTGTTGTGTTCATGCAGGTTTTCCTTTTTTTTTTTTTTGGTGTTCTTTCCCTCCAAATAACATAAGGTCTTGAGTTTTTTTTTTTTTTAAATTGAGATAAAATTCTCATAGAACCTTAAGAAACATTTGATTGATTGATTTTTGAGAAGACTGTTTGGGTATCGGGTAACTGAAATACAAGATTCGAGGTTATACACTGGTTTATTATAGAAAGATGATCTGCTCTCAGATCGCTGTGGCAAGCTGGTGTAGACAAGTGACTTTTTCCAGCAAGATTAAAAAGAAGCTGTCTTAGCGGGAAGCAAGCTGTTATTTCTCCTGTTTGGGCAGGAGGCCTATCTGTTTCTTCACCCTGTTCTCTTTATGACTTGCAGACTTGGCATCTGGCTGTTCATGTCTGAAATGCCCTTCGGGACGCTATCGGGGCAGATGCTCTGGAAGCTCTTCTACCTCATGCACCAGGTGGAGAGCGGGAACCTGGAGCGGCTCAGCGCCACTCTGCAGCCTGCCGAGTGCAAGAAGCACCTGCAAGGTACAGCTGGGCTGCCTGTCCACTTGTGTTCTGCGTGGCTTTGTTCTCGTCTTGCTCTTAGAAGGACTAACAGGCGTGTTTTACTCCATGTGCTTGTGCCGTCATTTTGAAATCCAGAAGACTGCTTTGTTGTTTTGGATTTATTAGCGTGATAATTTCACTTTGTATTATTCTATACATTTTCTGCATATATTATAACTCCAGCGTGGTGGTTGTGGTTGGGGGGCGCGGGGGGAGTGAAAAATGAAAATTGAGTTGGTAAATGCACTGTGGATTTGTTTAGAAAACAATGGAAATTTGATGAACTAGCCTTGATCTCGCAAGTGTGTCATCATAGGTAAATGATCGTTGGATTGTTACTGGAAAATATTTCAGTGCTGGACTATATACATATATGTGTGTGTGTGTGTGTGTAGGAAAAATTTCAGCGCTGGAATATATATATATATATATATATATATATATATATATATATAATCGACGAACAACAGGGTGGTCGTGATCGTGATCGTGATATATATATTTTGGGGGGGTGTCATACCTGGCAATGCACAGGGGTCACTCCTGGCTCTGCACTAAGGAATTACCCCTCATGGTGCTCAGGGGACCATATGGGATGCTAGGAATGGAACCTGGGTCAGCTGCGTGCAAGGCAAATGCCCTACCCGCTGTGCTCTTGCTCCAGCCTCTGGAATATATATTTTTAACTGACACTTTTTTGTTTTTGAGGGGTGGTATTGGAGTAGGTGTATTCTTTGGGACAACTTTGCCCTTGTAGCACTGAGTTTTCTTTGCTGTGTTGCAAAGCTTCCTGTCCATACTGCCTTCTGTAAGCCATAGTGTTGTATATATGGTGCCTAAGATACAGGTAAAACATTTCCACTGACCTGTTCATCAGTAGTTCAGTTATGGTTAGAACCAATTTCTTTCCAAATTTTTTGTTTGGTTTTTGGCGCACATCTGGTGGTGTTCAGGGCTTACTCCTGGCTTTGCACTCAGGGATAACTCCTGGCATTACTCAGGGAGCCATATGAGGTTCTGGGAATCGAACTTGGGTTGCGTGTGCAAGGCAAGTTGCTATCCTACCCCCAATTCTAATTTATATTGATAAATCAGTTTTTTTATTGTAAGTTTTTATTTTTTTCATTTTGGATGCCTGTTACATGGAAGTTTGGTGTATCTGACTTTGTTTTTGTATTTTTTTCCCCCTGGTCTTAGCAGTATCATTACTGGGCTGTTCCTCTGTGGGTCGAGTTATCAGGTGGCTTCTGGTATGTCTTGGAGATGTCTCACCTGGGGATAGCAGTCATACTTTAACTTGACAGAGCACTTCAGTGACATATTATCTGACTTTAAGTAGCCTTAAATGAGCGAACTGAGTTTTTATATGTTCCCTCTGAGGTTACATTACACACAGGACTGAAATTTTGCTTCACTCATCTTTCTTGTGCCCATAGAAATATATTCTGAAGTAAAGAAGGAACCATTGTGTTTTTGAATATTTCTCTGTCTTCTCATTCTCAGTTACCTTCTTTCTCTCAGGAAGATCATTCAAGTGATGATTATCTACTCTTCCCTCTTTCAGTTTTTTTTGACTTGACTTTGCAGACCCAGAACATTTTGTGAACTTTGAGAAGTGTCTTTCATCCATGAATAGCTCGGAAGAGATTTGCCTTCTCACTACCTTTGCTCAGATGGCTCAGGCCAAAAGAACCAATGTGGATGAAGACTTCATCAAAATCATCGTTCTGGAGATATATGAGGTGAGGGCATTAAACTGAGAATCAGCTAAGAATGCTTTCTTTTCTATTGTCCATTTACCTTTTTTCGGGATTTTTCTTTCTTTTTTTAAAATATGACCACCTTATATTGCATCCTTGTGTGGAAATAGAACGTCAAAAGCCCATGGTTTGATTATAAAGAACATTGAATCTTGAGTTTATGCCCATCCCATTTACCCTTCAACTCTTCCTGTAGTAATCCAGCCTTAACCAAAACTCCTGTTTTAGCATGACCTGTGACCCAAGCCCCAGCCCCTCTCCTCTGACTCTGCCTGGTTTCCAAGCCTGTTTAACTGAGGTGGAAAGAATGCTGAAGCTCAGGTTGGACCTGGGTTGCTTTTATGTCCGTAATCTGCCCATCTCATCTAGAATACTGTGTGCTATTGTGTCTTGAGTTGCATTATAACATGACAGATTGGGGGGGGGGGGTGAAACACTTGCTTTTTTTTAAAAAAAAAAAAAACTTTTCACTGCGCTATTTCAACTCTCTCCAGTAGTTCTAGTTTGAGAATAACAGACCTGTGTCATCTAAAGTTTCTTTCAGGATCAAATATTCTTTTTTTTTTTTGATCCTACTCATGAATGCTCAGGGCTTCCTATGGGCTCTCTGCTCAGGTATTTCTCCTGGGGGTGCTCTTAGGGACCCTAAGTAGTGCTATGGATAAGCCAGTGGTCCACTGAGTGCAAGGCAAGTGCTTTCAGACCTCAGGATCAAATATTCTATTAAGGACGTCCTCTGCTTGTACTTAGTACTCTGTGTGAGGTTGAGGCCTAGAGGAATGCGGAATACCAGCTATATTCATAAGGGGAGATGTAATATATATATTTTTAACATATATTAAATGGCATTCTCAGGGGCCACCACTAGGGTAATATTTATACTCTTGGACATTTTGAGAGTTTTTACCATTGCTTAGAGTCAAAATTACATTACTATACATGGCTGGAGCGATAGCACAGCAGGTAGGGCGTTTGCCTTGGATGCAGCTGGCCCAGCCAAGCTGGGTTTGATTCCTACGCCCCTCTCGGAGAGCCCAGCAAGCTACCGAGAGTATCTCGTCCGCAAGGCAAAGCCTGGCAAGTTCCCGGTGATGTATTCAATATGCCAAACACAGTAACAACAGGTCTCAAAATGGAGACGTTACTGGGCCCTTAATCACTTAATCACTTAACTTCCCGTTAGTCATCGATTTGCTCGAGCGGGCGCCAGTAACGTCTCCATTTGTCCCTGTCGCGTGCTAGTGTAGCCCAATGGCATCTGTTCACTCTGGGAACATGAAGAGCCTCAAACCGATCGTTCATGATCTTGATGAAGAAGTCTGACCATCTGGTAGATGGGCGGCCACGCAGTCTTTTGACATCCTGTGGAGTCCAGTCAGTAACAGCTCTAGTCCAGCGGTCGTCTTTAAATCTCATTACGTGACCAGCCCATCTGATTTTTGACACCTTGGCAAACGAGACAGCGTCCCTGATTCTTGATCGTCGACGGATGTCGGAACTCCAGATTCTTTCTCTCATTTGAGTGAAATGTGATATTCCAAGCATAGCTCTTTCAATTCCTCTTTGGGAGACCCGAATAGCATTCTCATCCTGTATACGTAGGGCCCAGGTCTCTGAGGCATATGTTAATGCAGGAAGAACAATGGAATCAAAGAGATGTGCCCAGAGCCGGAGGTTCTTCGTCCTCTAGCTATTTCTTCAACGTTCTTGAAGGCGTTCCAAGCCGCCCTCTTCCTCCTGCACAGCTTGGGTGCCAGGTCATTTGTCATGTTGACTGACTTTTCGACCTAGGTACACATAGCTGTTGCATTCGGAGATGGTCGTTCCGTTGAGAGCGAATGGGGCGTCAGGAACGAGACTGTTTCTCATAAACATTGTCTTCATAAGATTCAGCTGTAGTCCTCCTTTCCACACTCACGGTCAAAGTCGGCCAGCATTTGTGCCGCTTGGCTGATGTTTGGTGTTATTAAAACAATGTCATCAGCAAAGCGGAGGTGGTGTAGTTGCCGACCATCTATCTTCACTCCCATTCCTTCCCACTCCAGTTGTTGCGTGATGTTCTCGAGGGTGGCACTGAAGAGTTACTGGGCCCGCTCAAGCAAATCGATGAATAACAGGAAGATAGTGCTAGTGATAGTGCTAGTGCATTACATGTGTAACAATGATTATTTGGTTTTGAGCCACACCTGTGAGTGCTCCCAGGCTGTTCTCAGTGTGGCTCCTGGCAGTGTTTGTGTGTGTGTGGGGGGGGGGGGGGGGGCGGAGGGGGTTGGGACCTTGTGCTGGGGTCAGACCCACCCTCTCACCCCTCTCACAGACAAAGCACATATCCTGCCCTTTAGGTATCCCCTGGCCCTGAAGCATATTTCACCTGATCCCGCTACACCTTTCTGGTCTGTTTTATTCCATTATTTTCCCATTCCAGGCCAGTGTTTTTCGTATGATGTTACCATTGGAACCGTGGATGTAACCTTCCACTTGTAGGGCATTGTTCAAGGTGTTGGCCAAGAGATGTGGCGTGGTGGTCGAGTGCTTGCCTTCCTGGTGTGAGGCCTGGTTTCTTCCTCCGCTCTCCTGGGATTAAAGCATGACGCCATTGCTGCCGCCTGCTTTCCCCTTGGTGTTCCTGATGCCAGCAGGCGCCAGTTACCCTTGCCCTTCCATCCTCTCTCCTGCCTTGCCTCAGGGCAGACAGTTTGCACTCGGCAGCTGACATGGTATGAACCAAGGTTCACTGTGAGGCTGCCTGCTGTACTTGAGAAGCCCTGATAAAGCTGGGAGATGCTTTCTGGCCATGCTTGGTATTTAATGGGACATCTCTCTACTTCCTGTTTTCAGGTCTCTTATGTCACACTCTCCACCCGAGAGACATTTTCGAAGGTTGGTCGTGAGCTGTTAGGGGCCATTACGGCTGTTCATCCTGAGATCATTTCTATCCTTCTGGATAGAGTTCAAGACACTATTGACCAGGTTGGAATGGTAAGAGCTCTGACTTGGTTTGTTTTTCATGCTCTTTTATAAACCTTTCAGTCTTCACTGAACAGATGATGAGTTGGCTGTGGGCAGTAACTGATTCCTGTTCACAACAGGAAGAAGAGGACCCAGGTCCTGTCCCTGCTCAGTCCCTCACTAGGGCCTGGACTTAGCTGCTTTAGATACAAACTTGGATTTGTTTGTTTGGGTTTTGTGTTTTTGATTTTGGGCCTCAACTGTGCTCAGAGCTTACTCCTGACTCTGTGCCCAGGGCTCACTTCTGACGGGGCTCCGAGGTCCCCTGTGGCGTCCTGGGGATTGAATAGGGGTTGGCTGTATGCAAGGAAAATGCCTTCCTTGTTGTGCTGTTTCTCTGGACCCCAAACTGAGATTTTTCTTTCATCTCTTCCTTCAGTGTCGAGGCTGTACTTTTGCTATACCCTTTAGTTCATAGTTTTTATGTCACAATTTTATTTCCACACTTTATGATTTTGTTCCCTTTTTATGTTTATTCTTGGAGGAACTTTGATTAAGAGAGGAGGCTCTGTTGATTTAGCCCAAAGCAGAATGAAAAATCCCTAGCTTTAGTTATTGAGCAAGGTCACGGTTTATTTCTGTCATTTATCACGAACATTTTGGTATACGTGAGTGTTTTTTGGGGTTTGTTTTAGTTTTTGGACATTACTGGTGGTTGGATTTGGTTCACTAAAATTTTGCTGTGGGGGCCAGAGAGACATTCCTATGTCTGTAGTAAGGTAGGATCAAGGACTTGTTTTTGCATGCATCTACCTCAAGTTTGATCCCTGGCACTACATATGGCCCCTTCACGATTAAGCCCTGAGCATTGCCAGGTGTAACTCAAGAACAAAAATAAAAGCAGACCAAAAAAAAAAAAAGGCTTATTCTTACTTTTGGAGAAAAAATTTGCATGTATTTTGATAACATAGTGTTACAGTAATGTCCACTGGTTTTGATTGTAATTGGTTTTTATTTTCTTTTTTATAAGGTTTCTTTATATTTGTTCAAAGAACTGCCTCTGTATCTCTGGCGACCTTCTCCTTCTGAGATAGCTGTGATTCGGGATTGGTTGTTGAATTATAACCTGACAACAGTGAAGAATAAATTGGCCTGTGTCATCCTAGAAGGACTGAATTGGGGATTTGGTGAACAGGTGTGTGTTCAAAACCTGTCCCTAGAGATGGAGGATGCAACCCCAGTCAGGTTCGAAGAGACATTTTCTGCAAACACTAACCTTTCCAAGTGGCCTTTGCATCAGAGTTTAGCATCTTCTCTTTCATTCTGTTTCACACTGTGAACATCCTCAGAATGAAGGTAGATTTTTCCCAGCTGAAAATTCTTTCCTTTTCCTTTAGGCCATTTGAATCCTTATTTTCTCTTTAGTTCTCTTTTTTTTTTTCTTTTTGAGTGGGGAGACAAGGTGGTTTGATTTGGGTTTGGTATGGTTTGGGCTACACCTGTTTCTGAGCTTAGGGATCATTCTGGTGGGGCTTAGAAGACCATATAGGGTGGAACCTGGGTTAGCAAATTACAAGAAAAGTGCTTACTTCTGTGCTGTCTCTCAGGCCCCTAGCACTAGTTCTTTAGTTTTTTTACCGCACTTCCTTCTTGTTTGTGCTCCTTCTTCTGAGTTCTCTTTCTCTTGCATTTTTGTCTCGCACATCATTATGCTGTTTGTCTCCCAAGACAGTTTATTAAGGACCTGAGCCCCAAACCACTCTCTGGGCTATTGGAAGGAAGCTTAGATACCTTACCCAAGCTCCTTTTTTTTTTCTGTACTGCATGATCTTTTGATTCAGAGGTGTTTAAGAGGAACTCAGAGGACTCATTTGTAGTGTCTTTTCTTTTGGAAGGACACCCTTCACCTGGGCCAGGCCGTCCATGCCGAGGTGGCTCTACTGGTCCTAGAGGCACATCAGAAGTTCCTGGCCCAGAAGCCGTATGCTGGGCTGCTCTCCGAGAGCATGAAGCAGGTACTGCTTTGCCGGGGTAGACCAAGCGTGTGCAGGAGGGTTGGGGGGTAGTGCCAAGCCTGACACTTCCTCAGAACATTCCAGGCTGTTTCAGAGACTGAATGTGAGCTTGATGGTTGCGTAAAAAGCTTTTCAAAAGAAGGTAGCCTTCCTCAGATTGTCTTACTGTTCTGGAATCTGCATTAAACCTCAGGGGCAGTGCTGGCATGTCCTTATGCTTGGTTCAGGAGAATCAGCTGTGACTGTTTCTAGAACTTTGCAATAGTTAAATTGTTGGTCACTTGAAATTAACCACAGTTGGGGGGTTGACCCCCTCCCAGATTGGCAAATACTGTACCTGAACCCCCACACTCCCCCCAGTGGTTCAACTGCTCCACTGCCTTTCACTGCGTCCCTGCACTGCTGGGTTGACCCAGGTCACATCCATTGTACTGCTGGGTTGACCCAGGTCACATCCACGAAGTGACCCAGCAAGTAAACAGAAGTAGTGAGGCATGCATGGGATACGACTTTGATTGTGTGCTGTAGACGTGTAGTTCCGGCATGTAGGGTCCCTCCCCCCTTTTTAATTTTAATTTTATTTTTTTAATTTAATTTTATTTTTATAAGGTTGTTCACAATATTTTATTACATTCAGTATTACAACGTAAATCCCACCACCATTAAACTTCCCACCACTATTATTTTGATTTTTTCCAACCACCATCCAAGTCTGCCCCAATAGCGGCCCTCAATAATTTATTTTGTATTGCTTGTTATGAATAATTCTCTAAAAATGATCAAAAACAGGGTTTCTTAGGAGAAAGTGTGTGAAGATTGTTGTATCTCACCCTGGAGCCATTGAAACCTTGTGTAAGAGATTACTCATATGTTGTTACGGGTTGAGCCTTGTGTGCCAGTATTGTTTTAATTGAGATTGGTTGCCTTCTACTTTACATCCTATCCAATGTGTGCTACTGGTACATCAGTGGCATAGATTATGAGATGTCTCATGGCTGCAAATGTGGCTGCATACTCCAGGAATTCAAAAGTTTTAAATAAGGTAATACAGTTGGAGTTAAATTTTTAACCGAATTTTTAACTGACTTTGGGATCTGAGGCATCTCTGCAGCTTGTTGATCTCTACTAACATTTGTGAGTCTCTGGATCATGGCTGCTTAATGAGCTTATATGGTGTCAGAGGCAGTTTGTAGGCATGATTTCCAGGCTCCCAGAAGAACAGGGGGCATGAGTGGGGTGGGGTCGCTCATCCCTGACTCCTGAGAGCCTGGAGATTTTGGCCACAAAACCCCATACTTGAGTTTTTCAATAGATTCATTCCTGGATGAGGCTAGTCTGAGCCCATGGAAATTGGCTGCCTGCACATAGTTTGTGCCTCTCCTGTGAGGCCATTGTGGATGGCCTCATGGATTTGATGTGTTAGTGTGACTAATGTGCATTTGTTCCAGGTTTCCTATTTGGCCAGTATTGTCCGGTATGGAGAGACCCCTGAGACCTCATTTAATCAGTGGGCCTGGAACTTGATCTTGAGGTTAAAGCTGCACAGAAATGATTACGGAGCACAGCAGAATGCCCCAGCAGTTCCTCTCGCCAGTGCGGTGCCCGACATGACGGAGTCGCCCACGTTCCACCCGCTCCTGAAGGCTGTGAAGGCTGGCATGCCCATTGGCTGTTACCTGGCCTTAGCCATGACATCTGTGGGCCACAGGTATGGTGTTTGGGCTGGACCTCCAGGCCTGCTGAACTGGGAGTCACTGGCTCCGCCTTCTCACCTCTCACCACAAGGTCAGGGACCACTAGCTACCCTAGGGATGATAACTCTGGCCAAATAATAACCTTGGCATAGGTCGCCAGGGAGGAATGTTACCCGAATTCAGATAAGATAGGTTTGCACCTGAAATCACCTGCCATGTGATGAAGACTAGAAATATCCACAGGTGGGCGTTATTCCTCCTGATATAGGGCTATACAAATGACTGGTCATGGGGCCAGAGCCATAATACAGTAGGCAGGCTATTTGTCTTGCATGCAGACGACCCGAATTTGATCCGCGGCATCCCATATGGTCCCCCAAGCACCACCACTAGAGTGATTCCTGAGCACAGAGTCAGGAGTAACCCCTGATCATTGCTGGGTGTGACTGCCCTTCCCCCCCCCCCAAAAAAATAATTGACTACCTGTCATCTCCTCTGAAGTGATGGTGGTCCCTCTCAGCCTCCCCACTAAAGGACTGTCCCCGTGCAGGGAGGAAAATGTCTGCTCAGCTCCCCAGCTTTGCTGGTGGTAGGCCTCACCCATGGCTGTCGTTTGCCTGTCTTCCATAGGAGCATTTGTCAGACGTTATTGGGGTTGCCTGAGATGTAACCTGAGGGGTCTCCTGTGAGTTCAGGATGGAAGAATGGCCACAGACTTGCTGAACCATGTCAGTGGTTGGCTTCTCTCTGCCTTGCCCCTGGCCCTGAGCTCTCTGAATGTCACCTGTCTCTCTTTCCAGAATGCACCTTAGTAGGAATTGAAGGACTGTGGGAAGGAGCAGCAGGTCTGAGGAAGGGGAAGGGAAGTGATATGGACACAGTCCTGACTGAAACTGTGCTGGTGAATGGGGGTGGCCAGGCAGCTCAGCAGAGCGAACTATGTTTGGATTTTTTATTCTGGGGCCACACCTGGAGATGCTCAGGGATTACTCCTGGCTCTCAGCTCAAGGTCATTTCTGGTGGTACTCAAGGGACTGTATGTGGTGCAGGAGATTGAACCAATGTTGGCTATGTGCAAGGCAGCACCATGCTCTTTTTTTTTTCTATATAAATTTATTTGTTGAATCACCGTGAGAGCAGCCACAAAGCTTTCGGGTTTAAGTCTTTGTCACACAATGATGAAACACCCGCCCCTTCACCAGTGCCCATTTTCCACCACCAAAAATCCCAGTATACTCCCCTTCGCACACCCTCTCCCTAACTGTGGGGCAGATGATTTCCACATTACTCTCTCTGCTTTTTTTACATTCAATATTTCGACACCAGACCCACCATTATTATTTGGGATTTTGCCCCAGCACTCAGGTCTGCCGAAAAGGCAGTCGTAGACAACTTGTTTTCTATTGCTAGTTATGAATAACATATGATGTTGTATGGTCACATAGTGACTGCACGATTTTGGAATTCTGAAATTTTAACAATTAAATCTGTAGGGGTTTCTGCCAAAACCTGCTGGGTTCTGAGATTTGTTCTGAGTCTCTGGGATCATCGCTGGTAAACAGCTTAATCAGGAGCCAGAGAGGCCGTTCGTGGGCGGTGACCCAGGGTCTTGCTGGGGCTGGGAGGAAAGGGCCAGCTCCACCCCATCCCCATGAAGCCTCGTGTGTCTCATCACTGCAGGCCCAAACCTGACTGTCCAATGGCCTCTGGAGGATGGCAACCACCAAGCTGCCAAGAGGGAGCAGGCAGAGGGAAAACACTTTTTCCCCCCTGGGGTGGCCCGGTGCCGGTAACCTACTGTGGGGACCGGATGCATTTCTGCCGAAAGCCGCTGGATTCTGAGATTTGTTTCTGAGTCTCTGGGATCATGACCGTTAACCAGTTTGATCAGGAACCAGAGAGGCTTGCCTCCAATTATATAGCTGAGCCGGAGGTGGTTTGTGGGTGTGTCTCCCACATACGTAACTTTTGGCGTTTACTTTCTTGGTAAACTTCCCCCAAGTTATTGGGGTTTAGCCAAACGCACAGCAGCAATTTTGGGATATCTAGAAGTCTGAAGGCACCATCAGGCTGCTGATGCACTCACCTCATAGGTACAGATTAACCTGCTGGCGGCACCATACCCCAAGGCACCTTACTCTTATAACTGTCTTGTCATCTCCTTAAATGTACTTTTTTGGGGGAAATTTTTTTTTTCTTTTTCTTGATTTTGATACCATCATTTTATGCTTCTGGTTTTTAGCTGCTGGTCCATGGACTGGTGTCCGCAAAAACTTCCCACGAGCCCATGAATAAATTACTGGTTTTTAGCACATTACACTTGGATATATTCTTCACTTTATGGTATTAGTTTTAAATATGAATGTATAGGTCTGGAGGTTAGTGAAGGGATTAAGACTTTTGCCTTGTGCTAGGCTGATGTGGTTTGATTCCTGGAACAGCATGTGGTTCCCTGAGCACCAGCAGAAGTGATCTCTGAGCACAGAACTAGGAGTAGGCTCTGAGAAGTACTAGGTGTGCCCCCAACAAAGAAGACAAAATATAAGTGAAATGAAAATGAGTGTACAGACTACTGTTTTAAATTTTGATTTTTTTAAATTTTTGTAAAATACATCTCTTATTTTCATTAGTCCACAGGTTTAAAGGATTGAAAACCACTGGTGTATATCCTATTGTATACTTCAGGAGTGTTTTATCGTGCCTCTTGAAAAATTGCCATACATGCCCACAATTGAAATGCAGTGCTCCCCCCCCCCCCCCCACACGCCTCATTGCCAGGCCTTCCCTTTGTGTACCCTCCACCCTCTGGGAGCCACAGTTCTGTGGGCTGAAGTCAAGGGATAATACAGATTGCTTTTGTCTGTTCCTTATAACAAGATTTTCAGGTGAAATTTATCCATTAGGTGTTCCCTTAAGTTTTATATAAAATGTGTGTGTGTGTGTGTGTGTGTGTGTGTGTGTGTGTGAGAGTGTGATGGGGGGGTTCAGGGATGAGAGGACAGAGGTAGCACAGAGCTTGCCTTACACCTAGCTAACCCTGGTTTGATCCTTTCCACTACATATGCTGGAAGTGGCCTCTGAGCACTGCTGGGTGTGGGCCAATAAAAACTTAAGGGCTGCAGAAGGGGAAGTCCATGGCTCTTGCAGGAGTGGTAGGCCTGTTGCATGCACATTTCCAAACCCGAGCAATTGTGCTGACCCTTCCGGGTAAGTGGGGTGAATTTGCACGCACCATCCCACCTTCCTTGTCCCTAACTCAAAGGCATCGGTGGGCTTTAGGCTCATCCTGCTGGAATTCGCAGCCACGTGTTGCAGGGTGAAGCGTGGCTCTGCTGCCCGGGGCTGGGGTCAGAGATGACGCTGGCAGAAGGGGGCAGGCAGCTGTGGGGGGCTCTGTCTGAAGCAGCTCTCTGAACTCTCACGGCCTTTCCTCTTCCGCAGCATTGAGAAGTTCTGCGCCGATGGCATCTCCCTGCTGGGTGTGCTGGTGCATTCCCGTCATCTGAGAGCCGTGGTCCATGTCCTGGACAAGATCCTGCCGCTGTTCTACCCTTGCCAGTGTTACCTGCTGAAGAACGAGCAGTGAGTAGGGCCAAGCCCAGCGGGTGCGGGTGGCTGTCTTCCGGAGAGGGTAGGATATTTCCTTCCTGCGGGTCTTTGTGAGGTAGAAGACTTCCAGCCTTGCTCAGATGCAGGTGGGTGAACTGAGCTACTGACCCTGAGTCCATTTTCCCAGGAAAGGCACTTCCCTTCCTCACTTAGTTTGGGACTGTGCCACTTAGTAGCATTTGGAAGAGCACCTGCTGCCTGGCCAGGACCATGAAGCCGACAGTGACCACCATAGAGCCTTGCTTGGCTGTTGTCCCCGCAGCCTAGCATGTGACTTTGGAGGCCCCATGGCATGGTGTGTTGTGCAGGGTCGCATACAGGTCAGATGCACTGGACGGGGCCCTACTGCTGGCAGGTGGGTGTGAGTGAAGACTGGCGGTGCCGTGAGAACACGAGGGGAGGGGGACAGCTGGAGGCGCAGAAGCCTTGAGAGAGGAGGGAGCCCTGTGTGCCCAGGGAAGCGAGGGTGCATATGTGACAGGTGGTGGGAGGGGGGCCCAGTCTAAACATGATACCTCAAATGAGGCTGCCAGGTGACGTGAGAAGTCTCTCTAGCTCACGTGAGTGGGGCGAGGGTGGCAGCAGAGAGTTGCTTTGGGTCTTTTCTGCATTGCTCTTTCATCTGCATGTCTTTGTCTTTCGTCTGTTCATGAAGTTTCTTGCACATGGATTGAATTCCTTTCACCCCATATTAAGTTGTAAAACTCACCTCTCCGGAAATTCCCAAGTTGTGATTAGAATCCACAAATAAAGAGTGGGTCAGAGAACACTGGGGCCAGCAATAGCACAGTGGGGAGGGTGTTCCTCTTGCACACGGGTGCTGGTTTGATCCCCAGCACCCCATTCCTTCCCGGGAACCTCCAGGAGTAATTACTGAGTGCAGAGCCAGGAGTGTCCTGAGCATCGCCGGGTGTGGCCCCAACACTTCCCCCCTCCCAAAAGAAAACAAAAAAAGGGGCCATACTCGTGCTTCTCTGCCAACCCTTGGCCCTGGGCTTCTGTGGAAGGTGAAGTGTGCTGTGTCCCTGCCCGGCAGGTTCCTGGCCCATCTCCTCTTGTTCCTCCACCTGGACAGCGGCGTCCCGCAGGGTGTCACGCAGCAGGTCACCCACAAGGTGGCGCAGCAGCTGACAGGAGCCAGTCACGGGGAGAACGTGAAGCTTCTCAACAGCGTGATCCAGGTCAGGGCCCCTGAGCCCCTCACTGCGCCCACGCCCCTTCCCACAGCCCACAGGCGCGGGGCCGTTTCTCCGGGTATCAGTCATTTCTGAGCGCTTGGGAGAGGGTTCTTGTGGGGGACACCCACAGCTGGGGGCTCTGCAGTCGAGAGCGGTGTCTTGATCTGTGGGAATTTTAAAGATGAGGGGCTGGAGCCAGAGAGGGAGCACAGAGGGTTGAAAGGCCCGTATGGACCCCCCACCCCTCCAGCACCAGTGGGGTAGAGGGAGGCTGGTGATTTCTGCTGTTGCATCGTCTCCCCTCTGGCTTTGCAGGCCCACATAGCGGTCAGCACTCAGCCCAACCAGGTGGGTCCCATTGCCGTCTTGGAGTTCTGGGTTCAGGCCCTCATATGCCACCATCTTTGGTATCGGGAGCAGCCCATCCTCTTCCTCATGGACCAGCTGTGTAAAACAGCCTTTCAGCTGACGCAGGAAGACTGTGTGCAGAAGTTGCTCTACCAGCAGCATAAGGTAAGCCTGTTAGAGGACGTCTCTCACCGTTGCTTGTCAGATGGCAGCCTTCTAACTGCCTGACCACCCCCACGCTGCCCCCACACGTACTTACTTTCGAGTGGCAGTTCTGTTCATTGCCTCTTAAGAAAGCTCTGCCTTACCAATGCCCTGTGTCCACTGACATAGTCTGGAGCACAGATCCACGTCGAGGCGAAGGACCCCCACACCCCGAACCCCGGCCAGGTAGCCCTGTGGGCTCCATTGTGTCTAGCCGGGTGGGCCAATGACAGCCTTTCTTCCCTGCTAGTCAGGTGATGCCAGTGATCTTGGAGTGGCCACACACGGGGGTTTCTTGGACCCTCAAGCTGTCCCTCCTCTTTTTTTTTTGATGCAGAATGCTCTGGGCTACCACTGTGACCGCAGTCTCCTCTCCTCGCTGGTGAGCTGGATCGTGGCAGGCAACATCACGCCTTCCTTTGTGGAGGGCTTGGCCACGTCCTCCCAGGTAAGAGATGTTTCTCGGTGCCCCTCCCCCACCCCCCGTGTCACTTGGACCCTCTCACCCAGCGTGCTCGGCAGAGGGGCACTGCTGGTCTGGACCTTGTCGTTGTTCCCTGCCAAGGCTCTTCCTGTTCATGAGTTTGAGGGAGGGCCTGTTGGGGGTGGATTTCAAAGCAGCCCTAGAGCTGGGCCGCTGGGCTTCGTGCTTGGGAGTAATGGCATGGAAAGCACTGGAAGGTGTTGGGCAGGGAGTCTAGTGCCCCAGCGCCCTGTCATCATCACGGCCATCAGCTACTTCTTCCTCTCAGACTGTCAGATCCTGTCTGCTTTTATCTCCCTAATCAGTGATGACGTCTTCAGCTTCCTTGCGTACTCTCACCTCTTGCTGCTTCCTCTTTCAGGCCAGCTGGGGGTGCTGCTGTTACCCGCACATATTTTCATCCCTGCTTCTCGTCACTGCACACACTCCCATGTCTGCTGCTATTACACACACATTCTCCCGCATCCTCTGCTTTTACTTGTAAACGCTCCCATGCCCGTTACTGTTATCCACACCTGCTCCCCGTGCCTGCTGCTGGTACCTGCACGTGCTCCCGTCTATTGCTGTTACCCCACACATGCTGCTGGTGACTTCCTTGTGTGGCCTTTGCCCAGCCATCTTTCGTACCAAGTGTGCCCTCCCCTCAGTGCCTGCAGATTCCCTCTGAGGCCCAGGTTTCCACGCTCTGGATGAGAGCATACCTACCTAGTCTGATAGGATTTAGGAGGTTATGTTGTGGTTCTGGGAATACTTGAATTTTATGCCAGGAATAGGGTCCTGGCTCAGTAAGGACTTGAGTTTTGATTCTTGTCACCACACGGTCCGGGGGACCTGAGCACTGTGGGGTGTGACCTGGGGCCCCAGCACTGATGGCATAGAGTATCACCGTGCCACCAAGCCTTCCCACTGAACCCTCTGGCCTGATTGGCTGAGTCTTCCCAGGAATGAAACCTGACTCCCCTGAGCACTGTTTACACCCTCCTTGCAGTTAGTTCCTTCAAGTTATGGTAACAGCGTTCTCAGACCCCTGCTGGCCTGTCAGATCCCACTGAGGGAGTCTCCTCCTCCTGGTTGGGGGCTGCCTATGCCCCCTGCCCAGTTCTCACCACAGTCCTTCTCTGTTCTTCACTCCTTGCTCAGTGGGAAACTTGAGGGCAGACCTCTTACCTGGCTTTTTCACCAGCAGGTCCTGCCCTGTAACTTCTGTTCATGCACAAACACCCCATCGGAGGACGGTCTCCTCTCCCAGCTATCTCTTCGCCTGCATTTCTGTCCGTGGTGGGGAGGGGACGGCTGGGCTCCCGTGAGAACCCCAGGTCGTGCTCCCTGAGACAGTGCGAGGAAACTGCTCCTGTGGTCCGTCACGTGCCCGCTGCTCACCCGTTGCCTCGCCCTCCTGTCACTGTAGGTCTGGTTTGCGTGGACGGTCCTGAACATGGAGTCCATCTTTGAAGAAGACTCCCAGCTCCGAAGAGTTGTGGAAGGGGAGCTGGTCATCAGCCCTGCTTTCACCCCGGACCAGGCTCTGAAGGTGCCCATGGCTGTCCTTTGTCGGAGAGGGGCGGGTGGTTTGTGCTGCCGGCCTCCCTGTCGCGGTGGCTGCCTGTGCTGAGGACTCGGGGAAGGCAACATGAGTGGCGGCTGTATAGGGTGGGAGACTCCCACTGGGCACTTATTCCACGGCAGCGTGAGAATCTCCGGGAGAATTTGTTGCTACTCAGATTCCTAGACCCCAGCTTCCAAGGGCCTGAGTTTCCAGGTTTGGGTTGGGATAAGGACTTTGTTCTCACACACCACACTAACCCCTTGGCTCACTAGCATGTGTGGGAAAGGCAGGGAGGAGGCTCAGAAGAATGAAAGATCATTTATTTTAGGGTTCCCGACTATATGCTTTGCTTTGGGGGGCGTTCAGGGTCTGTCAAGGAATTTTTGTCATTCTTGAACGTTCTTTTATTGTATTTATTGTTTGGGGAGGCTGGAGCGATAGCACAGCGGGTAGGGCGTTCGCCTTACAAGCGGCCAACATGGCCGACCCGAGTTCGATTCCTCCGCCCCTCTCGAGAGCCCGGCAAGCTACCGAGAGTATTCGATATGCCAGACACAGTAACAACAAAGTCTCCAATGGAGACGTTACTGGGCCCGCTCGAGCAAATCGACGATCAACGGGAGGGCCTTTTTAATTGTTTGGGGAGGGCTGGATTCTTTTACAATCTGAATTTTCAGCTTGGGAGACAGTTGAAAGGGCTGGAGTGGGGGGTGTAGGGCCAGGTTTGAACCCTGACACTGCATGGTCTCTCAGGCATTGCCTGATGTGACCCCTGGGAGTCACGCTGGGAATAGGTTCTGAATACTGCTGGGTGTGGCCCCCAAACAAAGCACCCGCAATTTCAAGAGATTCTATTCATAAAGTTGGACAGTAAACTCCTCTTTTGTCCTTTTGCTTGCATCTTCTCCCTTGTTGCCTGGCATCTGCATGCAAAGGGCCCGTAAATAAATGAGAGACGAGGTGATGCCTTGGGTCCGACTTGGGGGTCTGCAGAAACATGTGTTTGCTTACCACAGCTTTATTTTACACACCATGATTTACTATATTGCCACTGGAGGGGTTCATGAAACAGTGTTCCACCACCCTCTACCAGAGTGAGCCCCGCCTCCACATCTCTTGCCTCGTAAGCTCAGTTCTCAGTCTCCGTGGCCTTTGGCTATTGGTTACTATCCTGCTCGGAAGCGTGAGCTGGCCCTTGGAGAGCTGTTTCAGGTAACTTGGTTTTCGCCGGGAGCGTGGTTGCTCAGGGCCCCCCTCTCTTGCAGAAAGCGCAGGCCCAGCTGAAGCTCCCCATCGTCCCTTCCCTTCAGCGGCTGCTGATTTACCGCTGGGCCCACCAGGCCCTCATCACGCCTTCTGACCACCCTCTCCTGCCACTCATTTGGCAGAAGTTCTTCCTCCTGTACCTTCACCGCCCGGGACCGCAGTACGGGTATGCACTCAACCTCAGTGTTGTCGTCATCCACTGCTGTGCCTCCTTCCTTCTTAAGCGCTCCTGGGCTGCCCTGTTCTCATGTGGTGGGTGGGGGAGAACTGTTTTGCAAGGATGAACTTGAGCTTATTTTGTTTTGAGGCCATATTCAGCGGTGCTCGGGGGCCACACCAGTGGGTTGATGGGGGTGACCCCAGCAGTGCTTGGGGCACCATGTGAAGCTGGGGCTTAAATCTGGGCGGCCTCCATGCAGAGCCTCTGCTCGGCTCCCCTGGAGTAGTCTCTGCAGTCCCCAGACGAGAGCTCTGTGGAGTTTAGGGGATGCTTCAGCTCCTTTACCGTTCCCCACACTCGGTGCGGTGACTGGAGTACCCCAGAACCAGGTCCAGGGTTAGCTGAGAACCTCTGGAGATCACACAGTCACTCACTGCCCCAAACCAAGGCCTGTGTTACTGCCGTGGGGCTCACATGAGGGGAGTGGTAGGGGTCCAGGCTAGGCCACGTTTGGTGCCCTGGGACTGGTTTGAAGGTGTCCAGCCTTTTCCCTCACAGTGCTGGATCTTGCTCACTCTTCCCAGCTCTGTTCTAGCCCCAAGTCCCTTCTGAGCCCCCCTCCCTCACTCGCTCTTTAACAATGCCGTCATTTCCCAGAGGGTCAGTTCTTCAGGAGCAAAGATGAGCTTGAGTACATTCTCTGCTTGGGACTGGTTGTAGCATTTTGTTCTTTTAAAACTGCTTCCAGAGACGGGGTGGGGGGTTGCTGCTCATTTATGTGTGAGGCCTGGGGGTCAATCCCCAGCACCTCTTCACCAACCCCCAACAACAACAACAAAAATAATATAAAGGAAAACTGCTTCCATCTCATTAGAGCCTTGTCGTAATGGTGGAAATAGTTTATTCAAGCAGTTGTATCCGTGGACTTGTGGACAGAGGACAGTTTTCTGTCTCTTGGAGCATCTCGTGCTGGTCCGATTGTGACCTCTGCGTGTGTTTTTCCAGGCTGCCCATTGATGGCTGCATTGGAAGAAGATTCTTCCAAAGCCCAGCTCATGTTAATTTGCTGAAAGACATGAAGAGGCGCCTGACCGAGGTGGCTGACTTCCACCACGCAGCGAGCAAGGCCCTCCGTGTTCCAGCAGAGGGCAGCGAAGGACTGCCGGCCGGTCAGCCTGCCACCCCTGGCCACCTGACGTCCCCGGCCTTGCACACGGAGCTCGTGAGGTGATGCATGGCCATGTTGCATCGCATATCTTTTGGTCTCCATGGCGTGGTGTGGGACGCCCGTGTGTGTCACACACTGCTGGGCTGGGGACGGCCGTTGGCTTCTTGTTGTATTTCTCATGCTCGTGAGAAATGAGCCAGCAGCTTGGATTACTCATCTCTGTTGAGTGCTTGGGGTTAAGGGAAATATCTTACTCCAGGGTGCTGGTGCCCCCTTTTATTTCTTAATTTATATCAGAAACAGGCCCACTGGGCAGGAGCACATGCTTTGCTTTGCATGCCAAAGGCCCAGGTTTGCTTGCTGGCACCACGTCTCCCCTGACTGCCAGGTGTGACCCCCAAGAAATCCTGGGAGTAGCCCCTTGCATCACTGGGTCTTGCCTCCAAATCAGCCCACCAGCCTGCCAGATAAAAGCAAATGACCGGCTTTTGCTGCATTTGGGGAGGGGGACAGTGAGAGGGTGGCCTTCTAAGTGGGATTCAGGGTGCCAGGGCCATTAGACTGAGAGTCCTGTGCCCAGGCCTGGTGAGATTTGCCACTTCTCAGGCTTCTTGGCACTGGGGGCTATGGGGGCCACACATGGCAGTGGTAGGGTGTGGGTTTGAACCTGGGAGCTTGTGTACATAAGCCACGTGCACCCCTGACCCCTCAGATACCTCCCCAGCCCTAGCAAGGATTCTTAAGTGGTGTTCATAGACCTTCCAGAGGGTTCTGTTAAACTTCTCAACCTTCTAAAACCAGATACTACATGGGGGCTCCCAGAGGTTCAGAGCCCTGAAATCACTGGCCCTTTCTCTCTCTCCCTCCATCATTCCCTGTTTCCCGGTAAACAGGTGTGAGGCAGATACTTGTTCTGTCAGCTCTGCCTGACACCTGGGGCTCCACGGGCCCAGGACTGAGGCTCCAGGCTGACTCCGCCAGGCCCTCAGGGCTAATCTCTCAGCCTCCAGAAGGATTGCTGTCCTTATCTCGCCAGCTTGAAGGAAAACTTACTTTTAACCAGGCTTAACTAGCGGAAAGGTTTATCTTTGGGCCTCTTTGGTCAGCCAAGAAGGCCTTTGATGTTCCCCTCTGCCTCTCTCCCCACCCTCTGCCTCCGGTAGAGCTGAGGTAGAAGCTGGAGGTGCTCAGCTCTGGCATTTTCTCTCAGAATTCTGCTCTCGTCTCCTCCTTCACAAGCTCTCTTAGAGTAAAGGCAGGAATTTTCCACCACCTTGGACATGGCCCAGCCACACTACCTCTTGACCTCCTAGGGCCCACAGGTCGCTACTTGGCGTTTCAGTGGGCTCAGCCACAGTGGGCCGAGTTCCTTGAAATGACAAAACCAAGGAGACACCATTCAACTATTATCAAAAGATCTTACTAGAAAATTGAGATTGTTTTTTTCAGATTGACCTTGTTCTGCCCCTTCAAAATGGGAACAGGGTGCAGAAGTGGGTGAGTTTTCTTTTAGTCCTTCCTTGAGGTGGGAGATCAATATTGATTGCAAGCTGGCAGGTTTTCTCCACGTCTAAATAAAATTGCTTAAACAAATTTTTTTTTCCTCAAAGAAAAATATGTTCATTAGAATGTTTCAAACTCCTCCAAGCACCAGATCCTTGGTCTGTGTTAAAAGTCATCCTCTCTAATTGTTTTGTTTTGTTCTGGGACCACACTTGGTGGTACTCAGGGGCTGCTCGCAGCTGTGTGCTTTAGGGGTGGGGGGCTTTGGGGGTGTCTCAGGAGACCATGTGGTACTTGGAATGCAAGCCTGGATCTCCTGTGCTCCAGCCTGTTGCGTGCTCTCTGTCCTGGAGGTTGTGTTTTTCTGTTGAGTGTGTAGAGTTCACAGAGTGCTTTCTTCACGCCTGTGATTTGACTAGTTCTCTCTTTCTCCCTGCTGGATCACAAGCTTCCTGGGAATGTGGTGTTGGTTGGGGACATTTTCTGTCTTATGTACTTTTTGTTTGTTTTATTCGGGGGCCACACCTAGCAGTGTACGGGGACTCTTCCTAGCTCTGTGCTCAGGAGTGACCCTTGGTGATGCTTGGGACAACCTCTGTGTTGTGGGGTCAGCAGCAGGATGCAAGGTAAACCTTACCTCCAGGGCCCTCTCCCTCCAGCCCTTTACTTTGTACTTTTGTTACTTGAATGAGGTGGTACCATTGTACCTAGAACATTAAGAAACCTCATTTACCCGCACATCTTTTTATACGTGATGCAATTTATTTTTTTTCTTTTAGGCTCTTCAATGTATATATGTTATGGCTAGAAGATGAGACTTTTCAGAAAGGAGACACCTATATCCCTTCTCTACCAAAGCATTATGATGTCCACAGGCTCGCCAAAGTGATGCAGAATCAGCAGGTGAAGTATGGACGTGTCTCTTCTTTCCTTCCCTTCCTCTCATGTGTATTTATTGAATCCTTTCATGCCTTTCTCAGGTCTTCGGTGCCTGTACTGCCCCGCAGGAGCGTACTGTGAGGCAGGAAAGTGGTGCTCCGAGCTGGTGATGCAGAATAGGTGTGAGAGTACTCGCACGCAGTAGCAACCCAGAGGGACCTGACTGAGGCAGGGCTGAGGATGGATGGTTGGTCAGGAAGCTGGGAAGGACATGGGGTGGGGGGAATGCCAGGGCGGATGCTAGGAACTCGGACGTGTGCTAAGCTCCATGAGCTAGTCAGTCATGTTCGGAATGGTGTGGGTTGGGAGATGCCCTTCCAGGAGGGCAAATGCCACCAGAGAGGTAGATAGCAGTGAATGGTCTCTAAAGACTTTTCTGGAGAAGTTCGATTTGGGCTGCGGCATAGCTCAGTATAGAGGGCATGTTTCTTAGGTCTAATCCCTGGAACTTCCCCCAAATTCTTTCTTTTTGTTTCTTTTTGTTTTTATTTTGGTTCACACCCGGTGATGCGCAGGGGTTATTCCTGTACTCCTGGCTCATGGTCTTAGGGATTACCCCTGGCTGTGCTCTGGGGACCATATGGGATGCTGGGAATGGAACCTAGGTCGACTGCGTGCAAAGCAAACGCCCTACCCGCTGTGCTATCACTCCAGCCCCCCCCCCCCCCCCCATTCTTTTTTGCATTTGTTTCCAAGGCTGTTTAGGGAACTGTTGAAAGAGCAGATATCGTGAAACAAATGGATGAACTAAAAATATGTTGAGGAATCAGCAGGATTTTTACACGATATTTAGTTAGATACATAGTACCCATTTTATTCCATCTGCATCCATGTTAGATACATGGTAAGACTGATAGAGTAATGAGGTTGCAGGATCTGCCTTTGGATCTGGCCGTAATCTGCCACTATGGTTAGAGATACTGTGTGAGAAAAGACAGGGAATGCTGGAGTCATTCCTGAAGGGCTTTGGAAAAAACTCACAGCTAATCCAAAGCAGTTTTTCTCAGCATTTATTATTTGATTTCTTCACATTTCTTCTTTTTTTAACCTATGTGCCATACTACTTCGAAAGTACTAGGCCACTCTGTCATTTGCAAGTAGACCTTTAGTGGGGCAGTGGCTCTTTCTGACCTGAAGTCCGGATTTCTGATGGTGGCACACCAAGTTCCCAGTAGGACTTTTGATGCTGCTGTAGGCCTTCACCCTGATGTGGGAGATGTGAGCGAGCTACCTTGTGCTGATGCTCCTGGGTTCTCGGTGTCACGTGTCTCTGCCTTTCCCTTCCGCTGTCAGGTCTTCTGGGGAACTTAAAGTCTGTGGCTCCTTTCTAGGATCTGTGGCTGGAGTATGTGAACATGGAGCGCATCGCCCATGAGTTTGACGAATCTGTCAGGCTGTGGACACAGGTGAAGTTCGAATCCCATTCTGCACCCTGCAGCTTGTCTGTACAGCTGGATTTCACTGACCCTCTGCTGGGTGAGTCCCGACATCAGCCCCTTTGAATGAGTGAGCAAAGAAACCAGAGCCATTGAGTTCAGCTCTGCATGATGTGTCCCTCCAGGGAAGAGTGACTCTTCCAGGGAGTCACCTTGGACCTGGCTGTCCTGCAGGGTCGGTTATACTGTGAGAGCGGTGCTGCTCTGGCCCAGGGCTGTACTCGGTGGTGCTCAGGGAACCCTGTGATGCCAAACGCAAGGTTTGTGCCTTAACCCCTCCTGTGGTATCTTTCTGACCCTAGATTTTTAAATAATGAGTTTCTGTGCTTTTCACAGAGGCTGCAGATTTGATGAGGATTTTTATCAACAATTTAACTGATGATTGTGATTGTAGGAAAAATTGCCCGCAGAACAGTGTGTACCAACTTAAGTTTTTCTTAAGCTTGGTTTATTTTGGCTTTAACATTTTTGTTAGTTTGGGTTCAGAGTGGTGATCCTAGTTCAGTAGACTATGAATTAAAAGTTTTCCATTAATAGCTAAAAGAATTTTTTTTCTTTAATGTTATGTAAGGTTTGAAAAAGAGAGTCCAAATTTTTCTTGGGAGTCATGGTCTAAAATACTTGCTTGAAACAAACTTGAACATAGCCAGGAATTTTATCCAGTGATGAATGCCCAGCTCAGTGATATTCTGTGCTGGGCTCTAGTTCCAGTGGAAAAATCCCGGGTTTAAGGGACAGTCCTCTTGTACTTGACCTGTTCAGAATGTTCAATTCCTTTGCTTATGGTCTGAACAATACAGGTTTTCTTATGCCAAGTAAAGTCATGGCTGTGAAATTTTCTTTTATTTTTCTTATCAAGAATAAAACTTGAATACTACACGTGGGATGGAATCTGCAGCTTGTGGTGGTTCCTTCAGCACTTGTTGACTTAGTGACCTGAAAGTCCCTGGAGATTTTGTGGCCTTTGTTACCTTCCTCTTGAATTTAGCTCTATCATAGGACCGGGTTTCTGTTGAATTTTACCAGACTCCTGAGCGCTCAATTCCTGCTAAAATAGCCTGTAAGAGCCACCGTACGGGTTGGGGTTATAGTACAGCAAGGAGGGTGTTTGGCGTGCATGTGGCCAACTTGGGTTTGATCCCCAGCACCCTAGATGGTCCCCTGAGCCCTAACAGGGATGATCCCTGGACATTGCCAGATGTCGTCCCAAAGAAACAAAACAAAACAAGACAGTAGCACAGAACAGTTTTGTTCATTTAGACCTCTGATGGACTATGGCAGGAGTTTTTAGCCACTAGTCTGCAAATGGGTGCTGGTCCCCTGGTGTACAGAGACAAGCACTGGCGTGAGAAATGATTTTGCAGCTCCCACATTCCCTAGGAGGGTGACAAGCCAGGGCTTTGCCTACTAGGTGTGTTCAGAGGCAGTGATGGCGATAAATCAAACCTGTGTCGCTTCATCTTCTTTTAGCCAAGGAGAGGGTTCTGAGTAATCTGCGAAAGCACGAGGCGCCCCATCCTCCCCTGGCCCTGTACCCAGCCAGGCCTCCGGTACCCGTGATCGTCCCTGCCATGCTCCTGAGTCAGAAGGACACCACCCAGCTGGTGCGCACGGACCTGAATGTGCTGCAACAGCAGGCCAGGTGAGCGGGGCCCCCCGACAGCCGGTGATTTAGTGCCAAGCACCCGCCTTCTCCCCGCGAGGCTGCTGGGACCAGACTGGCCCGATGGTTACTCAGGTTAACCAAGTCCCGACATGTCTTTGAACTTCACCTTGAACTGATGCGGGGCTTTCCGGGGCTGTAAACTTGACAGGCTCCCCGTGGGGGCATTTGGCAGTGAGCTTCTCCTGAGGAGGCTTGTGATGCTGGGAGGGAGGTGGAGAAAGGCTAGTCAATGAGATTCACCTCCTCTTGTCCCTGCTTTGTTGTTGAACTCACTCTGATCTTTCGGCCCTGACAAAAGCACTTAATCTACGTGCAGGAAAGTCAATGTGTGGTCTGGATTCTCAGCAACGGCTACTGAGGCAGTGTCTGTGAAAGCGTTTGATTCTAGCTGGTGCTCCTGGGAGGAGCTCGTGGAGTGAGTCTCTGAAGTCAGAGAGCATGAACCCAATGGGATTCAGTGTCTCATTGGTCTTTCACTCCTCAGCTGGTTTGGCCCAGGTGTTAATTTGGCCTGTGCTGGCTGCACATTAGTGTAATCACAAATGCCATCAGAGCTCTGTTAACAAATGCCAGTAGTACTGTACTGGCTCCCTTGTCCACAGGTAGCTGCCTCGTCTTTGTTATTTTTGTTACAGTTGTAAGATAGCTCTTTGTTCCACTCACCATGGGATCACATTTGATGAACCCATCCTAACTTGAGAATGCACCTAGCACAGTTAACTAAGCTGAAGACCAGTGCTTGTCCTAGCTGGACATGTTAAATGTGCTCAGTACACTTCATTCATCCTAAAGTTAAAAAAATTTTAGGCTGATCATCATTAAATAGGGAACTTCCTGTTCCAAAGAAATCACTGGGGAATGAAGTAGATTGACATGCTGCCTGTGTTCTCTTTCGATCCCGTGACTTCCTTCACAAAACCCTGTGCTCTGGATTACCTCTGGGCATCGTGGTCCCCTTCGCCCTGGCTCAGGGAAAAGGTGTCTTCTTGTAGAATTCATCACAGGTGCCTCTCTGGACATACGCACAGCCCTGTTGAAGAGTCTCACATGGGTGCCTAGCAAGAGGCTGGCACCTCTGCCTGGAAATAGGCTTCTTGTCCTCATCATTGTTGACATTGTCCACAAGCTTTTGACCAGCTTTGGTGTAGCAGACACCCCTCTGTTATCCATGGGAAGAACTTTTGGAAGCTGCAGTCCTGGCTGTAGATTCCTGACTCCTCATCATCTTAGGACCCAAGAAGTACCCACCCTAGTGGAGAATGGTCTCCTTGATGAATCAACCAGTGGCTGGAAACTGTTCTTGCCCTCAGTGTTTTGGGGGCTCTGCCCCTTCTGCCCCCCCGACCAAGAAGGTGGGCTGGGCTGGACGTGAAAGTTATCATCATGTCAGTGGAAAAGAGAGAAGTGACTGTTGCTGACAAGCAGGGCAACCCTAGTGGAAGATTATGTCATAAGGATCAGTCTACACAACGCTCTGCCCTGGCACAGACACTCAGTGGGTCTGTTTCCAGCTGAAGGGCTCGCCCACTTTCCCCTCTCCATTTCTGTTTGGCCTGACAGCACAGGGATCTGGGCCATGGTCTCTGGATACTGGGGAACCTTTTGTGTCTTGCCACGCTCTGGTGTAGGCTGGGGGGGGGGGGGGGGGTGACAGGAAGTCATCGTTACTTACGAACCAAAGACCTCTTTTGACCTCTTGGTGATATTTTTCAGAACTGCCGCTCTTTGGGAATCTCAGCAGGTTGCCCTGGATAGCGAGCTGCTGGACACGATACCCAAACAGTATGTCAACCGAGAAGAGCAGGTCACGCTACACCTGGAGTGTCGAGGCAGTGGTGGGAAGAAGTGCCAGGGAGCAGCAACTGTCACAGTCCAGGTAAGGGGACTTGCTCCTGGGACCTCAGTAGAATCTCATAGTGGCCTGTCATGGGGAAGGACTGAAAGGCATGTCCAGCACCTCCTCTGCCACTCAGTATTGGCTGTGTGGGGAGTGAATTCACACAGGCTGGTGTTCTCTGTAAGTGCTGCACAGAGATAGAAATTCAGAGGAAAGCAGAATCTTTGAGAATGTTCTTAGAAGGGTTTGCTCTGACCATTAGGAGATTTGATGGCTAGAATTCGTATTCAGTTAGAGGGAGTGAGGGAATGAGTTCACCGTGCAAGTCATTAAGAGGTCAGTGGTCAGAGAAGCCCGTATTGGGGTTTCAGAGCCCTCTTGCCTTGTTCATTAGGAAATTGAAACTTATTCCTTCCCCACCTCCTCCCAGCACTGCCGGATGTGGCTCTGGTGGCCCCTGTAAAAGAGGAAGGTGCTTCTTTCCTCAGTCTGGTTTTGGCCGTCAGCGCTAACGCTGGCAGGGCTGGAATATCTGTGGGAGGAGTCGTCACTTGGGATACCCGATGTTTGCTCTGGAGGGCAGGGACTGCTAAAGACACAGCTGGGAGGCCATGTGGGAAGCAGGTGTCCTGGGTGGGCCTTACCAGTAGGCAGGAGGAAGCCTGCGTGGAGACAACAGAGCCAATGGTTTCGCAGCCTATCACGACCCCTTCTTGAGAAAGGAGACTGCGTGTGGGTCTGTGGGAGCCTAAGGACATCAGCACGGAGCTTAGCCTGAGCCAGCGTGTCGTCAGACATCCCCTCTGCAGAGAACTGCTCTCTCGAAATGATAGCTCCTCTGATGCCCTCCCACCCCACAAGCTGGGTGTTACCAGCTTCCCTGAGGAAAGTGGGGACAGAGGCATAGATCCCGCATCCCAGCTGACACAGCCAGCGCTTGGCACCTCCAGGGGAGACTCAGCTCTGGCCAGACTGCCCCGCACCTCCTCTTTCTGCAGGGGACTTGGGCTTTCCCTGCCAGGGTCAGGCACCCCTGGTGTCTGCATGTCCCCAAAAAGAGCTTGCTTTCTGTTTCCTGTTTTGAAATAGGAGAAATGTTTCAGCTCTTCATAATTTTCTTTCTATGATAATCTTCAGTGTAACCATTCTTCATCATTGCTCTTCGGAGATTGTTTTTTCTAAATGTCTTTTCTGAAATCACCTTCAGAATGTATTTCTGATAAAATGGCATCATTTGGGACTGGGGAGACAGCTCAGGGACCCGAGTGCGTGCTTTGTGTACAAGAGGCCCAGGTTTGATCCCTGGCACCACAAGGTCCCCCAAGAACTCCAGGGAGTGTACCCCCCCCCCCCCAAGCACAGTGCTGGGAGCAGCCCCCAAACACTGCTGGGTGTGGCCCCCAAACCCTAAAATAAAAGAGGCATTTTTATATGTGAGGTTCCTAACTTTGAGAGCCAACATCTCGGACCAGGTGCTTCAATAAGCTGATTCTCTCTGTCTCTCTTTATTTCTTTTCCCCCATCCATTTAGTAAGACCAACATAGGAGTATTTAAGGAAGATCATTTGATGATGTAAAATCTGGAAGGAAAGTTTACCAATGGGGAGGATAGAGTTTGAGTTGAAAATGTCTTCAGCGGTTAAAAAAAAGGAACACCTACCTAATCTATATGCTTTTTTTTTTTAAGTGATATATTTTACATTTTGAAATCACATGTCTTTGCTAGGTTGTTAATTCTATATAGGGAAGGGAGTTCTCCTAAAATTGCATTGTTCTAAGTGACTAATGAGATTAGTACAAAGCAGTGTTCTCAGTGTGGCCTAATAGCTTGCCCTGGGAAGAGTTATAAATATTTCCTGCCCCACCATAGACAGATCTCTTCTCTTGACCTCCTCTTAGTTCCCAAGGCCTTGTGGTGGAAAAACCCCAACAGACTTGGGAGTTTGGCTTCAAGGCCATTGTGACTTGTCTATTACAGAAAAGAGACAAGAAAAAAACATCACAGTCTCGTTTTGTCTGGAGCTTTGAATCAAAATTTTCTTACAAACTTTAGCTTGGTGAATTTAAATTAAAAAATGGACTCCTTTCTAAAATGCCCTTGAAGTGATTGGAGGGATATTGGAAAGGTGACTTGTAGTATGAAGGATTACAATGAATGTGGCTTAGGTTTTGTTGTCGAGACAGTGCAAAGCATGCTTGTTCTTCATTGAAGATGTGAAGATTGCTTAGGAAAAATAAAAACATAAGGAAGAGGGGAGAAGAAATTTCATTGATAAGTTATTTCATTAATTTTATTTTGGGCTTTTGGGGTTCATCCGGCTGTACTCAGGAGTTACTCCTGGCTCTGTGCTCGGGGCTTACTCCAGTTGGGCTTGGGGGACAATATGGGGTGCTAGGGATCGAACCTGGGTCAGCTACATGCAAGAAAAATGCCCTACCTGCTGTACTGTCTCTCTGGTCCCAATAGTAGCACTGTAGCACTGTCCTCCCATTGCTTATTAATTTGCTCAAGTGGGCACCAGTAATGTCTCCATTGTGAGACTTGTTACTGTTTTTGGCATATCAAATACTCCACGGGGAGCTTGTCAGGCTCTGCTGTGCAGGCAGGATACTCTTGGTAGCTTGCTGGGCTCTCTGAGAGGGATGGAGGAATCAAACTTGGGTCGGCTGCATACAAGGCAAATGCCCTACCCGCCGTGCTATTGCTCCAGCCTGATCCCAATAGTAATATATAATTTTAATGCATAGTTATATTTTGTGGCCGTAACCTCATTAGAAAGATTTGTGTTTTCTTAAGTGCATTTTGCTTTCCTATTGGCCTTACTCATCTCCTCTGCCTTTGGTTCTGTTTAGAAGGTCCAAAAGGCTTGGACACCCCTGATGAGTCCTGGAAGCGTAGGTATCAGCAGTAGTAACTGTTTCAGTCTACCAAGGGGAATTAAGAATGTGTAGGCAGTGAACCCCTTTCTAGTCTGAGATTTGGATAGGATTTCAGTTGCTAAGCAAAGCTGGACTTACTGGGCTGTACTTATTGGTTGATACTTCCAGGAATTGAAGACAAAATCACTTTGTCTTTTCGTAACTTGCCAAAAGGCAGTTAGAGGAAAGTCGAAACTCTAGCGACCCTGGAATTTGGGTGTTTTCTGTCCAAGTCCATTAGATTTGCTCTGGTAGAGATTGCTAAGCTCCATGTAATACAAGTGCTTAACTTTGCTTAGGGATGGCTTAACTTTGGGGAGTTGTGGTATTAGTCACGAGTAGGTTAGGTGAGTTCTGATTGTTTATGACTCAGCGCAAAACTGTCCCTGGGAAAGAGTTTTGCAGAGGTTGGGCTGTGAGATTTTCACGCATAAAATTGTCACCCCTAGCTGCCTTTGTCCACGGATCGCCTCAGGACTATACCCAGCATTTTAGATGCTAACATCTGATGATATTTGAAAGTCTTACATAATCCGTCGTCACCTTGCCTTGAATCACTGGCCACACTCCAGCTCCCTCCTGGGATTCTTCCTCATCACTTCAACCCTTCGCTTGCTGCTTGTGTTGGCTTCTGTTCCCGAGTCATGCCTTCATGTGACATCAGCTGCTCTTGCCTCCTCTCTCTGCTGGTGACTGCTCCTGGCTTGTGCCCTGGGGACCGTAAAGTGCCTGAGATTGAGCCCGGGCTTCCCGCATGCAGTCAGTGCCTGTTCCCCAGCCCTCGGCACTGTCTCCTGTCCCCTGTGCTGGAACCTGGTTCTGAGTTGGCTGTATGCAATGGGATTTAGTGAGTCACCGAAGCCAGGGAAATCCTCAGACCTTCATCTTCTGTAGGTCATGACCCCCACAGGTTTTACCCATATATGCTAGGACTCCTCTTTCTCTAGTCCAGAACTTTTCGTTGACACCTTCCTACTTAACAGTCCATGAATATTCCATAGATGGCTCGAGGTCTGCGTGTCTTCTGCCCGTCTCTTTCTATAATGCCATTTACCTGCTTCCTGTGGTGACCCTTAGCACCCATGTCATGTCTCTCACCCTGCCACTGCCCATCTGGTTACTTTCCAGATCACATTGGCTCTGTCTCTGAAATGCCTCAGTTTAGCACGTTTGTCTTTGTGTATGTTGCCTATGCTCTGTGGTCGGCTCATTTTCCTCTGACCTGGGCTGCCTGTCTGTAGTCTGTTTCCCCGGCTGGTCCATTTTCATCTGTCTCCATTTTTTCATACCTCCGGACTTTCGTGCACAGGACTAGGGTTCTCTGGGTCCTCCTCCTTTTCTTTACTCACCCTGGTCCGTGCCCCAGACTTCCTGAGGTCTGTGCTGTTTAGCCTCACCCATGTCTCAGCATCTCTCAGCCTTTGCTGCTTCATTCCAAAGACCATTACTGGGGAAATTTCAGGAGATCATCCCGCCTTGCAACAATGCCATCCTAGTCTCTCGTCTTACTACCAGACAATGATCGGGCCTCAGCCCCCACCCCTCTTCCCCAGGGTGCCCAGGCTGTCCAGCGAGGCACACAGTCAAGGCCCTAGGGCATCCCATTCTGCCAGCACACTTGGCATGGCCCCAATACTCATTGTGCAGTGGACAATTTTCATGGACTCTAGATTTAGATTCTTTATGTGCTGACGACCTTCAGGAGCTTTGTAGGTAATATTTGGCTGTGAACATCTTCATCTTTTTCACGCAGAATGGCGACTTTTATACCATGTGCAGCTTCATTTGCTTTTTTAACTTGAAAACAAATGCCTCTTTGGTACTTGCTCATGCTAGACACCCCCACTCTCTTTCCCAGCCCCGTTCGGAGGGTCTTTCATGACTAGCTTGGGCACGCTCATGTCCCAGCAGGTGCTCCCGGGTTTCTCTTGGTGTGCGTGATCTTCACAGAATAAGGAGAAGGGGACTTGAGTGTGGAGAGGGCTAGAGACTTGCTAAAATCACCCCATTGGGCCAGGCACAGTCAGGGCAGCCGCATCCTTCTGAGTTTGAGACCTGGTGCAGGGAAATTCCATTTGCTCTGGCTGTTGGCAGTGCCAGAGTTGGAAGATCGATGTTATGATTTGTGTCAGCTGTCCATCGCCTCCAAATCCCAGAAAAAGTGGACCGTTTTCTCTCTGAGTTGGTGGGGTAACTTTCTTCTCTGGTGATTAGAAAGTTCATGGGCTTGTACTTGAACCAGCTTCATGGAGATAGTTTTATACATATGTGTAATTTTCAGTGCCTCATGTATCACGGTTTCAAATTATATCACAGAAGTAATTTATGGCCTAGAAGAAAGCTGGAGGGAAGGAAGACCCTGGAAATTTCCAGCCATATAAAAATATTTCAGCTGTATCCATTTCATTTGGGGTTTGCAAAGATCTAGGCTGTTTTCTGGGCAGGGGACGTGCTGCGCTAGTGGCCACCTCCTTGCAGGAGCCTGTGATAGCTCACTGCTATTCCCTGAGGAAATGGCTGATTTATAACAGGTTCCTTTTGTTGTACTTCAGTCTTACAGGGCACGTTTGCTTGCCCTGGGATTGATTTATCATCATGTGAAAAATGTGTTCATTCCTAGAAATGAAAGATGGAAAAGGCCCACCAGGGGCCTCCCATGATTGTCGGAACTTGCCCACGGATGTGCTTTGTCCCACTACAGTGACTCAAGTGGCGGGTGCCCTCCCACGCAGCTTTGTTCTATTGTCTGCCACTTCTTGTCATTGTGACTGGTCTCATTCAGACTCTCGCACCCAGAGTGAGGAGAGGAAGAGAAAAGTTTCAATGTGCTGTTTGGGCAATGAACAAAAATAAGTAGACTTGGGAATAAAAGGGGATTCAGGGTTGCTTTTGGTGAGACTGTCTAAACTTTCCTAGACAGATGGTTTTCTTTTATTAGTATCAGTGGTCTCTATGGTGGGGTGTTGGGTTATGTTTGTTTGTTTATTGGTCACACCTGGTGGTGCTCAGGGCTTATTCCTGGCTCAATGTTCAGCGATTACTCCTGGCAGGGATCGTATGGGGTGCCAGGGATCAAACCTGGACTGGCAGTATGTAAGACAAACACCGTACCAATGTACTATTGCTCTCACCCCACGGCAGTTTCAAAGTTCCTGTGACATGGTTTTAATCTGGGCTCTGGATTTTCGAGGAGAATGAAATTCTCTTTCTCTCCTTTGCCCACTTTGCTTCCTCCTGGCTATCTTTCCCCCTTCCTGTTTTCCCCTTTTTCTCTCTGTTCAATTGAATTCTCTCTCTCCCAACCTGACCCCAAAGACCAGTGGTTATTGGGTGACCTGCCAGTCCCCCAAAGCTGGCTGCTCATCCTCCTAGCAGATTTTGGGCAGCTGGACAGTGTTCTGTTCTGTCCTCTAAAGACTGAAGTGTGACAGTGGTGTGAATTCATTATGTGGAGCAAGGGGAATAGTTTAGTTTTTGAATCTTTCATTCCTCCACTAGTGAAAATCAAAGTGGTTATTGTTCACGTTCTATGTTCTTGAATAGTAACTTTTGTGTCTTTTAATTCCTGCTTTAAAAAGCTTTTTCTCCGTGAAACCAAGTAGCTTTGTAAAGGTTTTTAACAGGACACCATTGAGTTTCATGATAGAAAAGTTGTCATAAACCATGGGTGATCAGAGTATTGTCTGAGGGGTGTGGGTAAGGCATATTCACGGGACCAGGAGGCAGCCCTCATGATGGGCACCAGAGCCATAGGCAGCTACATGTATGGATTAAGTTCTTCTATCCTTTACATCAGGATAGCTGTGATTATTGGCGGATGCCTGGGTGGGGGCAGGTGTGTCAGAAAGAGAATGTAGCTCCTTATACTCACCTGTGAGGGTCAGAAAGCTGTTTGAGTGAACATAGGATCTAAGGCACCTGCCTTCTCCACCATCTGGTTTCTTTAACATTGTTGGCCGTGTTGGCAAAATCCATCCTGTGCTCTAGCCTGTTTTTATTTATTTTTTTAATTTTGGTTTTGGGGCCACATCTGCCATGCTCAGGGTTAAAATCTGTTCTAAGTATATAAAGGGGGGGAATTTGTTGACCGCTTTCTCTTTTGTTAGTTTGAAGGTATGTATAAGAATGAAGCCGTAAGCCAACAACTTCATGTTTTGCGAAAAGAAGTGAAGCAGTTACAAGCCGAAGCTGCTAAGCCACCATCTCTTCATGTTGTGGAAGCTGCTGTGCACGCAGAAAACTTGATCACGTAAGTATCACATAAGTGTTAGGGGGCCCTACTCTTCCTGACTGTCGGTCAAGGGCGCTCCAATTCTCCCCCCCCCCCCAGTATGGGAGTCTGCCACTGAGCCTCTGGGTCTAGTCTGGCCTGTTGGTATAAATAAAGTTTTATTGGAACACAGCCATGCCCTTTGACTTACTGCCCTAGACTACGTTAATGCTGAGGTGACAGAACCGTTGTGGAAGTAACAATTTATGGTCCCCAGCACATAAAATACTCGCTCTCTGGCTCTTTACATAATACATTTCTGACTCCTCAATCACAGGATGATGCATGCCATTGAAATTCACTCACGGAGGGATTTTGTGCTAAAGTATTGATCGCAGTGCTGTTTACCAGGGAAGTTGTCCTTGTCAGCTTCGATTAATGATTGGAATTCTCAGCAGAATGCCTCACAGGAGTTCGGGTGCTCAGCTTGCAGGGACCACTTGCCTCGGACTCTTGTGGCTTCTTCTGGCAACTTCTGGCTCACTGTCTTTTTTTCCCCCAAAGCCATCAGGTCTTTACCTGGGTCAGCGGTCAGTACGTCCAGCGTTGTACTTTAAGGTGACTCCTCTGCTGAGGCCAGTAGCAGATTCCCCCAGTACCTTAGGGAAGTGGTTTGCCGGCACTTTGAGTCCTTCGGTGGGTTGGATTGGGGAACCAGATCTGGAGGGAGAACAGTGGAGGTTAGCCAAAAAAGTTTGAGAATTAAGAGAGAGAGTTTTGTTCTAGAGTCTTACTCTCTACACGAATCTTTTTTCCTCATCCAAAGTCAGAGTTTGACATTTTAAAGTTTAGAGAAATAAGTATTCTTATTTTTAAAAATATGTACAAGAGGGTGGGATGTATAGATAGGAGTTAAGGCACTATGACCAACCCTTTTTGATCCCTGGGACTGCATATGGTCCCCAGCTAGCATGAAGTGTCACTCAGCAGAGAGCCAAGAGGGCCCTCTGAGCACAGCCAGCTGTGGCCCCATTATCCCCCCCCCCCCCAATAAATTAAAGCATGTATAATATATACATGAAACTAAGTTACAAAGTATGAATTGCATATAAAATAAGAACATTTTATAAAGGAGAAGAGTATGAAATTAGTTTTGTTAGACCGCTGATTCTTTCTGGACGACATGCTGTAGATGAAAAATAAATTGTTGGTTCAGGGTGGAAGCTCTATATCCCATGAAACATTTCTTTCATTTGTTATTCCTGGCTCTGCATTCAGTGATCACTCCTGGCAGGGCTCAGGGGTCCATATGGGATGCTGAGATGGAACCCACACCTTACCCTTTGTGCTGTTGCTCCAGCTATTATGAAATATTTCTAATGTTACCAGTGTAGGGGACCCTGAGGACTGTTTGGAATGAATGTTGCCTCATAGGAATGGATGTTGCTTTGTAGAAATGAACTGTGAGAGTCTCGGCAAAATCTCTGTGTGCTTTGGGGCAACCGATGGTTTTACCTGTTTCCCCACAGGGCTCTTGTGAATACCTACAAGCTGCAGCCCAGCCCCGGCGTCCAGAAGGTGGGCATCAGCCTCTTCTTTACTGTCGTGGATTACGTTGGCGAGGAGACCCAGCGGCACCCACCCACCAGGCAGTTCTTTACATCCTGCATTGAGATCTTGGGCCAGGTGAGCCGAGGCCTGTTTCGGGCCTTTTTCTCTAGGGGTCCAGGCAATGCCCTCACTCGAAACTGCTGTGGCTGATGTCAGATTACTGGTGAAGGTGCAGAACTTGGCCTACAGCTATAGCCTCTGGAATTGTTGACTCCTCAAAATGGTGGTGAGAGCACTTGGTACAGGACTTGGCTTCTCATACAAGAGCTGCAAAATTATTCCTACTGGGAAATCTCTGGGTGTTAATAGTCGTACCACCGAAGCTTGTTATTAATTGTGAGATTCTTCCTGGTTCATTGCTTTTATCCCCCAAGTGACTCTTGTCACTGATACCATTTCTACATGAACGGAAACTGACTGGGAAGGTGGCCCAGCCATTGAACCTTGCATTTTTGATGCCTCGGGTTGGTCCCTGGCACCTCAAAGGGAAAGGAAGAAAAAGATGAAGATGTAGACCCTGAGCCTCAGAGCATCCCTGTGGCCGGGGGAAGATAGTTAGTGAGTGCTGGGGCTGCCCCCTGCCTTCCGCCTTGGCTCCTCTTCCCCACCCCCACCCCCACCCCCACCCCCGCGGTCTCTGCTCCTGGCTCTCAATCACCAGCTCTTCATCTGTCTTGCTGATATATGTTCCACAAGAGGGGAAAGCCACATGTTGGAAATTTTGTAAACTCCCCTTTACTGTCTCCTCTCACCCATATGCGGTGAGGCTGAGGAGGAGACAGTAAAATAGATTTTTTTTGTTGATACTGTTGTTTTGGGGCCCATACCTGGCTGTGTTCAGGGTTTACTCCTGGGTCTGTGCTCAGGGATCTCTCATGATGGGCTTGGGGTGGGGTTCACCTATCTGGTGCTGGGGTGAGAACCTGGATTGGTCGCATGCCCGGCAAACTGTTTACCCACTATAATATTGCTCTGGCTCCCTAAAAGTTTTGAAAGTTTTTTACTGCTTGTAAAATTGATGTATGCTTATTATAAATAATATACCACAGAAAGTTTAAAGAAGACTGATGGGTCTAGAGTGATAGTACAGCAGGTAGGGCATTTGCCTTGCATGCGTCCTACTTGGGTTCAGTCCCCTGAATCTCATATGGTTCCCCGATCACTTGCCAGGAGTAACCCCTGAGCATTGCCAGGTAAGACCCTCACCTAAAAAATCCAGAAAAAAGAAAAGAAAAAAACTGTCATAACAGTGAGCACCTGGAGTTGGTTGTCTCTTGGCAGCATCATTGCAGTTTATCTCGCCAGTGTGTGTTCTAGTACATGTTTGTGTGTATATATAGATCACACCTCATTCCTGCAATTAGTTGCATAAATAATCAGAGAAAAGGCACACTGAAACCCAAGAGCAGGGCATTGTGTCACTTGCGATTTTTAATTCTAACTTATCTCCTAGACATTATTCCATGTTAATAAAGATGTCCTTAGTATAATCTTTAGAATTGGAGCACTGTAGAGCAAATGCATATGAGTACATGTACTATCCTGTATCGCAGTGCATGAAACCAGTGTCTTGGGGGTGGTGGTTTAGGTAGTTTGTGTTTAGGTATAGTGTGTGAGGATGCCAAGGCTGAGTGAGATACCAATTCTCACACGTCTTGGTGAGCTTGCTGAGCTGTTTTCCCGACAGTTCTTTCTGAGAACCATGCTCGCTTGTCTCCGAGATTACTGTTGGGTCTGTGTACCCTCAGTGCCTTCTGGGAAGACTGTTCCTGTGTACAGAGCTGCAGCAGGGCTAAATTGGAATTTAAAATGTGTTGTGATTTTTCTACTTTGTCACTCTACTTTATGTTAAATTTGCCTTATAGAGGGCAAATTTTTGTAGTGGTGGCAGGGACCAAATCCAGGCTCATCGTGTGTAAATGTTAGCTTTTTAAAAATACGTCTATATATGTATATACATATACATACATATAAGTCTATATATATATGATATATATATATATTTAAGTCTATCATTTAAGTCTATCAAGAGAACTCCCAGAATGACCACCAACTGGGAACTCTTTGGTACTATTGCGGCAACATGGGAAGATGCCATTGTTGACAACATTGACGAGGAATACGATCGACTGGTTCAGCACCTCCATGAATGTGCGAGGAACGCCAAGAGAGAGATAGCCACAAAAAGTCGCCTATCTTCGAAAACTCTTGAGCTAATTCGCCAGCGTGGTTTGGCACATGCCTCAGGCAACCGCAAGCTAACGTCCGAGCTTGCAAAGCAGTGCAGAGATGCGATCAAGGAAGACCTCAAAGAGAGAAGAGCAGAAGTACTGGTAGATGCGGCAGAAGCCGGGAAAAGTATTCGTAACGCCCGCCTGTCCTTCGCCAACTATAAGACCAAGATGACTGCCCTCCGACGTCCTGATGGATCCATCACATCCTCCAGAACGGCAATGGAGAAGATTATCCATGACTTCTACTCAAATCTCTTCGATAGCCATGTCCACTTGCCGACATACCAAATTCCACAGGATGGGTATGTCGTTCCCAATGTTCTCCCTTCTGAAATCCGACACGCCATTTCATCGGTAAAGAAACAAACAGCACCCGGCCCAGACAAGGTCAGACCTGAGCACCTGAAGAACCTGCCGTCAGTACTCATCAATACACTGGCTCGGCTCTTCACTCGCTACCTGTCTGAATGCAAGGTTCCGTCCCAATGGAAAACCAGCAGGACCGTACTACTGTTCAAGAAGGGAGACATCCATGACATTGGCAACTATCGCCCGATCTGCCTATTGTCTGTCATCTACAAGTTGTTCACTCGAGTCATCCTAAATAGGATTGGCAGAACACTAGATGAAGGACAACCATGCGAGCAAGCAGAGTTCTGCAAAGGATTCAGCACCATCGACCATATCCACACGATAACCAAGCTCATTGAGGTTTCTCGGGAGTTCAAGATGCCGCTCTGCTTAACGTTCATTGATTTAAAGAAGGCCTTTGATTCTGTTGAGACGGAAGCGGTCATTGAAGCCCTAGCCAATCAGGGCATTCAAGCCCAATACATCAGGATCCTCCGTGAGCTGTATTGCGGATTCACTACCAGGATCTCACCATTCTACAAAGAAGTGATCGTTGATGTCAAGAGAGGGGTGCAGCAGGGTGATACCATTTCACTGAAACTCTTCAGTGCCACCCTCGAGAACATCATGCGACGACTGGAATGGGAAGGAATGGGAGTGAAGATAGATGGTCGGCAACTACACCACCTCCGCTTTGCTGATGACATTGTTTTAATAACACCAAACATCAGCCAAGCGGCACAAATGCTGGCCGACTTTGACCGTGAGTGTGGAAAGGTAGGACTACAGCTGAATCTCACGAAGACAATGTTTATGAGAAACAGCCTCGTTCCTGACGCCCCATTTGCTCTCAATGGAACGACCATCTCCGAATGCAACAGCTATGTGTACCTAGGTCGAAAAATCAGTCAACATGACAAATGACCTGGCACCCGAACTGCGCAGGAGGAAGAGAGCGGCTTGGAACGCCTTCAAGAACGTCGAAGAAATAGCTAAGAGGACGAAGAACCTCCGGCTCCGGGCACATCTCTTTGATTCCACTGTTCTTCCTGCATTAACATATGCCTCAGAGACCTGGGCCCTACGCAAACAAGATGAGAACACTATTCAGGTCTCCCAAAGAAGAATAGAAAGAGCTATGCTTGGAATATCACGTTTCACTCAAATGAGAGAACGAATCCGGAGTTCTGACATCCGTCGACGATCAAGGATCAGGGATGCTGTCTCATTTGCCAAGGTGTCGAAAATCAGATGGGCTGGTCACATAATGAGATTTAAAGATGACCGTTGGACTAGAGCTGTTACTGATTGGATTCCACGGGATGTCAAGAGACCGCGTGGCCGCCCACCTACCAGATGGTCAGACTTCTTCGTCAAGATCATGAACGATCGGTTTGAGGCCCTTCATGTTCCCAGAGCGAACAGATGCCATTGGGCTACACTAACACGCGACAGGGACAAATGGAGACGTTACTGGCGCCCATTCGAGCAAATCGACGACTAACGGGAAGTTAAGTGATTAAGTGATTAAGTCTATCATTCTTGCCCTTGACCATCTGCATCTGTAGCCAAACTTAGAAAAGCCTTCCTGACTTAGAGATATATTTAAATATTTACTATATTCTAGTGCATTTAAACATTGGAACCAGGTAAAACAAGGTGATATTATTCTGATTGTTATTAATTATGCAAGGTTGCCTTCTAAATGTATTAAAGTGGTACATCTCCACAAAGTCTATAATAGAGTTTTGTCTCTATCTCCTCCTCCTCTCTGTTTTTAATTTCTTTTTCTTGATTCTTCTTCCCACAACTCGAGGTTCTCAGGGCTTACTCCTGACTCGTTGCTCAGGCATCACTCCTGGCAGGGCTCTCAGGATCAGACGTGCTGGAGGTGGAACCTGGGTCAGTCACGTGCAGGCAGGCATCGTACCCATTGTACTGTCTCTCCAGCCCAAGTTTTGTTTTCTTTGGAGGATACAGAACCACTTTGGGTGCTTAGTAATTACAGGAGTTACACTGCACATTTCTGTATTCAGATTATTTTAGAATTTTAATTTTAAATCATAATCACAAATTAATAAAAAATTAATTTTGGGCTAGAGCGATAGCACAGCGGTAGGGCATTTGCCTTACAAACAGCCAACATGGCCAACCCGAGTTCGATTCCTCCGCCCCTCCCGGAGAGCCCAGCAAGCTACCGAGAGTATCTCGCCCGTACAGCAAAGTCTGGCAAGCTACCCGTGACGTTTTCAATATGCCAAACACAGTAACAACAAGTCTCACGATGGAGACTTTTTTACTGGGCCTGCTCAAGCAATTCTGGGAATGTGGTTCAATGATAGAGCCTTGCATTTGTGAGATCCTTGACACCACAAGATAATTTTTTTTCTCATATGCTTAACTCAGAATTGCCTATGTTTTGGACACTTGCTTTGTCCAAATAATAGATTGCCTGTAAGATTGTTGTTGTTGTTGTTTTGAGGCTACACTCCCAGTGCTCAGGGCTTACTCCTGGCTCTGTACAGGAATCACTCCTGGCAGGCACAGGGGTTGATACGAGATGCCAGGATCAAACCCGGGTTCACCTCCTGCAGTAATACCATGGGTAGGGCACCTGCGGTATTACTTCTCCAGCCCTGATCTGTAAGTTTTAACATCACCTTAAGTTTCTCTTGTTTTGCTTCTTTTGGTGATTTGATATTTTCATTTAAAGAAAAACATTCTGTTTGCCTGATCTCACGCCCCTTCACACCCTATTGCTTAAATCAGTGTCTGTGAAGGAAGATCTGCCGGTGACATCTTCCTGTCTCACTTCTTGCCAGGTGTTCATCAGTTGCACAAAGTCCGAGTGTCAAAAGGTGCTCCAGACCATCCTGAAGAACAGAAGGCTCTGCTCTCTGCTCTCCCCATTCTTCACTCCTAACGCTGCCCCCGCCCAGTTCATCCAACTATACGAGAAGGTGGTGGCGTTCCTAAGTGAGGACAATAGTGATGTGATTTTCATGCTGCTGACCAAGGTGAGGGGGCTGACGTCCCGCTGTTCTCCCTGGCACAGAGCGTGAGCGTTTCTTCTCAGTCCTTAGAACTGTGAGGTGCTCCAGGGTCTGTTTCTGGGGGCACTGTTGACCGGCAGAACCCTGCCCCCACCTTTGGTCTGAGCGTCAGGCAGCTTAGTCCCCCAGCTTACTCTCGAGGGGCAGTTGGTTGTGTCATGGTGGGCCACTGTACTCCGCAAAGTGAAAGGATGTGACTCCTTTTGAAAACTTTGTAGTATATATATTTTTAAAGATAATAGAAATTGAGTACATTCTTCTTTTGCATGTAGACTGAATTCATGTTTGATGAATGCCCAAATTGTGTTTGATGAATGAGTTGCAATATGTCAAAGCCTCTCATGTTTAGGATAAGCCATATCAAAGCAAATTGCCTTTGTTCTACCGTAGAGTTGAATATTAACTCGACCAAAGCAATGAATTTACTTAACCACTTGGGAATTTCAAAGCCGTAGCTCTTTTACCTTCCATTGTTTTTCTCTGACATCTATAAATCATAAGCCTGGGCATATTGTAGGGCTTTGAATCTGATCTCAGTCTATACTGGGTAAGAACATTTTGTGTTGGTCTCCGCCTGCTGATATCACAATGGGATTTTACTATGATTGCAAGAACTTTAGCAGTTAACTAAAAAACTAAGAGGAACCTGAGAATAAAAAGGAGGGGTATTATGAAACTTGGAAATTATACCACATAGCTGGGCTACAGTGAATTTGTGAGGAGAGAGGGGGAGAAGTTCGAGTTTGGGTCCCAACACCCCTAGCTTTTGTTGATGCTGGGGTGTATGGGTCCAGGGCATCTCCTTTTTATTAATGAATTCAAATCCTATGAGCAGGGATTTAAACAGAGGGAGAAAGACAAAGAAGGAAAAAGGAGAGAGACAGGATCCAACTGGGCAGTTATTAACTGAAGCAGAACCCTTGAGAGGAGAGGAAGGGCGGTGTGGGGCAGGGCCCGGCGTTTACCTGGCCCTGTGGCCAGCCTGTTTCTGAGTTCCCTGCGCACTCTGTGGTGCATGCCGCGGTGTCACGTTTGAGTGAGATACTTGCATCACCCAAGAAAACCAACTCAGAGAGCTTTTGCAGTGCTGTGTTTTATAGTTTATAGTGCTGTGCTTTATAGTCACAGTGCTGTGCTTTATAGTTTACAGTGTTGTGTTTTATAGTTCACAGTGCTGTGTTTTATACTTTGCAGTGCTATGCTTTATAGTTTTGTAGTGCTCTGCTTTATAGTTTGTAGTGCTGTACTTTATGGTTGGGCATTCTGGATGTTTATTGCAACCCTGACTCCTTCATTTTTGATTTTGGACTGCTCCTGGTGATGCCTGTGGTTTTAATCCCTGCTCAGTGCGAGGAGGACCACATGGTGGCGGGTGCCTTGCAGGCTTTCCCTGCCCTCAGCCCTCTGAGCTGATCCCGGCTGACCCAGTGCTGCTGTTTTCTTAACCAAGACGACCCTGGCTAGAGGCACAGAAATGGGCCCATCAGGTAGAGACGATTCTGCAGATTAGCTGCTTGTTGGTGGTGCCGTGCGTGGGGAAGGACAACTGTCAGCATCAGTCCTTGTCTCCGGGAAAGGCTGAGGACAGCCACGCCTGCACCCCAGAGAGAGATTGGGGGGAGGCACCGACCCACCAAGAGTGAAGCACCATGGTTCTTGTATTTCATTTCGATCTCAAATGCCATGGAAACTTGGGCTTTTCGCTGAGGCGGGAGGTGCCCTTGGGGAGGCACAGCCTGCCGCTCCTCATGCAGTGAGGCTGCGTCTGCTTCATTTTCAGTTCGATCTTAAGCAGTGGCTGCACAGCATGAAGCCTCCGCTGTCAGATCGCACCAGGCTCCTGGAGTCCATTCATCTGGCCCTGACTGCCTGGGGCCTCGAACCTGAGGACGACATTCTGATGCCCTTTAACCTGTTCTGCAAACACTGGACTTACCTCCTCCTCTACCAGTTCCCTGACCAGTACAGCGACATCCTCCGGCTACTGATGCAAAGTGAGTATCTTTTCCCTTATGACTTTTCATCACTCTGCAGGTTCCAGATGACAAGCTCTGTTCTCCAGATGTCATCCCGACATGCACACGTGATTTCAGGCTGCAGGAGTTTAGTCTCACAGATCTTTGTCCCCAGTGCTCAATGAGTAATCTGCTTAAAAGGTCGCTCTGTACATAGTTACTATCACTTACTCCCTGGATGTTAGAGTGGGCCCTGATCGGCTGCGTGGGTGTTAGTCTCTGGAGCTGGAGTCCACACACCTCCTCATTGCCCCTCTCTGCAGCATAGGAGCCGGGGGAGGAGAAGGGGCCACTTCCTCTGCAGGTTTTCTCAGGGAGGGAATTGCCCCTTGGTGATATGTTTCATATGCCAGGTGGCATCTCTGTACTGCCAACTAGTGGGTACATTTTGGGTCCCCCCCCAAAATTATTTGACTTTGGGTTTTTGCAAAGGCATCTTATCTTGTGTAGTGATAGTCCTGTATTTCTATACGCCAAGGGAAAGAGCACTAAGAGCACTGCCACCCCCAACCTTCCCATCCTCTCTGTCCCTGTCCCCCCATCTCCCCGGGTCGTCCCGTTCTCATCGTTCGTCCCCTCTCCCACTCCCACCCCACTTTGCAGCTTTCTGTGGCAGGCTTAGAGATTACAGGAGGATTAAAAGCTGTGGCCTTTCTTACTTTGTTTTATTTATGTTTTCTTTTCAGGCTTACTTTTGCTAGTCAGGAATTTTATCACAATTTGATAAATGAGATCATATTTACTTCTTCCTGGCACCCCCGGCAAGCTTCATACTGTTTATAGATGTAATGGAAAACTAAATTCACTTGATGCCAGGTCTTGAGTCACATAGTAGAAGACATTTGGGGAATAAGCGAATGACTTGGTGCTTGCACCGTCTGCCCAGTGCCGGCCTTTCTGGCAGTTGCGCGAGTTGTCCATCTTGGATGCTCAGTTCATTTTTTGTTCTAACTCCTACATTTGATCACGGGACACCTTGGAGCTTTGTCGGAGCCTGGCATCTTTCTGTATGGGCAGCTGTTGCCCCGCCCAGAGTAGCAGTGTCCTCCTGCCCAGGAGAAGTCATTAGTTCAAGGCGTCCTGGTAATCCACCTGTGTCCAAGGCCATGCCCCCTGCCTCTCGGTCCCCCTGCCCTGCTCCTGCGGGCACCATTTGGCTCCAGAGCCCCACCTTTACTCCTCTACTCCTTGTTCCCAGTCACCCTGCATGAACCCATGGGCTACATGACTGTCCCAGGTGAGCACTACTTGCTCCCCCCACCACTCCGCATCCCAGAACCCCTGATTTATAGCTGAGTTCCAGCCCTCTGTCCTGAATCTAGGTCCTGGGGCCCCTGACCCCTTAGTCCCTCACCCTCCGGAAAGGGCAGCTTCCCTCATTGCCTTCCCCTTAGCCTTGGTTCCTGGCTTTGACCTCACATGCCTCTGATATTCCTGTCCTTGGTCACTGGGAGCGAAGTTCCAGCAGTGAGGGACGGGCAGAAGGGGGCCTCAACCCTGCTGTGGACACTGCCTGCCATCTCCCAGGCCTGCTCTCAACCTCTTCTTTGGGCCGTCTGTCTAGGGCTGCCTGTTGAGTCTGGGGGTGGACTCCCCTCCCTGCTCCCATCTCAGGCCATGTGTCTCTGCTCGCGCCCAGCAGCGCTGGCAGCAAGAGTAAAAGGCAGCGTCCAGGTTCTCCTTTTTGGACTTGGTTTCCAGCACTTGGTCCTTTGGAAGGTGCATGTGTTCTTGGACTCAAGACGAAACTGTGCAAGAGCCTGACTTGGAGGCTGGAGCAATAGCACAGTGGGTAGGGCGTTTGCCTTGCATGAGGCTGACCTGGGTTCGATTCCCAGCATCTCATACAGTTCCCCCCGAGCACCGCCAGGACTAATCCTTGAGTGCAGAGCCAGGAGTAACCCCTGTGCATCGCCAGGTTTGACCCAAATGCAAGCAAGCAAACAAACAAACAAACAAAATATCCAAGAGTCTGACTGCCGTCCTCTGTCTATGTCTCTCAGGCTCCGCTGAGCAGCTGCTGAGCCCCGAGTGCTGGAAAGCCACGCTGAGAGCCCTGGGCTGCTGCACCCCGGACTGCCACCAGGGGGCAGCTGTTGCAGAGAGCTCCATGCGCCCAAGTTTCCCAAATGCTCTTTTGTCTGACAAGCAGGTGAGTGGTTTGGGGTTCTGGTTTGATTTTTCTGTGCACTCACCCCTACCTCCACCCATAACTCATTTCCTTTAACTTGCCCCTCCCCTCCTCTCTCCTCACTTCCTTCCCTTTCCACAGCCCCTTCCTCCCTTCCTTCCTTTCTTTCTCTGTTTTTGGGTCACACCTGGCAGTGCTCAGGGTTTACTCCTGGCTCTGCAGTCAGGGATCACTCCTGGCAGGGCTCAGCTGATCACATGGGGTGCTGGGGATTGGACCCAAGTTGTCTGCATGCAAGGCAGGCACCCTGCCCACTGTATTGTCACTCCAGCCCCTCTTATTGCGGTTTTTAAAAAATTGAATTACTGTGAATCACAGAGTTATAAAGGTACTGGTGATTGAGTTTTGGGTCCACTCCCCTCCACCAGTGTCCTCTGTGGCAGGCACGTTTCCCCTCCCCCATTGTCCTGTGTTCCCTTCCCTAACTTTTTTTTTTTTGGCTTTTTTTGAGTCACACCCAGTGATACTCAGGGGTTCCTCCTGGCTCTGCACTCAGGAATTACTTCTGGTGGTGCTGGGGGTACCATATGGGATACTGGGAATCGAACTTGGTTTAGCCACGTGCAAGGCAAACGCCCTACCCACTGTGCTGTCGCTCCAGCCCCTCTCTTCCCTAACTTATCCTCCGCCCCTGCCCCAGTAGCTTCCTACTGAAACCCAGGTCTCCCGCTGGTCTTCGTTTCTGTTGCCATCACAGCCCCTCTTTTTCTTTCTTAAACAGTTGGAACACCTTCACAATTTCTGTTTTATTTTATTTATTTATTTATTTATTTTTTGCTTTTTGGGTCACACCCCGCGATGCTCAGGGGTTACTCCTGGCTCATGCACTCAGGAATTGCTCCTGGCGGTGCTCGGGAGACCATATGGGATGCTGGGAATCGAACCTGTGTTGACCATGTTGGCTGCGTGCAAGGCAAATGCCCTACCCGCTGTGCTATCGCTCCAGCCCCGACAATTTCTGTTTTAAAACCCGCTTTTTGTGTGTGCATTGTGCTTTGCCAGGCCCCCTGAGCCCAGATCTCCTATCTCTCACCCCTCAGAGTCATTGTTGCCCACCCCAAGCAGCAGCGGCCCAGCACCTGCAACACCTTCCCTCCCATATGGCCATGTCTCTCTGCTTCGCGCCCCGGTCGGGTTTCCATGCTGAGCCCACAGAGCGCTACTGCAGGGTGGGATGTGGAAGGGCACCCAATGAGCTGGCCTGTGAAAGACAGGCTCGGCCGCTCTGGAAACTTGATGGAAAGCTACCGGTTCACCGTTCAGATGCCAGATACCTTTGCGTCACTAGAGCAAGCCCTCCTCGCCGCCGCTGACAGCATTGGCACACCAGTGGGTACTCCCTGATCAGTCCCTGACTGACCCTTCTCCCCAGGTGATGGAGACGATACAGTGGCTCTCAGACTTCTTCTATAAGCTTCGGTTATCCACACTGGACTTCAAAAGCTTCGGGTTATTTTCCAAGTGGAGCCCATATATGGCTGATGTGAAGACGCTCCTGGGCTACCTGGTGAAAAGGCTGCTTGACTCAGAAATGGCCAGCTTGGCCCAGGACCCGTCCGCCGACAGCAAAGCAGGTAGAGCGTGAGGTTTGCGAAGGAGTGCGGTGCCCATGGCCTCCCACTTGGGAGGTCTTGAATGGACACGTTGGTGGATTTTAAAATATCGCAGCTGAAACTGTGGCTGAGGTAGCCATGGGGGATGTGCAGGACAGCGTGAACCCGTGTGTTATCCTGGTATTACTGACACGGAGGGCACTTGCTCTAGCTTGTCTCTGCCCCTCCCTTGTAGGGTGGGTACAGAGAGAGCGCTTCTACCACCAGCGCTTGCTTCTTCATGTTCACCTTGCTTCAGGAGGAGTTCTGAATATTTAAGCATTTAACTTTTTTTGTTGCTGTTTGTTGTTTTAAATGGTGGCATAAGGCACTTGTCTCACAAGCATGAGGCCCTGTGTTCAGTTCCCAGCAGCACACACGCACTCACGCGCGTGCACTTGGTGCACACACACAAGCAGGCGCATAGTAGAAAATGACTCGTGACACTGGCTCGCAATAGAAATACTTCACATCCAATGGATCCATTGCAGGAAGTGAAAGCACGAGCCTGTCATCTACATTCAGTGTGCCGCTTGGGCATCCACACGGGCCCCTGGGTTTGCAGTTGATAAGGTTCCCATATGGGGTCATCAGTGATGCTGGTGAAGGCTGAGTAGGTTTCTGTCTCTCAAGCTGTCGCTTTGTTTCAGTGCTAAGGTACCTGCATTCGGTGATCATCCAGCTTTTTAAGCCATGGATCCTGGTTTTGGAGGACAATGATAGGTAAATACTTTTCCCCCCGAGCTATTCAGATTCCACAAAAATCTATAAAGATTGGATGGTGTTTGAATACACATGGTGCTTTCCCAGATCTAAGTTTTAGTGTAGAGCCCGCCTTTTTAGAAGATCTTTTTTTTTTTTAAAACACAGTTTCTGTTTGTGGAGCTATTAGTGTGCATAATTGAAGTGATTATGCTTTTATTTTGAAGCAGAGCTGGGCACTCATTTCCAGTTTTCTACAAAGTTGAATTAGTCATGGGACTTAATTTCAGAGAAAGAATTGTTGCCCTCCTGAATTTGTTCTTGATAATACTACACAACACAAAGCTACTTTGATGTTATTTAATTAATTTTGTTAATTTTTGGCAGCTAACCTGGTTTTTCACATTACTGGGTGGGAATTGCTTTTTAAAATGGATTGTAATTAGAAGAAAGCACCAGTGCTAACTAACTAAAGAGCTAACTCCTGAGAGTGACGAATCTGTCCTCTCTCTATCACTCCCCAACACATTCAGGCAGAAGCTGGGGATGTGTGGGGAGTTTTGTGAAGGGTGACAAGGTAGAGCCTGCCATAGAGGAGATGTTTTCCCGGTGAGAAGTTCCTCAGCTGCAAAGGGTCAGGGAGGAATGTGACTTGCTTGAGTCTACTCCAGGGAGGACCTGGAGGAATCAATCTGACCTTCTCCCCTCTTCCTTTGCAGCAACCAGCGGCTCTACCCCTGGCTGGAGAGCGATGCTGTCGTAGCCACAGGCCTTGTGCAGCTGCTGGCTGATTGTGTGGACGCCTTGCACCAGGGCTTCAAAGGTAAGATGGCCTCAGTCTTGACGCTTTTGGGTCTCCACTCAGCCCTGAAGTCCCGCAGCTCCCAGGCCTCTGCTTGCATTTTACTGGGAGCTCCAGGGTCACTCTGGGTGGGTGGTGCCTCCCTCCCACACCTTGGGCTCATTCCTGTCTCCGGTCTTTTGTGCTTCTGGTCTTGCTTCCCATCTGCTCACTCTCTCCAGCCTCATGGAACCAGCTTCCAAAAAACAACTCATCGAAATTTCCATTTCGATTTCTGGGAGTGAATTGGTTTTCCAGAGCTGCTCTGATCTTCGTTTGTGGACCGCATCTGGCGGTGCTTAGGGTTCACTCCTGGTTGTGCGTAGGGGCCAGGGACTGGACTTGGGCCTCCTGCATGCAAAGCCTGCATTCCACTTTGACCTGCCTCCCAGCCACACTTTCATCGTTCTTGTAACATCCTATTTCTCTCTCTGGTTTGCTTTGATTTCTGGAGATGGTGTAACCTGTTCCATGCTGTCCGTCCTGCCCCCATAGCTGGCATTCCCATCAGGGCTGGGGGCTCACACAGCCTGGTTCTTAGAGGTGGCGTCCATGTGCATGCACGTGTGTGTGTCTATGCTTGGACCTTCCCAGAAGACCCGGATAAGTGAGTATCTCCAGCAAAGAGCCATGTACTTGCTGGACTCTGGACTCTTGGCTTTCTCCCATATGTCCGATGTGTGAGATCAAGTCCATGCTTGCTCACAGCCAGGCTCGGCCTCCCCAGAGGTCTCTCCCCTGCAGACGCAGCCCCAACTAGGCAGACCAGGATTGTTTTCCCTCATCTCTGCCCTTTTGTGAGGGAAGTTTGGCACTTCTCCTGCAACATAGATGCCTACTGCCCCGGCCCCCGAATCTTTGCTGTCCTGTTCTCCCTTTGCCCAGGTGCTCGTGTTTTCTTCTCTGTCCGTCCCAAGCCTTGTGTTATCCAGGACTAGTCTAGTGCATCTTGGAGGTCACTCTGTGTCAGCCTGATGCCAGCACCTTTCCTGTGTCCTGATTTAGACAGGTGCTGCCCTTTCCCCCCATGTCAAATGCTCAGTGAGGGCTGTGACAACCTCCAGTTTCCGGGAGCAGGACTGAGGTGTGCTCTGGGCCTGGTGCTCTCAGACCATGTTTGGAGTCAGCAGCCCCATCTGGTTGCTGCTCATGCTTTGTTTCCCTGGGGAAAACCTGGGAAATCTGCGAGACTTTAAATGAAAACTGCCCTGATGTTGCCCTTAGCTTTTGTGGACAGTAAGGGAAGGACGCGTGGGAAGGTGATGCTGAGGGACTCTGGGAGGGAGAGCAAGTCTAGGTGGAATCAGGAAATGACACTTGAGTCTAGTTGGGCAGTGTGTGGGGTTAAATTTGCTCCCTGGGGAATCTTCTCTGAATTGTCTGAATACCTCCAGAGTGTCAGAGGAGTACTTCTGTCATGAGCATGCGGAGGACCATGGGCTACAAGGATGCAGGGAGTTGGGTGGGTTTGTGAGAGCCCCTTTGAGTGTAAAAGCTAGATAGAGATTTTGAAGAAAAACTGAGCACCCCTGGCTCACTCCCATTCACCAGTTACCCCAGTGATTTAGCAGAATTTTGTGCTGCTGCTGCTCCTCCTCCTCCTTGTGCTCAGGGCTTACTCACTGCTTTGCTCAGGGCACCATCTGTGATGCTAGGCATCAAATTTGGGCTGGCCTTTTGTATGACATGACAAGCACTTAGTCCCCTGTCACTGTCACTGTCCTCCCGTCATTCATCAGTTTGCTCGAGTGGACCCAGTAACATTGTGAGACTTTTTGTTACTGTTTTGGGCATATTGAATATGTCACGGGTAACTTGCCAGCATTTGCCATGGTGGCGAGATACTCTTGGTAGCAGAGGAATCGAAGGTGGAGGAATTGAACTTGGGTTGGCCATGTTGGCCGTGTTCAAGGTAAACGCCCTACCCGCTGTGCTGTTGCTCTAGCCCAGCCTAGTCCCTTCTTCTTCTTCTTCGTTTTTTTTTGGGGGGGGGGGGCGTCACATCCAGCGATGCTCAGGGGTTACTCCTGGCTTTGCACTCAGGAATTACTCCTGGCGGTGCTTGGGGACCATATGCCATGTGGGATGCTGGGAATCGAACCCGGTTGGACGCGTGCAAGGCAAACACCCTACTCCCTATACTATTGCTCCAGCCCTCCCTCTATTATTCTTTTTTTGGGGGGAGGGGCATAAAGAGCATTTAATTTCCCTTGAACCTGTTATACTTAGAAGCTGAGTTGAGAGATGGAGAGATAATATAGCAAATAGGGTACTTGCCCTGCACGCGGCTGACCTGGGTTTATTCCCAGCCATCTCATTTGGTCTGAAGTTGGCTTTATTAATATTAGAAGTCAATTTTAACTATTTCAATGGTTAAATTCAAATATTTGCTAAGCAAATAGTGCACACTGCATACTTTTCTTGACCATGGTAACATTTTATTTTATTTAAAGTTTTAATGATATGTAAACCAGCTGGCAGATGGCAAAGTTCTGTGTTCTATAAATGTTTGTATCACTTGTATCACTTATACATAGATTTACTCGAGCAGGCGCCAGTAACGTCTCCATTCATCCCTGTCGTGTGCTAGTCCCCCTGTTATTCTTAGGCTGCCATCCTTTTATATGTTTCTGGCACACGAACCCCTTTGAAACTGGGTCAGTATTGAGAAACAGATTTTAGCCCCTGAATGCAAGTTGGCTGTTCCGTGTTAGTTTTGTTTCTGTTTCTTCCTGGGTGAACCAAAAAATTACTTGCTTTGCTTTTTCTTTGCCGTTTCAGACAAGCTGCTGCCAGGGGATGAAGGTGTTCTCCGGCTTCACCTGCTGCATTACTGTGAGGCGTGCACCGCGCCCCAGATGCCAGAGTTCACGCTCTATGCCTTCCACAGTGCATACCGCAAGCTCCCATGGCAGGACCTGCACCCGGACCCCCTGCTCATGGAGGCCTTCTTCAAGGTACGCCCCCCCCCCCCCCCCCCCATACACGCTTTGTCCCCACCTGCTGCCAGGCCATGGCCTCTTGCTGTGGTTCTTGGCCTGGGCTTGGGGCACACTATGTGTTCCCATTGGATTGTGGCCATGTCCACATTCTGTGTGGCCTCTTGACCTCACAGAATGCACTTGATTGTATTTGCAGACCAGGAATCCATCACAGAACCCATCTTTCAAACCCAGAGAACCGTCCTGTGTGTAAAACGGCAGGAAGCCCTAGTCAGCAGCAAGATCAGGGGGATCAGCGCCTTGTTCAGTGGCTCTAGTGGGCTCAGTCTTGGTGTTTCTGGAAACGCATGTTTTTTTTTTTTTTTTTTTTTTTTTTTTGTGGCTCACTGTCGTGTGAACTCCCTGTTGTTAAGTATTCTATTAAAGTCAAATGCAAATTGGCCAGAACCCAAGCCATGTGCTTCTTTAAGTGGTTAGGCAGGGAGATAATTAGACCGTCGAAGACTGGAGTACAGGGTAACAACACACAAGGCATCATAACTCAGTAAAGACTGGAAATGAGCTGGAAAGGGGCAGAGTTGTGTGTCTTTGCAGTGGAAGCAGTTAGGGTATGGAGCGCATGCATGCCAATCCAGCAGCTTTGAGCTTTGAGTCAGGGTTGTACTGTAATTTGAAAGCTCATGGGAGAGTGAGCTCTGAGCACTGAGCCCCATGTCACCCTGCACCGGTGCCCTAAACTAATGAACCTCCTGGGCATCTTGCCTTTAGTGGTTATTTCCCATTTGGGCCCAGAGCCATTTGTTCGTCTGTGTCTACTCTTCATGCCACTTCTGTCACTGAGACCATGTAGGGGCCTTTGTTCCTAGGGACCCCCAGTCCTCTGGACCCTGAGGGGAGGCGTGGCTATCCGAGCTAAGCTGTGAGTAAGCCAAGGACTCCAGTCTTAGGTGCTTGGATATGAAGGACTTTTTAGTAGGGTCAGCACAAGACAGGCCCTAAGTAGGACTTTGTCACCATAGTGGATGCAGAAGAGAGGTGGGTCTGCAGAGCCGGACTGCAGTATCCATGTGAGCAGGAGACGTGGCTGTGAGGGTGCCTGGCTGACCAGAGATAGATGAAGCTGGCTGGTCCATGAGCCTTTTAGCTCTGTCTCCTGTCATCATGAGGCAGGTATTCTCATGGGGCCAAAGTCCAAAGGAAGACTAAGAGGCATTTTCTAAAAGGGGAGCAAGCAGGTCATGGGCGTCCTACAAATACCATGGTGATAGGACATGAAACAACGTCAGATTCTGTTGATGGTGGTTTTCAAACAGAGCAGAGCCTTTAACTTTTGATGATTTTACTTTTCCTGAAGTAGGTAGTTTCATTTAGGAGATTTGAGAGGGAGGGAGTTAAGTAACACGTTGAGTGGGGGGCGTGTAGATGATCCCAGAAAGGAAAACTCGAAGGGGTAGAGCTTTCTCATCTTTCTCTCTGTGAAGGGGGCTCCCAAGAAGGGGGGGGGGGGGTGTTCTGGGACCTGTCTAGACCAGAGAGCTCACAGTAGGGATCTTCTCAGGCCAGCAAGGCTGGATGCCATCAGGCCATCCCCCATAGTGCTAGGGTCAAACTCTCACAGCTACATACATCGTGACTTGTGAGCTGTCTCTCCAACCCTGAACTTTTACTTCTAGAGGAAAATTGTACCTTGATCTATTTTAACAGACTTAAGATAATGAGCATTAACTTTGACATTGTTAGCTTTATAACAGTTTGGTCATCTTCTATATCCCTGTGTTTATTTTACATGGGATATAATGAACATTATGGAGTCACCAAAAATTATCAAGACCAATGACATGGAAGTTTTTTTTCTCCTTCAGAAAGTCCATCTGTTAAAATAATTTGGGGGGGCCGTGTCTGTAGGTCAGCAGTAGAGTGCTTGTCCTGCATGATAAGGCCTGGATTGGATCCCTGGCACCACAAAACAGTAAAATAATGATTTTCTGTGTACATGTATCTTTTGGGAGCACAACATTTCATCTTTTTCCTCTCCCCTTCCTTCTGTTGTTTTTGGTTTTGGTTTTTGGGCCACACTTTGTGATGCTCGTGTCTCTGCACTCAGGAATTACTCCTGGAAGTGCTTGGGAGACCATATGGGATGCCGGGGATTGAACCTGGATCGGCCGTGAGCAAGACAGATGCTTTCCCCACTGTCCTGTTGCTCTAGCCCTGTTGTTTTAGCCCAGTATCTGGAGGTCACACACTGGGTCTCAGGATCCCTAGGGCTCAAACACTACTTGTGGTACCAGGGATCACAGTCAGCAATATGGGACCACACAAGTGGGTAATTGTCAGCCTCAAACCTGCAAGGCCGGTGGGTGCTCTGCCCACTGAGCCACATCTTGGGCCCTTAGAAATGTTTCCACAACACAGCATTCTTCTCAAAGGCCGTGTGAAGTGACATTCTCCCAAAGTGGGGGCCACGGGCTGGCTGTGTCTGCCCCACATGGGAACTTGTTACAAGGGCAGGTTTCATGGGGAATGAAAGGTTCCATGGTGTGTGTCCAAAGGGGAGTGACTTGTTACAAGGGAACTTGTTACATGGGAACTTGTTACAAGGGCAGGTTTCATGGGGAATGAAAGGTTCCATGGTCTGTGTCCAAAGGGGGGTGACTGTGCACCACTGGAAGTGACCCCAAAGCATAGAGCCTCCATAGCCCCCTAGCAGCACCAAGGATGACTCAGGCACTGCCTTCCTGCCCTGAATGAACAATTGGCTGGTGTATTCGGTAATGAACCAGCCAGCTGGGAAATGTACCCAAACTTGAGCAGGGGGAGCTACTACAGATGCTCCGTCTCAGATGGCGAGGGTCGAGAGGTATGGGAGCTGTTTAGAGTCTGGTGGGAGAGGCTGTTGTTTTCTTAACAATTTATTGAGCATTGATCCTGATGCCTTCTTGAGGCACGCAGACAGCTCCCATAAAAGCTCTCATGTATATCCTTCCTTCCAGGTGGAACGGGGCAGCCCCAAGAGCTGCTTCCTGTTTCTGGGCTCCGTCCTGTGTGAAGTCAACTGGGTCAGCGTGCTGTCTAACGCCTGGGGTCCCAGGCCCCACCCTGAGACCCGGAGCATGGTCGTCTGCCTCCTTTTCATGCTGGTTCTCTTGGCCAAGGAAGATGAACTAGTTGAGCAGACGGTAAGTTGGGGGCCCATGCCTGACTTGGGAGCAGTCCCTGCTCTGCAGAAATGGCCCTTTTCCCGGTATTTCCCTACTGCCCCTTTCAGGAAGGAAGAGATTCTTGGTATCTGGGCAGTGTCTTTGCATCATGTGCCCACTTTACTCAGATAAGCTCCTTCTGGGTAATGAAGGAAGGCTTTGGTGCTCAAAATCAATCTTATTTAATATCTCGTAAATTGCTGGTTCTGCTACCAGACCAGAAATTTCCTTTGAAAATTGAGTTCTGAGTAGTCGGAGTCTTACTGTTAATGTGTTTCTTCCCAATGGATTTTGGTTGTTTCTTTGTTGGTGCTCAGCCATTATTCAGCATTCTAATTGTCCTGTACTTCTTTGGCCATCTTAGTGGTCACTCCACAGATTCTCATCTGATTTCCGGGAAGGTGAGGTCTCTGGATCTGAAGGAACATATGTTTCATTTTCAGGATTCGCCTCTCCTTAGTCTCCTTGGTCAGACAAGCTCTCTTTCGTGGCATCTTGTGGACATGGTGTCGTACCAGAGCGTCCTGGGTTATTTCAGCAGCCACTACCAGCCATCCATCGTCCTGGCAAAGGAGTCTTCCGCAGAATTTGTCATGAAGCTCCTGAAAGCATCTGCAGGGCTTTCTGTCCCCACTGATGGCCAAAAGCATATCGTAAGTCCTGTAGTGCTTCAAAAGGGAGTGTGTTTGGGGGGGTTGGGTGTGGCTCATAGGTGGAGCACTTCCCTTCCCTGCAGAATACCCAGGTCCAGTCTCTGACACTGCAATAAAAAAAACAAAAGAAAAAAAATGAGTCAGCCTGTTTGGACTTGAGCGATGTCTCAGAGGGCTGGAGCACATGCTTTGCTTGCAGGCACCCAGGATAAAAAGTGTTCTTTAAGACTCGTGGTCTAATCAGTACTGTCAAGTACTGTATTTTTCTTTCCTTTTTAACTTTTATTGTTTCTGTTGTTTTGTTTGGGGACCAGCAATGCGCCTGGGTTACTCTTTGCTCTACACTCAGGAATTATTTTTGGTAGTACTGGGGGGATCATATGGGATGCCGGTAATTGAACCCAGATATGCGACATGCAATGCAAATGCCCTCCCCGCAGGACTATTTCCTCCCTCCCAAGTACAGTACTTTGATTTGTTTCCCTTTGCTGTGATGACATGTGGTTGAGGTGCTCCCACACTTGGCGTTGCGTGCAGTTTTCAACACAGAGCTTGCGGAGGGTCACACACCACAGTTGTGCTCAAACACAACTGGGTGTGTGTGGGTGGGTGTGTGCAGGGGGCACACACACTTATTTGTGTTGGTGCTGGGGACACAACTGGCAGTGCCTGTGCTGGTGTCAGGGTGCCAGCTCTCGCCCTCGCACCTGTGTGGCGGGTATTCTACACCTGCTTCCCTGGGCCTCAGAGAGCCCCAAGACAGCCCAGTATAGCAACAGTTGGGAAATGTGTGGCACGTGGACTCAGATTTTGGTCTCTTGGGTCCTTTGGTTTTGTTTTTCACTTAGTATAACTGTCCATGGTGCATGGTGACAGGATCTTCGAAGGATTGACGGCAGTCGGCTGTTGACTGTTGGCTGAGTGATCCTGAAGGCCATTGGCAGCAAATATTAGAGAAGTTCAGAGCATGAATCTGAGGTCCAACAAGGCCCCTGTTCTGACTTTGGTTTTCTCCACTGAGCTGGAAGTGATATCTTACCTCTGAGTGAAGTTAGGATTGATATAATAAGCCTGATGTTATTGGAAAAGTTCTTTCTTTTTTTTTTTAACTTTGAATCAAACTTTATTTAAACTTTTGATTTCCAAAGTTGTTCACAATACAGTTGTTTCATTGTTCCATCACCAGTCCAACCACCAATGTTCCTTTCCTTTCACCAGTATCCCCAGTTTCTCAAATGTACAAAATAATCTTATGTTGTAAATATAAAGTGTGTATAGATAGCATGTATCTCTTAATGGTGTTGCTAAAGTCCTGCCTGAGAATTTACTGAGCTGTCAGGTGCAAGTTGGGCCTTCTGTGTTACTGTTTTCACTCACTGAGCTCAGTAGGCATCTACTCAATTTTCCCATCTAATTGTTTGTGCTTTTCCTGAGCTGTCAGCTCTGTGGAGTTTGGAGATGTTGCATGGCTGTATATATGGCTTCATGCTTCAGGAGTTTTGGAGCTGGCACCATCAGCTGTTGTGTCCCTCTGGCTTCTCCGAGATCAGTTCTGAGGCTGGGCCAAGTCTCTGACAGTGGCGGGAGCTTGATGTGGTTGGGTGGAGTGCTGGGCCTTTCGCAGTGCGGGGACTCAGTTTGCCCCCATTTCCTACTAAAGTTCCAGAGATCTGGGCCTTGTGGTGGCCAGGCCTATCTGGAGTAACTTGGCTGCTGACAGCTCTCTGAGATGGGTCGTGAAGCTGGGCCGATTCTCTGGCAACCTGGAAAGAGTTCTCAGCCAGTAAACGGAATGTAGCTAATGTTATTAATTTAGGGGAAAGGGAAGAGTTTGATGCTGAAACTTGGGGGGATGTGGGATTTAGGGTGAGTGTTGCTATGTATGCCTGGATGTGTCTCTCTGAGATCAAGGCCTTCACCTCACTGGCCCCTGCTCAGTTCTCCTGCCAGGGCGGGCAGCTCAGTGCTTTGCTCCAGGGACATCACAGGTCCCTCTCACTTGGACTCGTCTGAATGACTTTTTCTTTCTCATTGTCAGGATGCAGTTCCAAAATGCCAGGCCTTTGTTCATCAGATGGTGCAGTTCCTGAGCTCCCTGGAACAGAGTGGGAAGATCACCTTAGCAGTTCTGGAACAGGAGATGGCTAAGCTTCTCGACGATATCATTGTCTTTGACCCACCTGGTAAGCGGCACGGGGAAGGGACGGATTTGCCAGTGCACGAATTCCTGCCATGTATGAGGCAACACAGCTGCAGGTGATGGTCAGGACCCTGCAGTGCCAGGGGCGGAGAGTGAAGAGGACACAGATGGTAGGCTGGAAGGGTGGGAGTGCTCGAAGGTGGACAGGACTGGGTGTGCTGATAGGGCACTGACAGGACACTGCCCCGAGAGCCGCATTCCCAGATGTTCTGGCTTTAAACTGGGCAGGGGGCACTTAAGGGTCATCCAGAGGCTTGTCCAAAATCTTGTCCTTGAGAGTGTAGGCTCCTGGCAGGCCAGTGGCCTGGACATCCTCTTCTGCTGAAGACTGTGGGCTCAGAGAGTTGTCAGGAACCAAGGACTGGGCTGAGCAAGTGAGGTGGCACGCAAGCCCGGCAGAAAGCAGGTGAGAGATAGGAGGAGCCACTGGGTTCTCGTACACTGAGGCCAGTGTGGCCAGGACGGCTGTGCGGGCCCTCAATGGGAAGTGGGGGGGCCACGAGCCAGGAAGCTGCCAGCGAGGGGCAACTGGAGGCCTTCCCAGGCAGGGCCAGGCTAAGGAGGAGTGGGAGAGGAGTCACCCCTGTGTGTGGCCTCCCCTCTCCCCTCTCCCCTCTCACCTGGACACAGAAGTGATGTCTCTGTAAGTTCACGCTTACCCCTGCATAAGTTTTGGGCGTTAACTCTCACTGCCTAGAGTGTTGGTTCTGTTTTTAATCTCTCAACCTGGGACTTCTATCAGAGTTGCTCTGGGCTGCCAGAGCTGTCAGCCCCAAACCCCCTTTGGGCAAACCTGCCCTCAGCTCACGGTAAAGGAGAAATCAAGACCTGCAGGGTGGTGGCAAGAAGGGACCTCCAACAGCTCAGCAGAAAGTGTCAGCAGAGTCATATAAAGGCTCGGGGTATTGGACCAGTGCCTGTTTGACTTTATGCTTGGTCTATTTTTGTTATTTTTCCCCCTTTTCTTTTCTATTTTTTCTTTCCAGTTCTTATTTTAACACTGGGAGGTAGCACAGAGTTAGAGTGGTGTGTGACTCACCTGGATTCCCAGGCTGCACTGGGCACAGCCTACCGGACTGAGTGTGGTGGTATGCCCCAGTGAAATCCCTGGTCCCTGGCCCCACATAGCCCATGCAACACCCTAGCACTAGTGTCCTCCTGGCTGGATGCCCTTGGGAGCCGGCTCCTGGCCACCCCCTGGGGAATCCCTTCTTCCCGCTTTCCCTGCCTGCTCCCTCCCAAAGATATTGGAAAATTTGGAATAATTACTAAAAAAATATGAAACAGTACTTTTAGTCTTTTATTGGTTTACAAACACTATTTTTATTTTTTTATTTTTTAAATTTTTATTAGTGAAACACCATGAGGTACAATTGTAGATTTACAAATTTTTGTGCTTGGGTTTCAGTAATAGAATGATCAAATACCCATCCCTCCACCAGTGCTCATTCACCACCACCACTGATCCCAGTATCCCTCCCACCCCCCATCCCCCATCCCACCCCGCCTCTGTGGCCGGGCATTCCCCTTTGTTCTCTCTCTCCTTTTGGGTGCTGTGGTTTGCAAAAGAGGCATTGAGTGGCAATCACGTTCGGTCTAAAGTCTACTCTCAGCACAAACATCATTTTTAAAGTATGTGATTAAGAGAGGTTTGAAAATATCTGAAATGTGTCAAAAATTGAACAGGTATACAGATTCGAGAATTAAATTCTAGAAAAAATACTCAAAGTATATGTATAATTAAGCTTAATTAAAGCAAGTAGGTTTATTTAAATAATTAAATATAAAGTAGATTTGATCTACCTTTGAGGAGAAAACTAGTAAGCTTGAAAATACATGGACCATAAACTGCTGGAGAGACATCTCATAATCTACATACATAAGGACTTAATGGCGCTCCAGGGTAATACTACAGTCTACACACATTTTCCCCTAAGAAAACTTTTTTTGATCATATTCAGTGGGTTATTCCTAATAAGTAATACAAAATAAATTATTTAGGTCCTGCTTTGAGGTCAGGCTTTGAGGATCGGGGTGGAATAATTCAAAATATGGTTTTGGGGAGGTGTAATGGTGGTGGAATTGGTGTTGAAAGACTGAATGTAGTTATTGTAAACAACTTTATAAAAATGAAATAAAATTTTACTTTTTTTTTTAAAAAAAAAGAAAGAAAAATAGATGGACCAGTCGTGAGGATGCAGCGTGGAGAAACAGAGAATATATAGTGAGGTTAGGGGCAGGGAGAAGAGATGGAGAAGGTACAGTGAGGTTGGGGGCAGGGAGGAGTACTGAGGGCTGAGAAGATCTAGCTGAGAAGACCCATCATCTCTTCAGACTCCCCGAGGCAGATGAGATTTAGAATTGGAGGCGGGAGGTGGAGGGGGAAGAGGGGTACACGACTGTAACTGCTGAAGAGTCTGCAAAACTGAGAATTTTCTAGACCCTTTAAAGACAGTAATTGTTAGGTCCAGTACATCCAGCCGATCCGAGGTTAGGTCGGTATATATGCCTGTATATGCAGTGAGAGAACAGGTGGGGTTAAAGCTCTCATACCCAGGAAGCAGAGACAGCTTTGCTCCTCAGCACAGCATTCACACTGCTCTGCAACCTCTTGGTAGCAATAAAGGAAGTTGTAAAACAGGGCAACAGCAGCTTCATTGTGCTGTGAGGAAGTGACTTATAACCTGGAATTGTAAACTAAGAAACATTCAAGGCTGTGGATGAAATAATGGGATTTTCATGGAAAACTCACCATGGCTCTGTGAAAATCACAAAAGGCAATAATGAGGCAGGATTGGTTTTTTGGGTTTCTTTTTGCCTTCTTTATTTTTAGGAGGAAGTAGAGATCACAGGTTAAAGCTGTAATTGTAAGAAAGAAAAATAAACAGAAAAAGTGGTAAAGCTAAGGTAAAACCAAAAAAAAAAAAGGCCTATGTAAAACTTTTAGGGGTTCGCCAAGCAAAAGCTCAAATAACAAGAGCTTAAGTGTACCAGAGCTAGGAAGCGGGGGTGAATAAAAGCATTATAAAGTTTTATGTTTAGGGTTAATTTTCATTTTGGAATCCACCCAATGTTGCCCAGGGTTCTTTAATCAGAAATCACGCCTGGCAGTACTGGGGATTGTATAGGGTACTGGAGATTGAACTGGAATTTGCCACATGCAAGTCAAGTATTTTACTCTTGTACTCTGTCTCTCATCCCTAAAATTTACAGGGTTAAGAAATCAAGTATATTTTGTGAGAAAGTAGAATTATGAAAACTCTTTGAGAGAGCAGAAATGTAGCTCAGTGGAAATATCTGCTTTACATGTTTAGGTTTTATCCTGTTAGAATAGATGCGGATACATGCACATAGAGCAAAATTCATTAAAATGGAAATAAAATGCATGATGTTTTTAGTGGAGAGAGATTAAAAGGAATTACCAAGAGAAGATAAGCCTCATGGAGAGGGTAAACCAAAAATAACCAAACTAAGATGATATTTCAGTAAATATGAGTGATTGAGTCTTCAGGGTACTGTTGGGATTAATAGTCAAGAAACATCTGGCTTGGGGCCAGGGATGTGGCATAGCAGTAGAACATTTCTCTGGATTTAGTCCCCTGTACTGCAGAAAAACAGGACAAAACAAAGTAAAATCCCATTTAAGCTGCTTGTAAAGAATACTTGTAACACAGATTGAGGAAAACATCCGTAGGTCATATCATGTAAGAATCAGAACAGGAAGTTGCACTGTAGGACTGTGGGGCAGTAATCATTTTAGGGACAGATTGTTTATAATTTGTCTTCCTGCACTGACATTGCATGACCAAAAAACAAAATCATAAGAAATAGGCATCAATAGAGATAGTCATTGGAAATTTTAAAAAGTTTAAAAGATATAATACTACTTGAACGCAGAAACAAAGTAAATCCTAATGTGGAACTGTTAGGAGATCTATGCCTAACCTTACTTGAATAGGCTTGAAATACCTCACAACTAATCCCAAAACACTGGCATCAAACAAACTACATATTCTAGCCATAGTGCAATGAATTTAGAAATCAGTAACAATATTACCATGGAGGGAGCTATATATTGGAAATGAAGAAACAAATGTTTTTAAGTAATGTCTAGATGAACAAATAGATGCCCAGAGGAACAATCATAATAGAAATTTAAAATTTTGAGAATTGGGTATTAAAAAAATGAGGTATCAAAACTTGTGGGAGGCAGCTCAGATGGGACTTAACTTCCTGTCTGTTGATACTTATAATACAAATGTTCTAAGGTGAAAATCAGAGTTCAGCGTAGTTCATAGAAATTATAATAAAAAACTGCCAAAACTTTATAAGGAGGGAAATAACAAGGGAAAGATCATTGGGTATAAATTACGGATGAAGAACAGTGAGTCATAAATATATATGAAATCTGATAATTGCAGAGTGAAGTACTCAGAGTAATATCTTACTGGCAGCAGCAGTAGAGAGAGTGAAAGATGTTTTCCAAACCTCTGTGTTGTCTGAAAACCAACTAACAACATCAGTCGTGGAAAGAAATAAGAAATCATGATATAATTTACTGCAATGTGATGAGTACATGCCTTCCCAATTAGAAGGAAGAGGTTGTACTCTGGAGGGAACAAATAGAATATAGTAAGAATAGATTATATTCAACATAAATGAATAAACTCATCACTTTGGATAAAATAAGCAAAAAAAAATCTAGTAGAACAAAAAAAAATAAAGAACCCTTAAAAAACACAAAAGACTTGTAAGTTAAAGTTTGTTAAAAAAGACTGTATAAACAGTATACATTTGGGAAAGTGCTAAGTCATGCTACGAGTCATGACAGTGTAAATTAAGGTCTTTATGACATATTGCACATTTATCACAGTAGCTTCGATTTTAAAAGATTTGATTTTAATGTCAAGTTTTGGCAAGGATGCACATTAGTGTAATGCTCATATCTGGCCAGGCACAGAATTAGTTGGCACAACTGTTTTTGAAGTTGACATCATCTAATTTTCATGTCCCATTACCTAGAATTAAAATTTTTTGGTAGGGGAGAGGTTTGGGCCATACCCAGTGATACTCAGGAATCACTCCTGGAGGTGCTTGGGAGACCATCTGGGGTGCAATGGTCACAGAGGGTTTGGCCACATGCAGGGGAAGCACTTTGCCTCATGAACCATCTCTCTGGCCCCCACTCCTGACTTTTACCAAAAAAAAAAAAAACAAACCCAAAATGATGACACTTGTCTTCTGCTACGGAAAACGTGAACAGTGCTATAGCTGTAGCTGTTCATTTCCGCACGCTGGAGATGGTACTGGGGGAAAGGGGTCCCTAGGACTATACATTGGTGTCGGGGGATCATACTCCTGGCGCAGTACGTGCATGCTGCCTTTGAACTGTCTCCCTGGACCCTGAGAGGAAGTCTATAGAAGGGTGTGGGAAAGAGTATTTGCACATGTGTACTGCTGTTACGTCTCAGGCTTTATTTTCTCGAGTATATCACAGCTGGGTGGTGTGATTTCATCCGTGCCAGTGAGTGAATTGAAGTATGGATAAACTGAGGTAGACCACTTCCCCCATCAATGGAAATGCTGGAGCCTGTTGCAGAGAGCACATCCATAGAGTGCATCCAGCTGGAGGAGGACTCAGACTGGCTGGCAAGACTTAGGCATGCACGAGTTGCTTCCTGCACGTTGTGAAGTGCTCACTCCCTTGGGATGGGAGGGACTCACTCTCAGTAAAGTATTCCTTTGGAGGGGCTCGCTCTCAGTAAAGGGCTCGTTTATAGTTTTCCTGTAGAACTGACTTGCTCCCTTTTGTGTGCCTTCTATTATCTTTTTGGCCTCTTCATTTTTTAACAGAATTCATTGATATTGTGAGCACCCATTTTTCTCATTCAAAAACTAAGACTTGAGTGTTGCTCTGCAGAACCTTTCAAAGGATTCTTCTTTCCTTCTCTATTTGTTGAGGTCAAAACCTTTATTCTTTGAAAATCCTCATGGAGCATTGGCGGCCGTGGGGGGGTGGAAGAGGTGCTGTTCCAGTCACTTCAGCAGTGTCATCCCAGTCACTGGTTTGCCCTGCACACAGTTTCTTAAGTCTGGCAGTAGTTGGCACCAGCTGGACACAGAGATTGTGACTCTGCTGCACTCTCTGAGGATCTTGGGGTCAGTTCAGGACCATGCCCTAACCTGAAAAACAGAGTGCCTCCAGAGCCTTCCTTCTGGGCCCCGCAACCAGGGCACACTTGAACTGTAAGGTCTGCCTGAGGGGCAGCTAAGGCTGCCTGGATTGAATTGATGGTGTGCATGTCGCCCCAGGACACCTGGCTGAGTGTCTATGTTTTCCCCCCCAGACATGGACAGCCAGACCCGCCACATGGCCCTGAGTGGCCTCTTCATGGAAGTGCTCATGATGCTGAACCACGCCACTCTCCCGACAGCCGAGTTCCTGCGGGGCAGCGTCCGGACATGGATCGGGCAGAAGGTGCACGGGCTGGTGGTGCTGCCCCTGCTCACCGCAGCCTGCCAGAGCCTGGCTTCCGTCCGCCACATGGCCGAGACCACGGAAGCCTGCATCGCGGCCTACTTCAGGGAAGGTGAGGGGCTATGGGCACAGGCTCCTGCCGGACCCGCCCTTTGCAGGGTAGACGAAAAAGCTTTCAAAGGAGGGGCCTTCCAGAGAGGCCTTCTGCCGCTTTGTTCCTGTACGTACTATGGTACTATGGCAGTTCCCTGGTGCGTTTGTCCTTTTCATGGAGACCTGCGGTCAGTCGGTGTGAGAGCTGGTGCTCTCGTCTCTTCATGTGACCATGCTTCCACGGGGGCTCCTCACACTTCTGCCTCTGGTTATGTCGAAGGAGCCCTTTGTGACAGGATCATCATGCAGCCGACAGGACCCATCAGAATTGCTGTCAGGCAGAATCAATTCAGTTTTCCTATTTATGTCACTTGTAAAGATGCATTGTCATAGATGTCTTTTCATTGCTTATTACATTCCCATCCCCCTCTCCCTACCCCCTTTGACCTGTTCTTGCTCTTGTGGGTTTGGTTTTGTTTTGTTTTTTTATTTTTGTTTGGGGATGGCCAGAAGTTACATTCACTGGGTTGCTGTATGCCAGCTGTCTTGCTGATGGGGTTGTGCTGGGCCACGTGGGATGATGCTGAGGTTGAACTCATAAGGCAGGTGCTACTGGCCCAGCCTGTGATCACACATCTGAAACTGCCACTCAGGATACCCTCACCACCTCCACACATCTTCCTGCTGTCGGGTTTCTTACCTCCACACTCTGGGACTTGGGAAATTATCTGGTCTGGTTAGGAACGATTGAGCAGAACCGTTCTGAGTTTCAGTGTCCAGGCACACAGCATTGAGCACACAGCCGGGAGGCGGAAGGGAATTGAGCAGGAATGCTGGAAAATGCCCATACCTGCCCCTGCCCAGCTGTGAGCAGCCCCAGAGGAGGTGCTGTGCGGATCACCGTGTCAGTTGTGTGTGTCATCAAAATAGTTTGTTCAGTTTTAACTTATGAAGCATTTTCAAGGATTTCCATCAAGATATACCTCAAACCAAGCTCTGCTCAGTAGGCATACTGATAGCTAAAGTAGTTTGTAACTTCCCTTGGGAAAGCCTACGTATTCCCGACATACTTAAGTGTGATAAGAATGAAGGTAAGACGCGGAAATGGCTGATCAGGCAGGTTGGTCACCTGGGCTTTCAGGCTCCCCTGCTGGGCTGTGATGCTGACACCACTGTTCCCTGCCGTGCTCTGTCTGCAGACTCGCTCCATCAGAACCCAGGCTGGGGCCCCATCCTGGTGTCGCTTCAGGTGCCTGAGCTCACCATAGAGGAGTTCCTGCAGGAGTGCCTGAACCTGGGCAGCTACCTGACGCTCTACGTCTATTTGCTTCAGCGTTTGAACAGCGAGCAGACGCTGAGGAACGAGATGAAAGTGCTGCTCCTCCTAAGCAAGTGGCTGGAGCAGGTGTACCCGAGGTAGGTTGCTCTCTGGCTGTGCACGCACACCCTCAGTGCCCTCAGAGGACCGGAGGCTTCCCGGAAGTGCCCAGAACCAGGGGCTGCCCAAGCAAGGACTGGCCGAGGCAAGTCCTGGGGTACAGGGCCATCCTGTAGAAAGATTCTGACTTGCACGGGCTTGTTTGCTGAGCAGGTTTTTACTTCTTAAAGCAGAAATTTGGGAGCACCAGTCTCCAGCTTCCTCTGTGTTAAGGTGAAGGTCCCCATGTCTGCCTACTGGGGATTATGGGAAAAAGCAGAAAGCCCCTTGAGATAGAGGCGTAAAGCTGGTGCTCAGGAAGTGACAGCCTCACGGTCCCCTGGTGACTGATACTCTGGCCCATTCGCCTCAGCCCTGAATGAAAATATGCCGCTGTGGACTTTTGGGTTAAGTGGGAGCGTCCCCAAACCCACCGCTGTGACTTCTTCCTCTTGGCCCCGCCCAGCTCCACAGAGGAAGAGGCCAAGCTGTTCTTGTGGTGGCACCAAGTCCTGCAGTTGTCCCTGGTCCAGGTGGAGCAGAATGACACGGTTCTGACGGGGTCCGTCATTCGGATTCTGCTCCTGCTACAGAGCCGGCAGAGCCTGGTGGCGGAGGAGAGGCTCAGCTCCGGGCTCCTGGGGGCCATTGGCTTGGGCCGCAAGTCGCCTCTGTCTAACAGGTAAGGAAGCACCTGCCACTCCTTCCAGCTCTGGCCGTCCCGGAGGTGATACTTGGGTCGATTCTTAGAAGCTAGGATTCCACCACCCTCCGCCCCCCACCCCCCCAACATCAAGGGAAAGAACAAAGGTGGATTATAGTGACATATTTTTTAAAAACATGTTCATTTATTTCTCTTTAACTACATTTTGTGGAGCCCAGAGAGAGTTTGAGAGAGATAAGGTACTTGCTTTGCATGGGGCAATGACCATGACCCTGCTTTGAATCCCCAGCACTATATGTGGTTCCCAAAGCACTGAGCTACTTGAATACTACTGGGTGGGTTCCCATCCCTCTAATTTAAAAAAAAATTTTTTTTTTTTTTAGGTTGAGATATTTTTAGTGTATCTTGAACAGAGTGTCTCGTGCTAAGCACACTCTGGGTTTCTTTTGGACTCTGAGCCAGTAGAAGGTAGAGTATAGTATAGGCAGCTAAGCACTTTATACGGGTGGGTGGCTCAGGTCCCACCCTGGGAGGGGGAACTTAGCCTACCAGAACTGTGAAAGTCAACAGATGAGTAGAGTAGATAATGAGAAACAGGTCTAGGTTCTCAGTGCTGAAAAATTTCAGGGCATGAAAGAATTTGCCCCAAGCCTCCCATTTTATCGCCTGGTACTTACTTGTGTCATGGTTTTCTTTTCAAGCCCTTGTCATGTTGAAGTGACTGTTCTTATGCAATTTGATTTTGAGGTTGTTCTGGAACATCCCAACCTGTGGTTACACCTTTGGAACCATCAGGATCTTGCCAGTCAACGCCATTATTATTATTATTATTATTATTACTATTTTATTATTATTATTATTATTTGCCTTTCCACAGAGTGGGGTTTGGGCCACACCTGGCTGTGCTCAGGGACTCTTGTGGTGCTGGGGATCTAACCTGCCCCCCCGCCCCTCTGCCCCTCTACACACACACAGAGCCTGCATTCAGCCCTTGGAGCTGTGTCTCTGGCTTTTAACACCTTTTCCCCATTTGGCAGGACTATGATTTGGGTTCACTTAAAGTATGAGAAAGTACATATAACCTAAGACTCATCTAGATAAGGCTTTCAGCATGCAGCTCAGCAGTATATATACACAGGGGGTCCCAGGAGGCCTCAGCGCCGAGCCCAGGGCGTCTTCATCACCCAGATGATGTTCTTGGCCCCATATGCAGTGCCACTCAGTCTTCCCTGCTTGCTTGCATCTCTGGCAGCCACTCCTCAGCTTCCCCTCTTAATACTACCTTGTTCTGGACATTCGTCTAAATGGAATCATAAAACATACGGTCTTTCATTTACTGTAAAGTTCCAAGACTCATCCATATTTTAGCTTACATCAATACTCCATTCCTTTTTATGACCAATTCATATTCCATTGTTGAGCAGGCCTCATTAATCGACTACTCAGACATCTGGGAGTCTTCCTTCTTCTGGCTCCAGTGATTAGGCCTACTGTGAAATTCATCCATCAGTTTTTGCTAGAAAACGTTTTCAGTACTTTGTAGTCTGTGCCCAGGAGCTGAGTTCTAGGTCATGGAGTTAACTTGAACTGTCAAACTGTGTTTTGTAATGCTTGTATGCTTATAACATTTTTTACGTTCTTGCCAGTTGTGCCTGAGATTTATGATTTTTCCACATATTTGCTAGGAGGTGTTAATTTTTTCTTTTTGGTTGGGGGGGGTTCATGTCAGATGGGGGGGTCACGCCTCTTGTCACACCACATAGTGTTGGGGATCAGATGTGGGGACATGCCAGCATGTGCTTCAGGCCTTTGAGCCGTCTCCCTAGCTCCTTTCCAGTACTTTCATCCATGAGTTTGGCCAACGTTTGCATTGGTGGGTAGTGATAGAAGGCTGGGTTATATACTTGGTTGTAGTTAAGGTTTTTTTCTGGAAAGGACTGATGGCAGTGGGCCTGCTGGGGGAGTCTGCTTTCACAAGCTGCTTCACCTCAGATGCTGACTAGCCCTTTGCTTGGTCTCCCTCACTTTGAGGTTCCGCGTGGTTGCCCGAGGCATGGCCGCCTTCCTCTGTGTTCAGGTGCCTGCCGAGGATCAGATCCGCCTAAAGCCTGGCTCTGAATTACATCTGACACCGAAAGCTCAGCAGGTCAGTTGAAAGCTTGACGTGGGTCTGAGGGGTAGACGCGTCCGCCCCGGCCTTCCCTGGTGGGGAGGGAGGTGGAAGCTTAGCCATTCCTGAGAGCCATGATGGTCTCTGGGCTCACAGGACAGCGTGCTTCAGTGTGACCTCCTCGTGGGAACCCGGTTACCTCATGTTCTGGCCTTGCATTCTAAACACGGTTTGAAGCAAGGCCATGGGCAAGCCGGTCTGGGGTAGAGTTTACCCTCTAGCCCAGCAGAGGAAAGGGGGACCCTGTAGGGATAGGTGTGGCCCTGGTGATAAGGGGAAGCATCCAGAATCCTGGGGGCGGGTGAGCTTGTGGTTGCAGACCCATTCGCGCCCACCCTGAGGAGCCTGTGTTTCCCTCGTGTCCATATTCTTAATAGTTCAGTCTTTCTCTCTCCTTGTCTGGTGGTAAAGGGAGATATGTTACTTTTCATCGTCCTGAGGGGAACCAGGGGACATTTTCTTTGTGATTTGCATGTTGTGGTCTGGTGGAAGTTGGAGGAACGGGATCTGAGCTTGGTGCTTGGGAGATGCTAAGCCCTTTGCTTTGCCCTCAGAAGCCCCTCTCAGGCAGCGTGCCCGGGGCTATCCATCCAGATTCCTCGGCAAGGGAGCAGGAGAGGGGCAGAGGACCACGCAGTACCCGGTGCCACTTAGGCTCTTCGAGGGGAGGCTGGGGAACACATCTGGGTGCCCGGATAAGAGAACGCCGGATGCTGAAGGCAAAGCCAAAACTGCTTGACGTGTGGTTCCCCATAGTAGCTAACCCGTTCTGCCTTTGGGAATCTGAGTCCAGCTTAGAGGGCTTCTGGGAGGCCACCAACTTGGCATCTGCAGGCTTAATCCTCCTGTCTCCCGTGTTTTGTAGGCCCTGAGTGCGCTTGAGTCCCTGCCGTTGAGTAAGCAGTACGTGGAATACCAGGAACAGATCTCCCAGGCCGCTCACTTCATCCGGCAGCCTGGCCACTGCCTCCAGGATGGAAAGAGCTTCCTAGCTCTCCTGGTGAACTGTCTCTACCCGGAAGTGCACTACCTGGACAACATCCGGTAGCCCCCAAGACTGTTTACATGCGCCTCCGCGGAGCCGGGCAGCTCCGGTCTCTGCTGTGCGTGGATGCCTGGGTCTGTGCCAGGGGCTGCGAGCTGCTCTGTCCCCTGAGCCCCAGGGTACACAGCCTCCACCGGGTGTAGCGCAGCTCACAGTGAAGCCCGGCTCATGTGCAGGGCGCCCCAGGGAGGCTGGGTTATGCCGCTCCACCTGCAGCCCCATTTCACGTTATACTCAGGACTCCTTGCGCCAGACCTCACTGCTCGGGGAACTCTGTAGAATCCTCACCTGGGACCCCCCCCCCGATGCTCCATCAGAGTCAAAGATGCTTTGGCAGGCTCTGCATCTCTCACGTGGGGGGAACTGCATGGGCTCTCTCAACGGGAGATCAGAATGCAGAGTCCTGGTCAGTCATCTGAGACATGGCCCCCTTGATCCTAATGCCCATGGCCGGGCAGAGGGAAGGACCCGTCCAGTTCCACGAGTGCGCCTCCTGGCAGCATTGTCACCCGCCTCCTGAGGGCACCCTATGGTGTTCTGAGCTCGCTGCACAGCCTTCTGGTTGGAGGGTAGAGGAGAGGAGGCAGGTCGGTTTCCTCTGGGCAGCCTCTCCCATTCCCTGCCCACAGCCAGCGTCCACCATCGAAGGTGACACTAAAGTAACTTAAGACAACTCAACTCTTGGTGAGTCCAGGCTGCAGTATTGCAGGTGCTGCAGCTGCCAGGCAGACAATAGGAGCTTGATTCTGGCCCCTTCTTGCCTCTTCACTCCACAGTGCAGCCTGGAGGGAATTAGCAAACCTGCTGAAATCTGCTCCATGGCACATGGGGCCGGGCAGGGGACTTGGCAGAGATGTGGCCTCTTACCAGGAGCCCCGCACCTTTTGGGACCCACAGTCCCACACTTTAATCCTTCGTCCTGCCACTTGGCCTGCTCTTTCCTTCGGGAATCAACAGTTTGACTCCGGTCGTCGTATTTGTCATTCGGTGGGCTCAGCATGGATTCTGTTTCTCCAGCAGGCCTAGTGCTTTGCTGTCATGGGTTCACTGTCACCCAAGGACATTGACCCGCATACTTCTGAGTGCTTTTGGGAGACGGGGCTCTACCATGCTTCAGAGTGATGCGTCTCTCTTCCTTCCTGAGTGCTGCTTCCAATGTTTGGAAGCCTGTAGAAGCTGCTGCTTTTTTTTTTTTTTAATACTTCCTGAGTTGGATGGGAAGATTCTGCCTCGTTGACGTGCTGAGATGAAGGTCATCTCTGTCCCTCGGCCTTCAGCCCTCCCTGCTATGGTGGCTGTGGCCATCTCCAAGAGGAAGCACTTGGCTCAGAGCCTCCCCAGGGGCGTTTCCTCCTCTCTGAGCAGCCGTCTGCCCCCCTGCAGTGTGGAGGGAACCCTCAGAAGCTGCAGACAGCTTGCTGTGCTGGTTCAGCATAAAAGAATTTCCATCAGGGAGTATTCTGTGTTCTGTGTCCTTCGAGGAGGATGCAACGATCAGTACCCTAGAATGTGAACATTTTGAGTGACAGTATATCCACTTTAAAGAAAAATTATGCGTAATCTGTTCATTTTTGAAGGTTTATAATATTTATAATGTATTTGGTCTGTAAAGATGATTAAAAAAATAAAATCAATCTTTGGTTGTAGCCTCTAAGAACCTGATTTTTAGGGCTCTCTTTCCTTGTGTCTTGCTTGTGAAGTTATTTCAGTGGGTGAAGCTGATGGAGATTTTCATGGCCGATGTCATCTCATGGGTCTGAACTGGATTATTGGAGACGGTCAGTGAAAGTGCTTCCTTTCTACTCCATCTCTCACTGTTTGACCATGGGAAGGTTCCCTCACCAAGTGAACATCAAGTCACAGCATGGAGCCTGTGTGGTCGGGAGGCCAGGAGAGCAGGTCCATGTAGGGGCCTGTCAGCAGGAAGCCAGGCGTGCATGTCCACTCGCCTGCCTGTCAGCAGGAGGCCAGGAGAATGTGTCCATGCGTGGCGAGGAACATGTACCCACGCGTGTGCCCGCCAGCAGGTGCCCACAGCCCTTGCCTCTCCTGAGAGAGCTGGTGGCTTCCCCTCCTGTGGGCCTGCGGGGCATATCCTACGGGGCTGCACTTGGGGGTGCTTGTGGCTCTCCATGAACTTGGGTTGTGCCCTTTCTTTGCCTGTTTGGATTGGATTAAACCCCACTGGCCCGATTAATGGTGGGGGTGGGGTGCAGGATGTTGGGGTACTGTTTGAGGTCTGTTTCCTCAGTTGGGCTCTGGGCTAGGAAGTGCTAGGAAGAATCTGAGCTTCTCATGGTGGCATCATTGTCCCTTCCCAGGCAAATGGCCTGTGCTTATTCACAGGTCCAGGGTTCAGGATCGTTCAGAGGGCTATAGGCCCCCCAGATCAAGCAGGGCTAGATTGGGAGGCAAAGGGGCTGCCGCCACAGACGCTGCTCACACTGGCCAGAGATGGGCAATGGCCAGCAGCTGATGGATGGTGCCTGCTTGGCTGCTCTGCCTGGATCCACACTGGATCCCCCTGCACCCCACCTCCTGCTGGTCAGATTTGGTGGGCACAGCTGTCAGGGGCCTGCGGGTGGGTCTGCTCGGTGCTTTGCCAGACTTGGGGCTCCCAGGAGCCTGACGTGCGACTCCATCCTAGCTCTCATCAGTTTGTTGGTGTAGTCACGCCTGTACCCTCCTTCTGCCCTTCCCCAGCCCTTGTGCTGAGTTTCGATTCATTGAGTCTAGGAGAGTCTCATACAGGAAATGGACCCTCTCCTCCCCCGCCCCCCCCCCCCCATGAATCCAGGGCTCCTTCAACCATGTGTCACCCCCTTTATTGCTGTGTCCATGCTGCTTAGCATTGCCCAGCTGCTGCCTTGAGACATGAAAGCATCTCTGCTGTCCAGGGGAGTTGGAATTATTAAATGAGTTATGCAGCTAGCAGGCAAATACTGGAGAACCGTGACTTTTAAAGTCCTTGGGGACATCACAGACTCATTTAGTCCCACCCTTCATTGGCTTGGGGCTGCAGGCTGATTTTGCTCTCTTTCCTGGACGGGCAGTTCTGGTCCCAGAAGACCAGTTTACTAGCCCTTACATGATGAATGAGAAAGAGGAACAAAACCGAGAAGAACATTTATTCAGGTTCAGGCAAGCGCAGGATCCTTCCCGTGCAAGGGAAGAGGTGGGCAATTAACTGTCTATGTGGGGCTGCTGGGTGAGGGTTCCTCTGCATGTGCTGAGACTGTCCTGTGGAGAAGGGTTGGCTCATATGTCACATAAAAGCAACTGCGGGAGGGACCCTTTGGTGGTCATGTCTCTGTGCAGGCTGTGCTCTGGCCCAGGAAGCTACCAACAGGTGCATCTTCCCTGTGTTCTCATGGCTTTCTTGCTCGGAGGGGCCCACTTTCCTGTCCGTCCCTGCCTGTCCGCCTCTGTCCTTGCCCCAACACCTGGCCCTACCACTGCCCCTGTAGACCTTTTCCAGCCAAATTTCCAGTGTCTTCTCCCTCCTCTTGCCCCAAAACACCTACCACGGGGGATGTGCCTGTGTTATTCGAAGATTACAGGCACCGGGGCACAGACCAAGTTGGCACTCAGTTGCAGGTGGCCAGAGAACATTTGTCCTCTCCCTGGACCTCAGCCTGTTCCTGGCCAGGAACTTGGTCACTAGTGTGGGCCGAGCACTGACAGTCCCGTGGACACACGGTGGTACTGGTCCTCACACGTTCAGCCAGCAGTGTGTTCAGTCTGCAGACATCAGCTGCACATGAGCACTGCCCACCAAGCTCCCCTCCCGGTGTATGTGGGTTCCATGATAGTCACATGTCCTTTCACACTGATGAGGGAGTCATCAGTCACTTTCCTGCTCCTTTCACTCATTCCCTGCTCCCTTCACTGGGCCTTTATTAAGCAAAATGGAGAGTATGGTGCTAGAAGTAAGCAGGTTGGTTTAAAACAAAAGTATCTGGGGGTCTGTAACAATAGCACAGCGGGTAGGGCGTTTGCCTTGCACGCAGCCAACCCAGGTCCAATTCCCAGCATCCCTATGGTCCCCTGAGCATCGCCAGGGGTAATTCCTGAGTGAAAAGCCGGGAGTAACCACTGTGCACCACAGGGTGTGACCCAAAAAAAGAAAAAAAAAAGCATCTGTGTCCGCTTCCAGGTGAGTGGGGCAAAGCCTCTGACTGGCATTTTTGTTCTGGTGTATGAGGGTCTCCTTTGTTATAGGGGTCTCTGTTAGGAACTGGGACCCAAGTTCCTTTCAGGCTGGACCCAGTCCTGGTTCCTCATGGCAAAGATCTGAAAGAAAACAAAACTACTCACCATATTTTAGGATGACACTGACATAGGCAGGTAGACAGGGAAAGGCCCTCGGCAATAAAACTTAGGTCAACAAAGTTTTGGGAAGGAAACAAGACCATCAGGAGACCCTGAGAAAATTTGACCCCTCCCCAGGAAGGAAATTTTGATTACCTTCAGAAGCATCTGTATCTCTTAATCCGATTAACTTTAGTGATTCAGCCCAGAGAATAATCCAGAACTTTCCGAACCACCTACAACAACCTGAGAAGAGCCTATAAAACCCAGTCCAGAAGCCTATTCAAGGCTCTCTCCACCCTTGGAGAAGCCTGCGTTCTCTCTTGAGCACGTTACTCTCTCTCTCATTCTCTCCCCCTCCACATCCTCAAAAGCTCTCCAAATAAAGTCTGTTTTACTTCACTGCTTGTCTACAACTGAAATTCTTTTCTGCGGGGTGAGGCAAGAACCCCAAAAACCTTGGGTAAGGTCTGGGACTGGTTTCTCCTTTCCTGCAAAGAGCAAATCTGCGCTTCAGTCTTGAGTCCATGGCTCCCCGAGAAATCAGGTGGTGGGAATCAATCAACTCCCATGCCTTGCAGACCAAGCGGACTTCAGGTGCAGCCTGATGGCCACTTTGTAGGGCAGGCGGGGCTCAGGCTCGTGCCGAGCAGAGGCTCGTCGTAGACTTGACCAGTTCTAGTCTTCCCAGAAGGTCCCGGGTGGCAGAGGCAAAGTGGGAGGAGGTGACCGTCTTTCTCCTTCCCAACTCACATGAGCCATCCGTGGGGTCCACCAACCTCAGCATCACTAAAAAATATTCTTGAGCATAACTTCTCTTTTTCTTCATAGTATGTTTGATTTTGGGCCACAGCCAGTGGGCTTAGGGGACCTTAGGCGATGCTGGGGATTGAACTCAGTTTGACTTTGTGCAAGCAAGCACCCTACCTGCTGTACTATCTCTCCAATCCCAGTATTTCTGTTTTTTTCATTTAACTTTTTGGATGTGTTATAAGAAGAGAAAACTTGGGGTTGGAGCAATAGCACAGTGGGTAGAGTGTTTGCCTTGCACGCAGTCGACCCAGGTTCAATTCCCAGCATCCCGTATGGTCCCCTGAACACTGCCAGGGGGTAATTCCTGAGTGCAGAGCCAGGAGTAACCCCTGAGCATCGCTGGGTGTGACCCAAAAAAAAGCAAAAAGAAAAAAAAAAACTTTTTTTTTTTAACATACCCCTGACATCTGCCACTGAGCACTGGAAGTGGCCTTTATTTATCTTCCAGCGGCTATAGATCACTCGGTGGCAAGGAATACTAGTGAAGTGTCAACTCCTTTGCCTCCCCCAGTATCTAATGCAGCTTTCCAAACCACTTTATTTTGGTGACTGAATGTGCATGTGTTATTTCCTACTCATTGTTCAGCATTGTACACGCAGTTGTACAGATGATGAGTTTCTACAGAATAAGAAACAGGAAGAAAAGAGCATTAGTTAAGTAAACTTGTACAAAGAAACTAGGTTCCTGTTTAATTTACACGTGGCAGACACATCCCATTTTTGGCAAGATGCCTGCTGGGCCCTTTCATGCAGAAGTCACAGTAAGAAAAATGTAAAACTAGAAAGGTCATCATGGGAAGGCTATTCGGTGACAGTTCTATGAGGAAGCCTCTAGTTTCCAAGAGAAATGAAATTGGCAGGGGTGTTGGGCGGGGTGGAGGTGGGGGTGTGGTAAAGAACTGGCACAGATGGGCCTGAGAAATAACACAGAGTTAAGGCTTTGCATGCGGGCAACCCCACTTCACACCCTGGTACCCTGTATGGTCCCTTGAGCACCGCGCAGAATCAGAATAAAGACCCTAGCACCAGCAGGGGCCAAACTGGCATACATGGCTCCTGGTGACCCTGAAAGCTCAGGAGAACCCCCAAGGGTCTGTAATGAGGCTGAAACCATGGTGGGAGAAGAGGGATACACAAAGCTTCAGTCTACCACTGTCTGTGTGTGGGGCTGGGTGGAAAAGAGGGAAAAAGCAAGCCAAGCGGGGTCCTGGTCTGCTCTGGAAGCCCCCTGCAGTGTTGGAGGTCAGGGACTTTGATCAGCACCCACGAGCCTCGCCTGCCTGGTTTATGGGCCACAGTGAGTGAGGGGCTAACATCAGTTGGAGATCCCTCTGCCGCCTCCAACCCCCACCCCCAGGCCAGGGTTCTAGAGGTGGGGCATGTCTCCCTGCCCCCGCTGGTTTGGGTCACCTGAACTGCAGGTTGGAAAGTGGCTTAGAAGCCCCTTGTCCTCTCTTGCAGAAACATCCCACGGCATGCTGCCGGAACGTGGCTCTTGGGGGCAAGTCAATAAAGGCTTCACCTTGGAGGGTGAAGAGTCAGGATCTGCCTCCGAGACGGCCTTCTACACCCCATTCCCATCCTGCTTGGGCTTCATTTACTGCCTGAAAGTCTGGGGTTGCAGCCCCGCAGCCCTGGTCTGGAAGTCTGGGTGACCTGCTCTATCCCTGGGCCCTCCTCCGTCCTTTCGATGAGTCCCCAACCCCTTTCTCTTCCTCCTCCTCTTTCTCGCACCCCCTGGTCCTCCTCCTGCTCTGGGGCTTTCCTGGGGATCCTCAGCAGTCACCAGCAGCCTGGACTTGGGCCCAGACTCCGGGGGATGAACATCAGGGGTCACCCCCAGGGAGTCCCTCCTCCTGGAAGCCTTCTTGGATTGAGTCAGCTTCTCTCTGCTTCGGCGCCCACAAATCCTCCTATGCCGCCTTCACGGGAGTTGTCGTCTTCCTGCGCTCCTGTCTCCCTGGAGGAGTCCTGAGTGAGGCTCCTCAGTGGGGCTGCCCTGCCCGCTCTGGGTGAGAGCAGAGGTTCCAGACTCACCCATTTCCAGGAGCTGGGGACGGGGAGAGGAGGGGAATTTACTCAACAGCCCTTGGAAGTTTTTCTTTTTCCCACAAAAGCACTTTTTATTTGATAAAGGGTGTTGTGAGGATCTTCCCAGGTTGGGAGAAGCATGCTGAAAGTAGACTATAGACCAAACATGATTGCCACTCAATGCCTCTCTTGCAAAACACAGGACCCAAAAGAAGAGAGAGAGAACAAGGGGGAATGCCCTGCTACAGAGGCAGGGTGGGATGGGGGGGATGGGGGGTAGGAGAGATGCTGGGACCCGTGATGGTGGAAGATGGGCGCTGGTGGAGAGATGGGTACTTGATCATTGTATAACTGAAACCCAAGCACAAAAATGTGTAAGTCTATAACTGTACCTCATGGTGTTTCACGAATAAAAAATTTTTAAAAATTTAAAAACAAAAGCACTTTTTATTTGAGGGGGAGAATCTGCCTTGAGAAGCTTCCAATCCCCACACCAGCCGACAGTGGCGGGGGGGAGGGGCTGTGAGTACACCACTCTTCACTTTGTAGATTCAACTGAAGTTAGAAAAGGGTTTTCCAGTGGCCAGACAAGAGGCTTCAAGTCGACTGACCCTGTTCTCTGACCTCCCCAGCAGCTGGCATGAGGGGAAGGGGATGAAGAGGCTAAGCTACTATCTTGAACAAACAGGAAGTGTTCCCCACGGGCATATTCCCAGGTCCCCCACACTCCCATCGTTCCAGCACCCCCAGAAGCAGGAATCACCCACTTTAGAAAAGACTGTTCTAATACTTTCTTGCCCCTCCAAACCAGCCACCACAGCATGAGAGATGGTGCGTTGACGGGGAGGTGGGTCTCCCAGGAGTGTGCAGGCTCCCCGGAGCAGAGCCAGCACCACCTGTGGCCGGCTTGGAGCTTGGGGGGAGCAGCCCCGTCCCCACAGAAACCCCACCTGACTGGCCACTTCCTCTCCCTGGCCCCGCGCTTGTGCCTCGGTTCCTGGCACAAAACATGCAAGATACCAGTGCCATCGCCCCTACTCATGGCTGTGAAGGCCAAGACCTTCCCAGGCATGGTGCTCTGTGTCCACCATGACTTACCTGGTGAGCCAAGATTCACCCCAAACATCCCCCTCTAGAAGGGGCGAAGACCAGCCCCTCTCTGTAACCACACACACCCACCTGGATGCGTCCCTATCACCACCCTCTTGTCCTGACCCTCCTCACCCACTGCCCCATGTCCTTACTTGGGACGCAGTCTCCACTATCAGGTTATCTCCCTGTGTGGAGCCTCGGATACCACTCCAGTGTCCGGGAAAGTTCTGGAGGGAAGGGAATGTGTCCCCACACGTGTCTAGTGCTCGCTCTGTGGTGTTTCCACGCACATCTCCCCTTCTCCCAAGCGCCAGACTCTGGCTCACACGGTGGGGTCAGTGAGGAAGGCTGCACCCCAGGAGGCCAGCGCAGCGGGACTCAGGCCAGAGGGGTGAGAGGCTGGTGCTCTTGACACTGCTCATCCCGGAAGGAAGACGGTGATGTTTTTGGGTGGGCACTGGTTAGAGCCACGGCTGTTTTAGCCACCTCGCTTTCCAGGCCTGAGAACAGAAGTTTCTAGAAACAATCATTGGAGTTGATGGTTGTTGCCTTTTCCCAGGAGTCCTGAGGCGGTACAGAGCAGTCAAAGAAGAGAAAGGGGCTCAGGGAGTGGACAGCACTCAGGGCGAAGGTCTCTCCCCACTGCTGAGCACCCAGCATTCAGTGTGTTGGGGAACACACATTTGCCAGCTCCAGCCGGGGGTGTGCTATCTGGAACCTTTTCTCGATGAGGCTGGGGGTCCACTGCCCAGGCACTCTCTGCACGCCCTCCACATGCACAGACAGTTCTATGCTTCCCAGAAGCTCATTGTGTCCATGATGCCTCCCTTGCTGAAGGAAGAGCTTATCAGTCTCTCGCAGCAGCGGGGCCTGGCCACACAGCCAGTGGGTCACAGTCCGGCTTGCTTTACTGTGGTGGTCTGGGTACGAAAGGAGGAGAGACATATTCTGGAAGTTTCCTGCTGGAAACTCACATGCACACACAGACACAGACACACACACACAGACTCTCTCTCTCTCTCTCTCTCTCTCTCTCTCTCTCACACACACACACACACACACACACACACACACACACACACACACACACACACACACACACCCCACACAGACGCTTTCAAAGGGCTGAGCCCGGTGACATAAACATCACAGGGGTTCTGGTCAGAGGTCCATGGAGGAGACCCCGAGCCTCCAAGACTTAAGCCCTGGAGGTTTTCCCTGTGGGCAGCTGCCTCAGTCCATCCCCTGGCCTTGGCCTGGGTTCCTCCTGGGCCACATGCGCTGCCGGTTTCCAGGGGCCCCTTATGGTGAACACGCAGCTGCCAAGGGCCTCTGGGTGCTCATGTGGCTCAAATTCTCGTAGCTGGACTCCTGTGCCTGGGGCCTGTGGGCAGGAGAAACATCAAATGAACATCCAGTAGAGAGGGATCTCTGTGGCCCGAAGCACAGCCTGACAATGAATCGGAAGGAGAGACAGACAGACAGACAGATGAGGGGGGTGGGGGGCAGTGCCAGGTGGGTTGGGCGGGTGCCTGGCTCCCACAGGGCCTCCAGATGCAAGGAAGGGACAGCAGGACCCTGGCTTGGGGTGGGGGAAAGGGTGTCCCTTGGGTGATAGAACTCCACAGAGATATGTCCCTGGGCCAGAGAGACAACTTGAAGCACTGGAGCACTTATGGGTGGGTGCAAGAACCCGGGTTTCAACCCTAGCACCACGTGAGGGGCCATTTTCCTCTGTTGTCTGCTCCCTTGATTTGATTCCCGGGAGCTGGGCTTCCTCTTAGGGGGGTCCTAGTTGTCTCCAGCAGGCAGGCCCCTCCTGCTGTCAGGTGCTGAAGGTTTTGCAGGAGTCCATCCATTGGGGTGCAGGTGCTGAGCAGCACTGTGAGGTATAGCTCCTGTTGGGGAGCACTGTGGGGAGCATCCCAAATATAAAAATTGCCCCTGACTTCCAAACCCTGAACCCCAGGCCTCCTTGAGCACCGACCACTTTCCCTCTGGGGCCTCTGAACCTCTATGTGCTAGTCTCCACCCGCCACTCTGCATCTCCATCTCAGGGCTCGGGGTAAACCCTAGGTCCCGGCCTCCTGGTTCTCTCCGGCCTTCAAGCTGCCCACCCACGCACTGGCCACCTGCCCCGTCACCCCTGCCAGCCTCAACCGGGTACAGCCGCCCCTAGGTGTCTCTGGGACCGCCCCCTGGCGGCTTCTGCTCACCCCACTGGAAGACATCCAGGAATACCAAGGGCACCCGAGCCGCTACCACCACGGCCCTCCTGGCTCCAGGCCCAGTCCTGCGGAGTGCCCGGGGGGCTTGTTACCTCCTTCACTGGCCTCATCCAGAATTGAAGGGCAGCTTGCTTGCGTGCTGAACCCTCCCCCCACTAGAGCGAGGGCTGTGAGGCCAGGCTTCCCCAGGTCCCCCCACAGTGCCAGCACACTGCAAGGATTCCATCCGCACTTGGTCACTGGCAGCTTTGGGATTGAAGTGCCTTGGGGGGTTGCCCGTGGGCAAAGATAGCGGTGCACAGGCTGCTAAGAATGTGGGGGGGAGGGGCTCCCTAGCAGGCAGCTGGAGGCTGCCCCTGGCTCAGTGGTCTTTGCTGTCCTCAGGCACAGGACCCCACTTAGGGGATGCTGAGCTTACCTGGAAGCTCTGGAAGAGAGTGACCCCAGGACACCCCACCCACTTCCCCAGACAGACCCCTGCCTTCTCTCCACCCCCCCAACCTCTCTTTCCTTTTTGTTTTGGTTGGGGACCACCTCCGGTGGTGATCAGCATCACGCCTGCAGTGCACGGGGATCCATGCCGTGCTGGGGAGCAACCCCAGGGCTCCTGCAGGCAAGGCTTGTGCTCCAGCCCTTTGGGCAACCCTGGCCCCCAGGGGGGCTCTGCTCTGCATCTTGTGAGACACAAGTCTTCCTTTGGACAGACAGTGAGAGGCCAGGGCAGGGTGCTCCGCTCAGCACCTGCACCCCAATGGATGGACCCCTGCAAAACCTTCAGCACCTGACAGCAGGAGGGGCCTGCCTGCTGGAGACAACTAGGACCCCCCTAAGAGGAAGCCCAGATCCCGGGAATCAAATCAAGGGAGCAGACAACAGAGGAAAATGGCCCCTCAGCACCATGGACCCTGGGCTTCTGGACCTGGGAGCCTTCCTGGCTGAGACTCAGTGGAAGGGGGAACATGAGGGGAGGGTGGGGAGAGGGGCAGGGGCGGGGCTCAGTGCGCTCAGAGTGTCTTCAGGAAGCTCCAGTGAGGGCGGAGACCCGAAACCTGGGGCCCCACCCCCACCCTCAGCCAAGCTGATCCCCTTCTACTGACCCCCAGGAGCTTGAGTGCCCTGGTTAGTGGGGGTTAGGGCAGGGTGGGGCAGGGTGGTCCACTTACCTTGGGATGGGGTCCTGGGGGGTTTGGTGTTCTGTGGGCGAGAGAGAGGGGGGCCATGAATCTAACAGGACCCCACAGGTTGCAGGCCACACCCCGACCCTGCTGTAGGAAGACTTGGGAGTGGTTCGATTTCCACAGCAACCCCATCCCCAGAGGCGGGCCCACGGATGTGAGGATGTGAAAGGGCCTGTGGGGGAGGGGGGTGGGAGGGAGTCCTGTTCTCCCTGAAGACCGAATGCTGTCCCTCAATGCGAGGACCAGCACGCTTAGCCAGCACCTCTCAGAGGGCACCTGCAACTTCTTAGTTCATCCCACGCACTTAAGGGCTGGGCCCCGGGTCTGGAGGCAGAAGGGGCTTCTATTTTGCAGAAGAGGGTATACACTTCCTGCGCAGCTCAGTCAGGGCTGTGTGTGTGTTGCAAGCACCTCCAATCACCCCATTTTCTCACCTTATCTTAGGACAGCCTTGCTCCCCTAGGAAATGCGTGCCCAGGTCTGGATTAGCTCCCCTTGGTCTCTAGACCACCTTTCCTTGGCCCATTTCCTAGACCCCCAGAGACAGCTGGCACTCCTGCAACCCTTGGGCTCTAGGGCAATGCCACTCATCACCCGCTCACCCTCACCGCAGGTGGCACAATCTGTTCACCCCTCACTGCACCTGGTACCATCCGCTCACCCCTCACTGCCTGTCACACTATTGTCACCTCCCATTCAAAGACAAAACCATCCTGTGTTCCTAGCACCCCACAGCACAGTGGAGCCCCTAGATGTCCCAATATTTGGGTGCTGTTTGGTAAATAAAACCTGCCGCACCGGAGGCCCTGTGAGCGGAATCACAGCCTGTCCTGGGGAACCTGCTGTCTGGATCCTACCTCTGCACCCACCCTGCTCTCCCCAGAAACTCCCTCTCTGCTCTGCTCCCACGGCACCCACCTGGTCGGCTCCTGATGGCGCGGGCAGCCAGGAGGCCCAACAGCAGCAGCACCTTGAGGCCCAGCGCGCCCAGTAGCAGCGCGGTCAGCGGGACCCCCGAGGCGCCGCGGAAGCGGAACAGGTAGACGCTGGCCTCGGCGCGGCCCAGGCTGTTGGAGGCCGTGCACGTGTAGCGGCCATCCTCGGCCAGCGCGGGCAGCTCGGCGGTGACCAGGTGGCCGTGCCCGGGAGCTGACGCCTGCAGGGCGGTGGCCGAGCTGTTGCCGAGCGCCGGGCCCGACCAGACCAGCGCGGGCGGCGGCTCCCCCTCGGCAGTGCAGAGCGCACGGAAGGCGTGCTCCGGGCCGGGCAGCACAGACACGTTGACGATCCGCGGGGCGGCTGCGGCGGGCACAAAGGCGACAGCGGTTAGGGTGCACGGGCGAGGGGGACCCTCCTCCAGGAGTGCAAGGGCTGGGGGGGGGGCGGTCGGGGGTGCGGACGCCGGACTCTGGGATCCCAATCCAGCTATGCCTCAGGCAAGCTTTTCCGCTCTGTGCCTCAGTTTCTCCATGTGTAAAACGGGGATGCTCACCTTATGGGGAAGTTGTGACCATGTGTGTGTGTTTGGTGGGGGGGGGAGGGGGAGGAGTGGGGACAGCTGGTCATAGCAAGAACTCACTAAATTGTGGTTATTTTTAGGGTTTTTTTTTTGGGGGGGTCACAGCCAGCTATAGGGTTTACTCCTGACTCTGTGCTCAGAGGACCATTTGCGGTGCCAGGGATTGAACCAGGTTTAGCAGCGTGCAAGGCGGGTACGCTCCCGGCTGTACTATCTCCCCTGCCCCAGTGAAGGTTGTTACTGCTGTAACTCAGGGTTCAGGGCTGCCTACTGGTGTGATTTCCGTGGCAACCCTACTCTCAGATACCCTCACCCAGGTCACCAGAGTTTAGGCCCATTCATTGAATCCGGGGGAGTGTGGCAGGGCAGGGAGGCACAGACACTGGACACCTGACCGGTTGCCACAAGAGGTGGGTCCGGGAAGCGCTCAGCAGCGCCCCCTGGAGATGGGCGCCGGGATCCTCCGCCGCAGGCGCCAAGAAAAGAGATGCTCTGACAGTTTATTCCCAGGTGTTCCCAGCTTGATAACCGTCCACTCCCATATCTTAGACTAACAGTGCTTGTGCACTTGATGGGCTTCCTGTACATGCCCAGAGCATACACCCCATTGAGGGGAATATATATTTGTTTTTTCGGTCACTCCCAGAAGTGCTCAGGGATTACTCCTAGCTCTGCACTCAGGGATTACTCCTGGCAGGCTCAGGAGAACATATGGGGTGACTTCTGGGGAGAAATCGAATCCTGGTCGGCCGTGTGCAAGGCAAGCACCTCACCCGCTGTCTCTCCGGTCCCTAATCTGCCATATTTAGGATGACTCACTCTTAAAGAGCTCTTGGGGCCATTCACATTTTTTTTGCTGGGGGGGGGGGCTTCATTACAATGTCCATTTCACACTTCCACCCAGTGCTTCCTCAGAAAGGAAGTCTTTGGTGTTTCTTTGGGTGGGGGGCCCAGGGAGAAACTCAGCCCTTTGAGATTCTCTCTCTGGCACCCAGGATTCAGCATTTGGGACTAGTTCCCAGGGGAACCTTCAGGCTTGAGACCCGTTTGCCTTGGAAGGCCACAGAAGGGAGGCTGGAGGAGCCGCATGACCACGCATCCCACGAGTCTGCAGCTCCTTGGCCCACAGTTCTGCATCCCTTAACCCTTAGTCTGCAGCCCTAAACAGCACAGCCCCTTAGCCCTTAGCCCCTTAGCCCTTAGCCCCACATCCCCTTAGGTCCGCATCCCCTTCATCCTTAGCCCTTAGCCCAGCATCCCCCTAGCCCTTAGCCCCTTAGCTCTTAGCCCCTTAGCCCTTAGCCCCTTCCCGCTTAGCCCTTAGCCAACAGCCCCTTAGCCCTTAGCACTTACCCCCTTAGCCCTTAACTCCTTAGCCCTTATCCCCGCACACTCGCGCCGCGCTCACCGGTCACGCGGAGCCGCACGCCGTGGCGACTCTCGTAGCGGTCGTGGATGTCGCCCGCGAACTCGACGCGGCAGAAGTAGCGGCCGTCGTCGGCCAGGCCGAGGCGCTCAACGCGCAGCGAGAGGTCGTTGCGGCGCGGGTTGCCCAGCAGGTGGAAGCGGCCGTGCAGGCTGAGCGCCGTGCTGCAGAGCTCGCTGCCCCGCGCCGCCGCGCACCGGAACACCTGCGGGCCGGCGTAGGGCTCGCCCGCGCGCCAGATGGCAGTGAGCGGCCCATCGTAGTGGCGGTGCGGGTGCGTGAAGGTGCAGGGCAGCACGGCCGCCTCGCCCGCCGCCGCGCTCACCTCGGCCGGCACCTGCATGGACCAGCGCTGCGCCGGCGCACCTGCGGGGCGGAGGGCGCGTATCAGACCCCAGGGGTGGGGGGCGTAGGGCGGGGCACATCTCCCCTCACCCCCCGAGGTCCCAGCTCAGCCCCTGGAGATCTGGGAACCCCAGGACTTCAATCTGGAGACCCATCCCCTAACTCCAGACGCATCCCTGGGGAAATGGACTTCCAGGACATCCCCTCCCCGGATTCCACCCCTCTTTGCCTGGCGCTGTGTGCCTCCTTTTTTTTTTCCCTTCGCTTGGGTCACACCCAGCAATGCACAGGAATTTTTCCTGGCTCGGCACTCAGGAATTACTCCTGGCGGTGCTCAGGGGATCATATGGGATGCTGGGAATTGAACCTGGGTGGGCCGCGTGCAAGGCAAACGCCCTACCCGCTGTGCCATCGCTCCACCGCCGCTGTGTGCCTCTGTTGGGTGACCCCACTTCATCTGTAGGCCCAGGGGTCTCTTTTACCCACCAAACCCTGCAGGAAAAAAAAAGTCCTGCGACCCCATGATCACAGCTGTGGTTTCAGCGCCCTGCCCCTCTCCCCACCAATTACTACAATAATAATAATAATAATAATAATAATAATATAACAACTTACTGTAAGCCTCAGTGTTGAACAGGTCCCCTGTGGTATCTCTCTTTGTTCTCACAAATGATCCTAGGGGTAAGCATAATGATTCTAGGTTACATGTGATGTGAATCAACTTAGCGCCAGAGAAGTTGAGTCATTGCCCCAGGTCACACAGCTAGGAATAGGCCAACTCAGCTTTCAAACCCAGGGCTGCGGAGTTCACAGAGAAGGCTGTAAAACATGCCTGTGTGCACAGAGAGAACAAGTCTTGGGATGAGAAGAGATGCTTTGAAGCTGTGTATTGAGTTGGCTGTGAGATTCTTCTTGACTCCAGGTCAAAGTGGGGTTCCCCAGAGACCGGGACCCACACAGAGTTGGACACCAAGGCTGGCAGCCACTAAGCTGCAATTTGGTTCATGCTGGTGTCTCTGGGCGCTGTTCTGCCATAGTGTGAGCCTTGGGAGTGTTGCTGAGCCACAGCCTGGATGCGCAGCTCTGCCTGCACCTGGGAGGCCGAGCTCTGGTCTGGATACCGGACCATGGAGGCCGAGCCCTAGCCTGGACGCAGGGCTCTGCCTGTAGCCAGGAGGACATAAGCGGCCCTACTGTGTGTTTGTGCACAATGTGCTGCTTTGGGGAGGGGTATTAGTCCTGGTCCTTGCATGTTGAAGCTTGGGTGACACCTTCTGCATGTGAGAGGACAGGACCTAACCCCACCTGACAGTGTCCCCAAGGGGAATCCTTAGATAATGTTGCAGCCCTTGTATTTCCAAGGACTAAGCAGATAACATGTTCTTTCACAGGTGCCAGGCCACAGGAACCACAGGGAAAATGGAGCAAAGGACAAATAATAAAGGGAAGCCAGTGTCACAGGGCAAGAAGTGGAAGAAATCCAGCTGGGCTGACTCCCATGGTCTCTGCTCTTGGGGTGCTGACATCCAGGGAGTACTTCCTATGTAGAGAAATCTCCAGGTCAGGACTTCCTTCCCTCCTGCACAGAACCAACTAGAACATTAGAATCAACCACGAGGGCCACCCTTGCTCTTGAAACCTGCTGCCTCCTCCCCATGATGGTCCTTTTGGAAGCCTACTGAGGCCACAGGGATCCATTAAGTCTTTTCCTCTCTGGGGGCCATCCCAGTTACTCTCCATCCTTTCTCCCCATCCCCCTGGGGCAGAGGGACCCAGAATGTATGGACCCATAGATCAGGTGTGTGGGTGGTGGTATTGCCTATAAAAGCTAATTTAAAAACACTAGTAAAATCATAGCTATCTTCCCCAAATCTGCTTTTTTTGAGAGAGAGAGAGAGAGAGACCAACCTGCTTTTAAGTTAAATGTCTGTTCTTCTGGACAAATGAAATGAATACTTTTGAACCCAAATGGAGAATTCAACATTCATTCTTGGTTCAATCTGATTTGCTCAGTTGTTAACACTCAAGAGGGTCTAGTTCAGAACTTGAAAAATGCTTTCTGAAACTTTTGTGTTTGGTCAGTCCTGGTTGCAGAGGGTACCTCTTACTTCTTGATGTTCAGATGCTGCCTCAGTTTTCCTGCACTTCCCACAACATCGAACTTAATCCTTCCCAGAACTCCTGCATCATACAGGCTACACAGGGCCAACATGGATTCCCTGGGGAAGGTTTTCTATTTTGCGCTCATCAGCGAGAAAACAGTCATTGGGCATGTTCTCACTCTGAGCTGGGCACCAGGATATAAGCTGGGGTGACACAGGCCAAAGACTAACTTAGCAGCTACCTGGAGCTCAGAGTGTGCAGGAATTACAGTCCAGCCTGCCAAGGGGCTCCAAGGAGGGACGCAAACAATGTCCTCTCTGTCTGAACGTGGCTCCTGGCACAGAGCACTCACACCTTCCTCCTACACATCACCAGGTCTTCACCGTCGAACCACCTTCCGGGTCCCCATGCCCAGGTGTGGTGCCCCAGGACTGGCAGAGGTATTTCCTCTGTGTGATAATGACCTGTTAACTGTGTCTTAGCCCAGGTATTCAGAAGCTGTGGGAAGGCAGAGACCACATAGGGACATTCTCATAGAGGTTGCAAGGCACAGTGGGATAAAGTGGGGAACAGTACACAGTGCTTTGGGTGTCCCCTTGGGAGACAGTCTCATTTCACTTCAGTTTTCAGCTCTCCTGACAGGTGCTATCATTAGCCCCTTCTAGGGGAGGGGGGAACAGGGTCCCAGAGAGCCCAGGGGACTTGAAAATATCATCTGATCCACCAGAAGCAGCATCCTAGCTTCCTTGAACTTCAGGTCTTCACTTTGACCAGAATACCGAGTTGGTCACAGATGCCACCCTTGTTTAGAAACAGCCTGAAGTGGGGTTCAGACAGCAGGACAGGCCCCTTCCCTGTGTGTGTATGTGGGCGTCTAGAATCAGAGCAGGCACACAGAGGGATCTTGGCTCCCATCACAGGGAGAGGGATATTTCCTGTTGGAATGGTGTTCCCAAAGGCAGGCTTCTGGCTCCTGCTCACACAGAGACCTTTGGATGAGTCCCCCAGGAGGCCTTGAAGGTGAAGGTGGGGAGGCCCAGCAGGAATAGCCCAGGGAGCAGCTACATTTGCTTTGGCAGGTGTCCAAGCTCCTTGGAAGCTCCCTGGATTCCGGTGACATTTACCAAGGCCCCGGGCAGCCCTTCCATGTCTCTCAGCACCATCAGGGAGGTACCGGCTTCTGAGCTGGAACCCGGGCCCTGAAACTGGTCTCAGGAGGCCCATTATTTCTCCAAGGCCCCGGACCCTCCCCTCACGACTGGACTGGTGAGGGACCCTTGGAGGGGGTAAACACTACAGCTTCAAGATGGAGGGATTGGTGCCATTCTTCCTTCCTCTGCCCCCACTTCTTCCTTTTATCTTTTTTGAGGTGCCAGGGAGCAAAACCCAAGACCTGCATTGGACTTGGAGCCTCACCTCAGCCTCACCTCTGGGTGAGTCTTTCATAAATTCCTTCTTTCGTGGTGAAGCATCTGCTCTGTGCCTGGTGTTCTAGGTTATTCCGTTCCTGGGTGATCTCTAGGCAAGTCATTCTGTGTCCCTTGACATTGTCAAACTGGGTCACAGGCCTTTTTGCTGACAAATGGAGACTGTGCCCTCCTCACAGGGCTGAGTGCCAAAGAAAGTCATGTCTCTAGACTTCTTCTCTCTCCAGCCCCGTGAGGGAACAGGTCACTGGTGTGGTGGGGAGAGTGAACCACAGAGCCTCAGGGCTCTGCAGCCGACTGGGGGTGACAAGTCCTTGATACTCTGACATTAAACATTTGCAGGCTGATTTGGCCTCTTAGACCATGTGGAAGACACAGCCAGCCCTTTGCCTGAACTCAGGGAAGCTGTTGGTTCTCTATCCTCTCATTTGGGATTTATCAAGGGTCTAAACTGTGCCAAATGAGCAATGGACTGGGGTGCGGTTCCAATGGCTGAGTGGCCTTCCACAGGGTCCTTACAGTCAGGCTTTTGTTCAGTGACTGTTTATTTTTCATTTCTGCACAATACTAACCTGTTTGTTCAATTAACTTGCCAGCCTAGGAACACTGGAGGCCCTCACAGAAGGTGTGAGGGATTCTCAAAGCTGATTGCTGAAGCTGGGTGACCTAACGGAAGCTGGGCCTCAGGAAAGGTTCTGTCATCCTGTTTCTGACAGGATTCTAGTCTCTCATCTATGTCACAGCCATACAGCGTGGAGCTGGATGACATTATCGAGGACCCTCTGTGCCCAACCCAACATCTAGACAATGTTTTCCATTCGTTAGGCCCATTGAAAGCAGTCAGAAATGGCAAGTGACCTTCGGGGACGGAGGAAATGCAAAATAATGGAAGATGACTCAGGACAGAGGGATCACAGCAGAGCTACAAGGGGGTGTCTTGAGAGGATCCCCAAGGCCTCAGGACAAGCAGCAGGTGCCCAATGATCACCAAGGACATGGGTCACCCTGAACAGGCTTAGGGCCATGAGAGGTGTGAATGCAGAGGAGGCCCAGGATCTGTCTGTGGCTCTTGCCCTGGATACACTGACCCTCATTTTGTAAGCGATCCTCACTGAGGTAAATCCAATAGCCTCTGAGAGGACTGTCTCGAGCTCTTGACGGAGAAGCTTCTAACACTTTTGGTCTATGCCAAAAAACAAAAAACCTGTATTTGGATAAAAGTAAGGATAAGGGAGGTCATGTGGAATTTTAGAAATTTGTCTCCCTGAAAGAAGTCAGAAGTTTTGGGGTCCAGTTGCTCCTCGGTGTCCAGCTAGGACTGCCACCTGTGCAGAGTGTCCATGCTCTCCTCTGCATCGTCCCTCCCATATCCCAAAGATATGTCCAGGAGGGTGACTCGGCTGTCCCCTTCTCAGAGAGCAGATGTGGCTCCTCTCACCGCCCATCTGCGCAGCTCCTCTCCCTTGGGGGCCTGTAAAGGCCCTGGCCTTTCAGAAGAGCACGGGTAACTACCCAGACTGCACCAGTTCAGACTCTGCTAAGGTGCCCAGAGGGAGGACTGAAGCCTCAGGCAGTGACTTTCTGGTGCCATGATGGGGACTGAAGTCCCCATAGGGCAGGTTGATAGCTTAGAGCTCTGATGTTGTCCCCAGTTGCCTGGGGTCTCAGCTGCTGAGTCTTGGGCTGGGGACTGAGACACAATGCAAGCAGCAAATTGCAATTGCCTGGGGAAAGACTGCAAATGCAGATCCCTGGGCCCGTGCCTGGTGATCTGGGGCACTCAGAGGAGCTGCAGTTGGCAGGTGAGCCTGGCCTGGGTCTTGGGGTGGGAGGAAGGGGGCTGGCTGGGTGGGCCGATGCATCCTGACAGGTGGCATGGCAGCTGCTTGGGCCTCAGGGGCATGCAGCCTGCCGCCGTGTACCTGCTGTGCATTTGGGGTGCCCTCTATCATGCGCTGCTGCACATGTGAACTTGCCCCGCTCTCCAAACCTTCATGCTCTCTCTCCCTTCTCCTTTAGGCTGTGTCCTCCAGGCAAAGCCCTTGGGTGGCAAAGCCCCACATCTCTAGGGACTGGGTTGTACACTCATCACCCCCTGGAGAAGCGCACTACCCCTGGATCCTCACAGCAGTGGGGGGATCAGACAGTGGGGACACAGAGGCCTAGGGAGTCCAGAGACTGGCAGCCTCTGATGACTTAGATTCCTGGCATTGGCAGTCTGGGCCCCCCAGTCACAGCCCTGCCCGGGCACACCCGCCCAGGCCCATGGGAGGAGGGGAGAATCTGAGCGGGGAGACTCACCCATCAGGAGGAAACACACCAGGCAGGCCAGCAGCTGGACACAGCCTTCGGTCATGTTGGGGCTGTCTGCACACCCCAGCGGTGCCCCCCGCAGACACCACTGAGGCTCCTCCAGGGCATGGGGGTGGGGGACGGAGCAGGTGTTGGGCCCAGGTCTGCACCCCTGCCTGACTCTGCAGGCACAGGAGGAACTGGGGAGAAACTGTTGAGGCCCCTGATTTGATGAGACAAGACCCGTGGGATTTAGTCATGTGCAAAATCAAGGGGGAAGCATCAGGAGGATTTTCCAGAACAGCAAAGAGGGAAGTAGATGGAGGAAATGCAGGAACTTTCCTGGGGCCACAGGGTCCTTTGGAAAAGCTGCTCTTATCTGCCCTCTGGTCTCTGCCCACTCCATCCCTCCCTCCCTCCCTCCCTCCCTCTCTCCTTCCCTTCCCTCCCTACCTCCCTCCTTCTCTTCCCTCCCTCCCTCCCTCCCTCCCTCCCTCCCTTCCTTCCTTCCTCCTTCCCTCCCTCCCTCCCTCCCTCCCTCCCTTCCTTCCTTCCTTCCTTCCTTCCTTCCTTCCTTCCTTCCTTCCTTCATTCCCTCCCTCCCTCCCTCCCTCCCTCCCCTCCCTACCTCCCTCCTTCTCTTCCCTCCCTCCCTCCCTCCCTCCCTCCCTTCCTTCCTTCCTTCCTTCCTTCCCTCCTTCCCTCCAACCCACCCTCCCTCCCTCCCTTCCTTCCTTCCTTCCTTCCTTCCTTCCTTCCTTCCTTCCTTCCTTCCTTCCCTCCAACCCACCCTCCCTCCCTCCCTCCCTCCCTCCCTCCTTCCTTCCCTCCTTCCTTCCTTCCCTCCCTCCCTCCTTTCCTTCCCTCCCTTCCTTCCTTCCCTCCCTCCCTACTTCTTCCTTCCTTCCTTCCTTCCTTCCTTCCTTCCTTCCTTCCTTCCTTCCTTCCTTCCTTCCCTTTTTTTCATTCATTGCTATTGTCTTTTCCCTCCTCATTTGGTTGGTTTTCCTTCCTCCAGGCCTTCTTTCTTCCCCAGCTGCCCTGGAAGAGATTTGGTAGGATGGGATGGAGAGAGGGGAGGAGCCTGCCAACACCATGACCCATTGGTCACACCTGGGGACATTTTACACATTTCTTGGGGAAAGATGTGTCACTCTCTTGACCCACCCCCCTCCAGAGAGGTCCTAGCATGGAGCGCGGAACTCCAAGATGGGAGGTGCTGGGGTGTTGCTGCTGATAATGCCTGCAGTGAGAGCTAAGACCCCTCAGATATGGCCCCACACCTTACCCCTGCTCTTGGGAATGACTGGATGTGTAGGCAGATGTCCAGCTCCTGGGGGAAGAGGGAAGGACTCTTGGAAGCTTCCTTGGTGGCTTCTGTGGGGTCTCAGGGACAGTGAGACTCGGGAGGAGATCCTATTCCAGCTTCCATCTGCCAGGGGGTATCTGGGCTGGATTTCGCTGCTCAGGGTGTCCCTCCTGGAGTGCAAAGGTGACCTGAGCAATGATGCTCTTCCCAGGGAGGGGGAGCAATGCCAGGATCCTGCTGGTCTCTCCTCACCCCTGCACCTGGCTCAGCCCCACCCAAGCAGGAGCCCGCCATCCTGGCTCTCTTGGGAGGTTTGGCCATGTCTGTGGGGAGAAAGGTGGCAGAGACCTCAGAAACCATCTGTGACGGACCAGCAGCTAGCTTCATCGGAGGGCGCTGGTTGCTCACACTGCAGTTGTCCCCTACACTGAAGTTCCTGTCAGGAGATCTGGTGATTCCAGACTTTCACACAGTTTCATAGGACTCCCAAGTGGTACTCAGGGGCCCCTGTGACTTAAGGATGAGGTGATGCTGGGACCCTGTGTGCTGATCATGGCCCAGGCTGCCCTTGCCATGCTCCTGGGCCTCTAGGACTTCACCTAGCTGTGGTCTGGAACCAGGTGGTGCCAGGCATCAAAACTGGGATGGGCACCAGGACATATTCCTTAGCCCCTATGGTGTCTCTCTGGACCCTACAGTACCTTTTATTTATTTTTTTAAAAACACATTGAGAGGCTGGAGAGACAGCACAATGGGTCGGGCCCTTTCTTTGCATTGGCTGACCTGGGTACCATCCCTGGGAACCCATACAGGTTCCCCTGACTCCTGAATGCAGAGCCAAGAGTAACCCCTGAGCACCACTGGGTATGGGCTAAAAGCCAAAAACAAACCAACAAACAAAAATACCACGTTGACTCTGGTGCTGCAAGTGGTGTTAATGAAACCACATCCAAGTGTGAGTCACTAGTGGTATGTGCCAGGGTTGATGTTTTGAAGATGTAGCACATGTCACTTTGCCATTATTCCCTAGAATACGTGTGGAGGCTCCAAGTGAAGTTGCCCAGCGCAATCCAGGTTATGCGTCCTTACTGCTAGCACTTGTGTTTTGTGTTTTCATCAGCTCATTCCCCAGAATGGGTTTTCTCAGTCATGGGAGATGTACAATTTTTTTATTTTAATAACGATGCGTAGATGATGATACTAAGAGAAAACTAGTGGTTTCAGCTCTTAGAGTGGCAGTGGGAGGCCCTCTGTCCTGAAATTACTCATAAAAGCCAGGAGATTTTCACAAGCATATTCTAAAATTTATATGGATGGGGCCAGATAGAACAGCAGGTAAAAGCACTTGCCTTGCATGAAGCTCACCCGGAATTGATTCTTGGCACCATACAAGATGCCCCCGAGCACTTCCAAGAGTGATACCTGAGTGAAGGAGTTATCTGAGCCAGGAGTAAGCCCTGAGCACTGCTGGGTATGACCCAAAACATCAACAAATACTTTAGAAAAATAACCCCAACGATAAAATTTTTATGGAAGGGCGGGAGCTATAGTACTTGGTAGGGCATTTGCCTTGCATGTGGCTGACCTAGATTTGATTCCCAGCATCCTATATGGTCCCCCGAGCACTGCCAGTAGTAATTACAGAGTGCATAACCAGGAGTAACCCCTGAGCATCGCCAATGTGACCCAATAAGCCAAAAAAAAATTTTATATGGAAAACAAAGGACACAGACTGGCCTTTTTAAGTCCTTAAAGAAAAACTAAACAAGGAATGATATTATTATCTTATTTAAGATACTACTACTGCCAAGAGTTGCAGAAACCAAGTAAGGCAGCATTAGTGAAAAGATGCCACCAAGATCAGTAAAATACAGACTTTAAAAACCTCCCCACAAATCCAGCTAACATCATACAAAGGTGCAAAAGCGATTCAACGAGAGGTTAGTTATTTCAACAAATGGTATGGGAACAATTTCAGATCCACATACATAAACACATACAATAAAAACAACCTGGACTCCTGGACTCATCATTCACACTTTCTACAGACATTAGGAAAAATGTATTATAGACCTAAATGTGAAATAAAAAGCATTAAAACTTCCAGGAAACCTATTATAGACCTAAATATAAAATAAGAAGTGTTAAACTTCTAGAAAATGTGTAAGAAAAAAATTCTCTGTAAGCTTGAGTTAGGCAGAGTGGCGAGGTATGACATCAAAAGGAAAATCCACTCGAACAAGGATAAATCCAGAAAGGACAAATAACTCTGGGAGGCTAGTAATAAGAACAAGGTGGCCAGTGGTCAGAGATAAAGTACAAGGGTTTGGACCCTTGCCTGGCATGTAGTCAACCTAGTTCAATCCTCGACACCATACTTATAGTCTCCAGAGCACTGCCACGTGTGATCCTGAGCACAAAGCTGGGAGTAGATTCTGTGCATCACTGGGTGTGACCAGCCTTCCCTCACCCCGCTATACCACACACACACACACATACACAACACAAACACACACAAGTCCACTTCTAGCTTCTTGGTCAAGTGAGATTAAAAATAAGGGTTTGCAAGTGAGACAACATTTACAGCACTTGAGTCCCTGTCACCAGAACCAGACACCACAGCATGCTTCCCCCATGAAAGAAACTGTGTACTCACAGTGCTCCTTTGTGGTACTGAGGCTCCCCCCTTGGTTCCACACACGGCACGGGGGAGTGACCTGCACTTTACTCAGGGAAAGGCTTATTCTCCTGTGCTCCGAGAATCCTGGTGTAGGATTCCGCTCATGGACTGCTCTAGCGCAGAATGTGTGTCGTATTTTTTGCATGAGATGAGCTAGTGCAGTCTGTAATTCATGCAACTATGTGGCTACCCTGTTTGAATGCCCTGAAGAAAGTGAGGAAGACTTGGAATATGAAACCAGAATTATTTCTGGGGGAATTCAAGGGCCCCGCTCTGCCATCTTGATACTCTTAATCAGGTTTAATCTGGTGGCAGTGAGCTGTGAAGCTGGCCTTGTCTGGGATACCAGAGTGTGGACATCAGAGGGTGGTGTGCATGGGAAGGCAACTGTGGGAAGAAAGGCAGAAGGAGCCCACAGGACTGAACACTGGACAGTAACAGGCTGGTAGGAGTTTCCCATCCTTAGCACCTGTGACTTTCTGCCCACTTCCACTGGGCCTAGGTGCTGACTCCAACCAGGGAGTAGGGTCAGGGTGAGTGGCAATGGGGTGGGGGACAGGGTCCCAGGGAGACCTGATCAGCTCTCTGCCTAGAGACCTGCAGACACAGGGCACCAGGGGCCATGACGCGACTGCTGGACACCAGCTCTCAATAGGGATTGGGGACCGAAGGCTCCGGGATGCTGAGTCATCCTGTCAGGAGAAATGAGGCCACATTCCTTGGCTGATTTCAGACAAAGAAGGATGGCCTGGTCCTTCCTTCCCATGTCTTCTTTCCATTTCCTCTTTTCTGGGAATCCCCATTATTTTCAGCTCCTGTCTCATTTTCCCCATACTCTCTAGATCCCAGAGGAAGATGCTGTCCCTGGCCATGGCGCCGTGCCTGTTTCATGCTCACCACCAAAGGCGTGGTAGCAGGTCCCTCTATCTCCCTCACCTGTGTGCATCTTCGGGAAACTGCCTCATTTTGCGGGAAAAGGTGGGTATTGTCTGCCTCCTGGAAGGATGATGGAGTGGGCATTATGAGGGATAAAGGCTAGAGCCTGCTCACAGAATGCAAAGACTCATGGGAAATT